AGGTTGTACTTTTGTGTTGATATAACTGTCACATAAAAACTATAGAACATAAAACGTTTTTGGGCCGTAAACTTCTTTTGTTGTCTTAAGATGAAGTAGCGCAAGTTTTTTCTCCGAGAAGAAAGAACATGGAACGTTTTTGACCGTCAACTTTGATTCAGTTGTCGTTTTGAGATGAATTAAGAGGTATAAGATTTTCTCACAAATTAAGTCATAGAACGTTTTTTGGTTGTATACTTTTATTGTCGTTTTAAAATGAAGTAGCGTAAGCTTTTCTCCGAATTTAAAGAATCAGGCCTTGCGAACTTACGTTTGAACACGTCAGTTCGTTTTCCAGAATCGAATGAGACGTGACTGGCTCCATCCTCCTTCGGCAACTTAAAGCGCAATATAGTAAGACCTAAGTAGTTCTAATTATTTAAGCCTTTATATGAATCTTTGAGTTGATAGATACGGTGCGACACTTTTGACATAATCAAATACTGACATAAAATGCGCTTAATGATTTTATGTGCAAACAATTTTTCATTGAAGAGGCGTTTGACACGTTCACGTCGAAACCGCACCTAACAAACATGGCGGAACACGTATTGTGTTTGCTTTGTGTCGCACGGGGGATAATGCGTTTTGTTTAGGTTTGTGGAGGTGTTTTATTTATATAAACCACACACAGGCAGTTTAGGAATATTTTAATTTGAACGTTACCCGTCATTAGCACCAATTTGCTCTTTATTTTCTCTTTAGACGCTATCCTGGAAGGAAGGAATTCATTTTTACAGTGATCGTTGAAAGGTTTAGTTGACCATGAGGTGCACAACTGTGAGAAATTGCTAAAAATACCATTGTGTTTTGTTAGTCTATAAACTTGGAATGCCTACACTTGTTTTTTTTTCTTAAAGTATTGTTGTTTATGTGTCGTGAGACAAGAAAAATCAACTTAGTAACATATTTTCTTGATCGTCTGCGACTTTTTCTCTCTCGGCCAGATTCGAACTTTTGCACAGCGAAAGAAGGAAAGGAGAACAACATAACAAAGTTCAATTAAAACTCGACAAGTTGCAATTTTTTTGTCTACGGTTATCAAATGAATAGCCTACAGTACAACGCCACATGGTTCAATGAAAAGGCTAAACTGATAATTGACGCGCAATGGTGGGTGCTACAGAGTAAACATTTTCCGCTTGTTTAATTGGCATCCTTCTGGCAAGTTCTCCAGCAAAAATAACATTTCATCAAAGTACGAAATCCTGTGTTTACTAATTTAGTTAATATGATTTTTCCGTTAAGAAAACAACTGTTGGTGCCGGGATCTGAGAGGTTCGATCTTAAATATGAATTGTGACTCGAGGACCATCATCAGCTCATTGAGTATTTCGCATATTTTCTTATCCATTACAGTTGTTGAGCTTCGTTCACTGATGACTGCTACTTAAAGAACTCGAACAAATCCTCCATTTTCGTAATTGCATGCTGTTAAAGATCTGTTTCATTCACTGATTTCGTGTGACATTTGTTGACCTTTTAAATACAGTTCGTGCCTGTATGCTCACGTGAATTAAAAAAAAACTGTTAGAGCGTTGTTTTTGAAACATGCTAATTGTATATCTGTAGGCCAAATTCACGACAGTATTTCAAAGTAAGATCAACATACTAAATTGGGAATGAAGTTGTTATCACTGAGAAACTCAAAACTCAGACAGACTGCAAGTATGCCTAAACTTTGAGCGTCATTTAAGATTCCTGCCGAAAAGATCTCTGATTTCACAACTTACAGCACACGTTTTGATGTTTTATTGTCAACGACAGATGGAAATTGTAACTTAGTCTCAGTGTTATCAGTGAAAGAGTCATCTTGTTTGGACCCCATAACCATCCTGGCGGGAGACTCCTTTCAACGTCAACGCACCTATTTTTTTTCCCTCTTGTCAATGTTTAAACTTCTGTCTAAAAATACTGACCACGTCAGCTAAAATTATCTCAGTCTGCTCGCTGCGAAACAGAACAGTAATGCTGCTATTTAAACGTTTAGTCTGCTGGATGGAAGATTAAAACCTTAGACAAATCAAAAGAGTTAAGTAAATCGATGACAATGTGTATAAATGCTTGATTTTATTGGAAAGGAAATCACTAGAACTCAAGAGCAAATTTAATTGTTCCATAGGTCTCTTGGCACTTTCGTCTGTCGTCAGAGCTGAAACGGAAAAAAGAAAACTTGACGAAACGTCCGCTTAGCAAAATGGTGATCAATATTAATCGTAGGACGAACTCGGAGAATCAGTCCTGAAACCCCCTCCCAACGATCGGCTTATGGGCTTAATGAGGTCCTCTTTCTACTTAAAAACAAAAGAGTATATAATTTACAACAAAGTATTGACCACATTTGGCCCCTATTTTTGTAACCAGATACAAATAACGAGAATGTTTTTGTGTCTAAAATAACAACTCTTGATAAGTCGTCCAAGCACACCGACCCCCTTTTAGCAAAGAATGTGCGTTATTCGGTCGAGATGCGCCAGGAATCCTTCGTAGAGATATAAACATTTTAATTCGACGCCTTTCATTCTTAAAGATAGCGTAGGCGCTTAAAGATAATTGACATTTCTCAATGGGGTGAGGCGATTTTTTGTCAAGGCGGTCAGCGACACTTTGTCTATCGTGTCAATAGCGGGTTGTTTACGGACTTCATGGGCACGTACGCTGTTTCAACGCAAACACGATTCTGCTACTACAGATTGTCGTGGTGGGTGGAGAGGGTATCTTTAGTCAGAGTCGGCAAAAGCGAGCATAATGACTCCGGTTCCCTGTTATTGTCCTTTGTTTTCCTTTAAGTATTATTTTTGTACCCGTCAGGACTTCCCGTGCACTTTTCTAGCGATATCGTTGTTATTTTTATTAAAGTGTGCATCTTTCTTCTTACGACAAAGACACCACTACCCCCTCCTCGCTATCCATAGGATTTAGTTGCCTATATCTTTTAATTGGCGGTTAGTTTTGTACTTAAAATCTCCCGCAAAAGCATAAGCTGCTTTGTATCCCTCTTTCAATCACTCGGTAATGCAATTTAGAAGCTTTGTAGTGAATTCAATCAGACACAGCGAAGTTCATCGATCGTTTTTAGAACATTTTGGTCCCGTGCTCAAAAGTTGCACGCGAAAGGACACGTAGCAGTCAAAGGGTCAGCAATGTTTTCATATCATGAACATCAACATTGAATAATCACAAAATTTGCCCGTGACTTGCCAACATTCAAGTCATTCCTTCCCGGAAAAAGTTTCTGTGGAGACAAAACAATTGTTAAAGGAAAAACCTAGAGGGATCCATTGAAGCGAGTGCGTCAAATAACAGCTATTACATAAGCACGTTAATTTAGATGCACAATCCTATTAATTCCTTGTTGAACACTTCCAAACATACCACACACTCTTGAAGGTTCATGAACTTATAAAACCCAAGTCACGTTTTCCTATCGCGATGAAAATCTGTTGTTATCATTACTCGTCAGGAATGAGAACTATGACAACTTCAAGACGATTGCATGTTAGTATTTAATAGCGCGATTTAATGCTACCAAAAGAAGGTCATGGCAATTGTGAATTTCACTTTTAATCTTCGTCGCAATTTTGCTACAGCAGTGGTGTTTGATGTTTCATAGCTCGCTTTCGGAGATTGTAGAAAACAATACTTCCGTGCTCCCGTAACGAACAATTTAGCATGGCCTGACGCCCAACTGAGAGACAATAATAATAGCCTTCTTTGTTAGTTTGGTGTTGCTGCAAGGACAGATTATAGATTTAACACCCTAGATCACGCACGGCTTAAACAAGCTCAAATCAGCTTATACAACGAAGAAAGTCATAGAATTCTCATAGAATTAAAAGTAAACACTAAGTTATATAACTTTCCTTGTGTTGTGAAAGCGACATGGGCAACATTTAATGCCTCGATCACGAGGGACGATATTTCAGAAACGATGGGAAAGATAGAACCTTTAACCTGTTATCAAGTGGTGGTTTTGGTTTTTTAAATAATTGGGAATGTTTTGTTGGTTTTCTCAATCATTTAAGTCGATCATCAAATGTTCGTGACTTACAAGTTCCACGTGAATGATTTTATCGCGTGATCAGTAATTTCGAACGAAAACAACTTCCGTTTAAAGTTGAAATCAACAATATCACCGCGCTTTTACTTACTTAACCACTAAGGGTGTTTTTATTCAAGATTCTGTTTCTTTAAATGGTCTCGAACAGTTTTATTTAGTTCACTAAGATTATAGATAAGTGCTTATGCATGACTTTTACAACAACGATCACCGCTAATGTTATGGTTGTCATTCTTTAATCGCAAACTTAATGATGCGAAGTTATTGCGGTGTCTGCGGCCGCCTCGATTAATTGTTGTCACTATTATCAACACTACAATAAGAATCCTGCATCTTAACTGCAATTAATCTTTCTTTCACAAGAACAATAATTAATAAATACCACTAGCAATCGAACATACTTTTTAAAAAATTATTAGATACTACAGTTTGTTTTTATATTTCAGTACACGATGAAAAATTGGCGTCACCTCGCCTAATTTAATAATTTATTCGCGGTTTAAATACGAAATATAGGGACTTAAGTTATCAGTAGGTCTTTATTTTTTTAAATTTTTACTGTTTGTTTCATTATTGAGTTCGTTAACGGCCTAAATTTCAACGCAAATATGTAAACAGTAATATTGGGTGCGTTGCTTTGTCCGTTAATTGAAGTTGAATTTATGTAGTTTTCACGATTCTAGAACAAACGGCCAAGAAGCTGTCCAGTGGTACGAACAACAAACAGATCAATTTTGCCAAAAAAAATAAACGTTTAAGGACAAAAATAACACCAATTTACGGTCAAATGGAAATTGGTTGTACAGTTATACGAAATTCACATATAATAGATGTCATAATAATGTTAATAATGATGATGATAAAACAATAATACTACTAATAACAATGAGGTACAGCATCAGTAGCTTCTAACAATTTAATCATCAATTCACGCGCAGCATGTGAATAATTCTTGAAATCTTATTTCATTTCAAACATATTATTTCCGAAGGGTTTCAAATAATACTTGTGTATAAATATCAATACTATATTCTTTAGCTCTCTTTCCATATTATGGTACTCTTCCTCGCTTAGTTAATTATATTTTAATTTCATTATGGATTATGCCTCAAATGTTTTCACATATATTCACCGGAGGCAAGTGAGAAATAAATAAATCGGAAGAAAACGAAACAAATTTGCGAATATTAAAATCCACACCCTAATTTTTAAGGACAAGAGTGCGTTGTCAATTTTGTCACGGATGCTTTCTACGATCTGAATTTGTGGGCCTATCAAACTCCGTGTTATATTTTCATTAAACTTTTAAGAGCGATTGGAGTCTAAATGCAATGACTTGCAAGTTAAAAAAAAAAAACATGGCTAATTCGGTCCAAAATGAGTCAAGTTCAACGGCTTATGATATCGAAATCTATGTTTTAAAACAAAGGGGTTCTCGACCTAAAAATCTGCCTTAAAATTTGTAGATTTCCGCACATCTTGACGTATGTTAACTTAAATTTAAATACCAGTGGATGGTTTCCATTGTCTAGAATTTTCCTACAAACTCCTATTCGCTAATAAGGTCTCCACACTCCCTTTGGCGTTGTGGTACCGTTCCGTTCGTGAAGGACCGTGTCCGCGTGTGAAACCTCGAGTCCTGTGTGGTGATTTACAACGTGATTTGACATATTATCAATAGGCTCCTGCTTCAACGAGATCATTCCGTGCCCGTCGCTTCTGGGCAGACCGTTAAAGCTACCCACGCTGTTCAAATCCACGTTTCCAAGAGGTAGCGGTATCCTCTGTGTAACAGCGGGGCTTCCTACCCCCATGCTTTGTCCCACAAGGGGCATCACACCAGGTCTCGACATGGGGAATGTCACCCCCGCAGTGGTGTTCGCCTGCGTGATAGCTCCCACTGATGTAGTTTGAGTTATTGGCATGTTTACCTTAGTCATTGCTGTTTGTTGCATGAATGGTTGTGGACGAAAGGTGTATCCATTGTTCACCATGCCATTAGGCAAACTATTGTTGTTCAACATAGAGTTGTTAACAACGGAATTCGTTCCGGGAGACGTGTTCAGCTGCTGGCATTGTGAAGAGAACATGCTGTGAGCAGGATCCATGGGCGGTGCCGGGCACACTTGATTCATGCCTCCGCCGATACCGTCTGATACTGTTGTCAGAGTCGTGTTCGTTGTAGCTTGCGGCGATGAACGAAATGGAAACTGCGCTATGCCCTGAAATCTTGGTTCGGAGTAATGAGGAAGCATGGGTACATTACCACTCGAATTCTGCAAGTTCACTTGAGGTCTAGGCGCCGAGAGTGGGTTTAGTGCCGTTAAGTTTACTTGAGCATCTGGTGGAGCGTGAGGCGGCAAATTCGGGCCTAAAAATCCCGGAAAGCCAGCGTGGAAACCCCACGTGGACGGTGAACGGATTTGATTGCTATCTGTAAATAAAAGAAACAAAACATATTGCACTTGTTTTGAATAGCACAGCGAACTCCCCACAGGTTTATAATGATACTAAAGAGTGCCTCCAGAGGTTATTTTGATAACGAAATATGGAAGTAAAGCTTAGGAATTAGCAAAGAGCTGAATTCCTTCTTTGTTCACTACATCGAACAATGCTATCCGCGCGCACTCGAATAAAACATCGATACGTAGAGCTTTTTCCGGTTTTAAAAGAGATAAATTCTTTTGTTATGGCATCTTTAGATAAAGAATACTCCAAGATCATCGATATCGAGCTTTCCCATAATCATTGAATCTAGTAGATACAAACCACATAATAAGAGGTAACCAAAAACAATTAGTTTGCTAAGTCAACTCCAATTAAATGTAACAAAATTGGTTTACCGCACGTTATCGAGGGCACGTAGATCTCTCCTAAGTTTTGAAACAACATTTTCAAGGTAAAAAGAAACTACGACAGAAAAAAAAAGTAAAAAGCTTTCCTCGGCAGCTCAAGATACCCATTAAAGATCGTCGGCTGGCGCCATTTCCTATTTCCGATTCATTGTGGCACTGTTTCAATTCCAGAACATTTGAATTACAAAAAGCCACATTTGGTTTTGATTGAAATCTTTGATTTAAGTCTCCTTGGATATTTTTAGGACACCATCGAAACCTCATTGTTTAAAATGAAGACTTGTATGCAGCCGAATCTCACGACTGAAAAGGGGAACATTCTTAATCCTGATTTAAGATCACTTAGATGGAAATGTCTTGCGAACGAAATGAGGAGTCCATCGCGACACTTATGAACGCAAACTAAGTCCGTCAAGTAAATATTGACCGAATACCCGATTTTGCACATTGTTCACTTGATGACACTATCTTTACAAAGGGTCTAAGATTCAACCATGCAACAGCCTTAAAGATTCCGTTTTTACGAATGATTATTGAGACGTTGGTATTAATGCTTTCGTTCTCCTCAACAGTTGTATCACTAGTCTATAGGAAAAGACCAGTAGAGAGTGTTAGTTTAATTATCGGTTTCCTAAAAGGAAATTAGGAAAAAAATTTAACACTGTGGAAAGGTGTGATCTTGAGGAGAGTTTTTCGTTGTCTAGACGGGAAAAAAGGGCGTTAATGTTTCCGTTTTGTACGAGTTGCATTAGGCAAGTCAGCCGACGTCAAATAAGAGTTTCAACTATTTCTTTAAAAGAACTATCGTAAAAAAAAACCTAGATGGCTGGGTGACCAGTATTAGAAAAATTGCTAAGTAAAGATGGCCTAGGATTTTAAACAAAAATAAATGATATCAGCTTATTAACCGTGCCTGTACGAAAAAGAGTTGGGAAAAAACGAAAAATTGCAGTCTTGTCTCTCGCGATTTCAACTAAACAAAAACAGTGCTGTGCTTATGACGAAGCGGTTCCGGAAACCAGATTTTAAATGTTCCTTGTCTAACCATTTCCTCCACCCTTTCGCAACATTCCTCTTAAGCTGATAGCAGACGGAGAAACCAGAAAACTCCAAAAATGGCCTTTTTTCAAAGCTTCTTACAAAGTAAATGAAGGTTTTAACACATAGCTCTACTTACCGGGAGCGAGCGCGCTGAAGGCTGATGTACCGTCCGGGGGTAATTTGACGGGTTGCAAAGGACCTGGGTGAAGCTCTGTAAACGGGCCGAAGCTGTTGTCTCTAATAGAGCGACGGAGGCCTTCAAATCCCAACTCTGAGAGACGATCTGAAAAATGAAATTGGTCGTAGCCTGCTTGGTCTCTCTCGTCTGAACGGGTTCTGTGTCCTATCAAGGAAAAATGAATTTCCTGTCATAAGAGCAACTTGACGCCAGCCCAAGTTGTTGTAACTTTGGATGCGTGTAAAAAGCTCCCATTTGGGAAATATGCCAAGAGGCATCTTTCTATTCACAGAAGTCGAAATAAATCGTATCAAGGATTCCCACGTGTTATTATTCCTTAATCATGACTCGGTACTGAATTGGGACTAGGGTGAGATTTGTTATTAAATTCACGTCGAGTGCCATCTTGTATTTGCAACCGTTAGCAAGTAAATTGAGGGAAATTTAAACTGGAAAGAACGAACTGTATTTAGAATATTCGGACAATTTCACCCTTAACACAAGAACAAGCGCTCGTTTAATAAACACTGGCCGCGATTTCTCCCCTTCACGAAGGAAGCAATGAATAAAAAAAGACTATTAGGTTGCCTTCATTCGCTCAATAACTATCCTTGCGACAGAATTTGAATATGACCGCGATCCTAAATCCCTAACATTGCTTCATTTGGCTGAGAGGATATAAACGTCATGAGAAGATTAAAAAAGCTAAGTTTTCGAAGTACGGTTATTTATAGCTTTTGGAAAAGAAAGGGGTTATCGGAAGAACTTATACGGAAATTTACCATTTATAAAATGCTGCAGGCAAATGCGTCGTGTACAAAAAACGCTGAAGAGCTGAAAACTTTGTCGACAATCTACGTATAAAATCAAGGAATGTTTGCAAAGCGCTGGATATTGCTCGCTTAATTGAGAATTTGAATCAGTCACGATCGGTAGTTCCTTTTTGCTATGAAATTCTGGGTTAAAAAATCAGTGAAAAATTGGAAATGTAGCAGGGAAAGGCACGATGTTCAACCACAGGTTTGAACAGCTCTTTTTTTTCATCAATTTCGACAAAATGAAGCCTAAGTAGCAGCGTGGTTCTCTCTTGGAAAAATCCACAAGTTCGTTTCTCTCCTAGTGTGAACAGTTGGACGCTAAAAGAATTATCAACAGGCCAAGTTCGGGGACTCTTTGTACGACTATTAATTACATTAAAACTGCGGTATCGGAGAACCCAGTTCAGCTGAGAATCCACTAGCTTCGAATTATAACATTGCATGAGGTACACAGCAGAAGATCTGTAATCGTCTTTGCAAAAAATTCAAGCTCGATCTTGATAATTTACGTCGCCATGAAGCAGAAGCGAGAAGATTTTTATACATCAGTTTACATTTTGAAATATCAAAATTAAATGCTCAGATCTTCTATCAGCTATATCATTATTATTGCTTTTAAATCAATGTTTGAATTTTCCTGCTTTAAAGGTCTGACAAGCTGCTCTTTGAATCTTGTTATTTTAATTTTTTTCTAACTATTTCCTTTGGAATTTAGAGTAAATGATGGATACTTCTTACATCAGAGACCTTAAATCATATGATTTTATGCTATTCACCGAGTTTTGCTGAGACTGAAAAGGTTTCTCGACAATTTGTGGATTTTCCGGTTTAAGAAAATTACATAATATCACTCAAAACTTATGGCCAATTATTCTATTGCAAGCCATTTAACAAGTAGGCCAAATGATTTTATGCCAAAGACGGTGGATTTAATAGGAAAGATAAGAGAAAGAGAAAATTTGGTTTTAGAAAGGTCGTGCTTTGAAGTGAGTCCTTTATCGCTGACTACCCACGCTTACATCAGATGCTAATGAGAAATAAAAAAATGATGTGGATGCAAATGAAGAAGAGTCGCATGTTCATCATTTGGGAAAAATTTTCAAGTCTTTGTAAAGACGGAGAAATCTTGCGATAAGAGTTGCTTGATGTTGGTTTCTTCGCGAAATTTAATGGTTTTAAAATTTTAGTGAATTCAATATAAAATTTGAGGTTACTTTTGGTAAAAAATGTATTGCTTGGTGAAGTAGGTTTATTGCTTGGGAGACAAAGTTCATGATTTTTTTTTAAATAGAGAGTTATAAGAGAATTCTCCAAGCTTGATCTCTCTGACAGAATAATTGCTATTTTGTGGTTTGAGGGTGAACTTCTATGATGGTGAGGCAAAATTGGGACTCCAAAAGATTCAATACAATGACTATATATGTGGTTATTACCAAACAAACTTCTTATATTTCACTTAAACCTTACCAAAAGAAACCACATTGAGGCCAGTTTTGGCAAGCAACTTCAATATGTTTGGAAAAAATTGATCTAATAAGATTTGCCCAAAAAAATTATTTAATGACTTGATTGATTTTAGAAAGGATTTATCCTTCTTTGAGCTTCACAAACTCCCTTCTTTATGGATGTAAATAATATTTTTTTTTTGTCAAAAGACATATTGAATTCCCTGAACATCTGGCTTTTAATTGAAATATTTTTGTCCAAAGGGGCTTCTGTGTTTGTCATAAAATATTAAAATGACACAATACCCAACAGTGACAAAAATCTTCATAATCAATAATGAATCTGTCATTTTCTAGTAGGCTTATATGCATAGCTATGGTCTAGTTTCAAATTACTTCTTTTGTTTATCTCGAACCAAAACCATGAATTTTGATTTTTGGACATCTATATGATTTTGGTGGTTTCAAGTTAAAAGTTTCATTTTGACCTTGCCACCATAAAATATAGATTTTGTTGACGCTGGTAGGGTTTTGGTTTATTTCCACAAAAATCTGGACAAGTTTTGGAAGAAAAAATTTTAATTGACTCATGAAGAGCTGAAAGTCACACTAAGGGATTTTGGTTTTGGATGAAATTATGTTCTATTTTTTTCTTAACTATCAATAATGACAATTAAAAGCAGATCAGCTAAAAATCCCATTTTGAGGCCTAGCCAAGAAATGTAGTATTATTGCCTTTCACCCAGTAAAAAAATCAGAAATAAATACACAGAAGAAGTAAATCAATTACTGTCCTAATTCAATTAAAAAGGAAAACCAAAAGTAAAATTGAACTTTCTTCATAGGGCAGGATCAGATAAAACTCAAAACTAAAAACTAATTAGTCAATTTTTACTTCAACATATGTTTCTCTCCAGAAATTAAAAATAAACTCTATTTATTTGACTACATAATTCTGTTTGCTGAAACCCTTAGCTGAACTGCACCAAAAGTACACTTGATTGTTTGCTTTCAATTTCTAGTCTTGCCTTGCTCTTTGTCTCTAAGACATCCAATTTCGGAGTATGTTTTATCTGATTTATTAGCCTGATTAAGACGAAAGAGAAATGCTATTAAATTAACAAATGCATTTCTAAAAGCCTCGCGAAGACAGGTGAAATGGCATTACAACCTATTTGCCACCTGCCCTGCCACCTGCATCTGTATTGTATGGATTCTTCAAAACATACGATAATAAATTCAATTAACGCAGCAACCAATGGGTTTCGCCCGTTTTATGAATCATTAATTGCAAATTAAACATTAATCATGTTCCCGCGTATCGCTTGAATCACTTGTCCCCGCTACGCGTGGCTTCGGCATAGAATGAGACAACGGGATGGCTGTATTTATCTAAACACAGCGTATGTTTATTTGCGGTAAGGCGGCCAGCATTCATGAATCTAAACAACATAGCAGCACCCGTTTCAAAATGAACCCGCAAATTTTTTATCTGTTTTAGGTTTCAACAGTATCGACAAAGTCAGGCCACTGCGGCAAAAACACTACAGACTTGTATGTTTCGGAATGGTCTTGTTGTGGCCGCGAATACCTCGAGATATTAAAAGCTACAAGGAATTATGAATTTGCCCATCGGAGAAGATGTTTATCTCTGATTGTACATCAATTTTCAAAATCAAATCAACGTCGGAATCAGAGTTTTAAATTCTTTGAAAATACACGAAATTTTTTTCTTTTCACTCAGAAGAATTTTTTTTTATCCAAAAATTTTAAAGAGGAATAAAAAATAAAAATCAAAGGAATAAATGAAAAAATATGGAGACACTAAGCTTATTAAAAATTTCAAAACCTTCTGGGTTACGATGAGCTCGGGTGAACCACAAATACGTTTGTCAAACAACCCAAAAATGAGGAAAGATTTTGTGAGGACTTACTACGCGGTTCCCGCGGTCCGTCTACGGTGACTTTAATAGCTCTGCAATATGTGGCGACTTGAGGTGGATCTGTCTTCACCGTTATTGTCAATGTGAACGTTTTACCTGAGCACAGGTGGAAAAAAAGCAAAAATAAAATAAACTGGATGTAAACAAACCGGGCAAAAAATATTCAACTTACTACATGCTAAACCCATTCAAGCCTTTCACAAACAGACATTTGAAATTGACAACCAATGTGCAAGTCCCATATAACATATGACATGTTTTCATGAGTGCATGTCGTTTTCCAGATGGCTGATTCCATACCGAATGCAGTAAGTGAGTCAGTCTTTACAATACGCGTCAATGCGAACTGGTTGGCACGTATCTTACCTCTTCCGCTACGTCCTACGAATCTAAGATCGTTGAAGCGCGCGACTTGATTTTTCATGACGGCAGTCGCGTTTCGGAGTTCGGCCGAGAAGTTCTCGTCATTGCCTGCAGCGATCGAGACGAGAACTCCATCGGGAATATCACCGAGTGCAACAACCTTGAATGCAACCGGTAGCGTCTTATTACATCTCCAGTGCGATGGCAACACGCTACAAACAAAGTTCGGAGAATCCGTTTTTACGAGCTCGCCTGGGTATTCAGCCAGTGCTTCAATGAGCGATCGCTCCCCTCTAATTTTTCGTGGGACCGCATTTTCTGTGGCAGTGGTCATGGTTCTCCAATGTGTAAACCACAAGAGTGAGCCACCAGAATATGTGTGGCGAGTTTGGCACACTACCGGACGGTTGAATCAACTGAAATGCTTCTGGCCAACCACTCCCCTGAGATTTGACATCTGCTGAGCCTACTTGTTTTGCGTTTTTGTGATGTACAACAGATGAGCCAATAGCGGCGGGCGACTTAACTAGCTCACACGCCCACCGCTGGCATTTATCCAATGAGCTCACGTACTCCGCATTCCGATGAATTCTCTCTTGATTTCTCGAGCGTTCCTGTGGTTTAATGTCTTCGCGAGAATCATTGTTTGATGACATTGAAGAACTGAACTGCGGCGAACCTTCGCCAATTAGCGGACTCGTTGAAACACGTGGGAACTACAAACGAGGAACCCGTCCACTCAGTATTGTCTCAGCGATCGATCGTAAACGGCTGTGTGTTTAATGTTAAATCATGCCTAGGTGTGTAAAATTGCTCAATGTCAATGACTCTTTATGCGTAATCACGAGTTTCCCTTAGGCGAAAATTTGCTCCCACTCGACGGAAAGAAGGGAGATGACTAATATCGAAAAATAATGAAAATAATTTCGAGAACACTTGAACTGTGAGTCATTTCACGAAAGGAAATATCAAAGCTTCGAAAAATTTACAAATCGCCTATTCCACTGTTTACTCAGGAAGACTTAATTCCGGTTGTAATCCGAGATATCTAGTCATCATCAATCGATTTATTTTTGTAATCGACATGTCAATGCAGGTTTCAGCCGTGAAATCTACATCCCTCTTACCACGGCGCCTCTCTGTTGATTCGCTGTCAAGTTTCGCGCGCTTTTCGTCTAGGCATTATGGGAAAGGAAGGTCATTTCCGGATGGAGTGGGTTGAATCGCTGTCAGCTCTATTTTGGTAAAAAATTTTGAACTAAATATGACGAAATCTAAATCTAAGAGCAAGAAAAGCGAAAAGGGGAAGGAGGTCAACAATTCTGCCAACGCTGGCGACAGCAGAGTGAGTAAAACGTGTGAGGTTTGCTTACGAATTCGGTGGAAGCGATTTCTTTTAAAGCCGCCATTTTGTATGAGATTTTAGGTCGCAAAACCTACGGACAAATGAATTCAGTAAATCTCTTGTGGGTGGAAAGGAAGTTAAGCATTTCGTGACAAGTATAGCTAATAACATGATCTTGTAGCGCGTCGTAAGCATTTAATTCCATTTTGAACTCGATGAATACAACGGTTATTCAAAGAAATAACTGATTGATTTCCGGTTTCAGCCCCCTAGCGCTTGTGACATACGTCCTCCTACTCCGGCTGTTGTGCAAAGTCCGGTGACCCCAAGCTCCAGACTTCCAAAGCCATGGTTTCAGAGTGAAATTCTTAATATGATGTAAGTAAAGAGAGAAAAGTTATTTGGGATTGGTGTTATAATCCTTCTTCTGCTATGAATAAGACAAGTGTCTCAACTCGAAGGAAATTCAGTCTGTTCAAGTGACAATGACCTCGAAGCCGAGATAATTGTTTAGTAGCCGTGTCTTAGTTGAAGTTTAAACCGATGTAGATTCGATAATGACCTATCTATACAACCGCACGTCGAAAACAATGCTCTCGGTTTACAAACACATCATCGTTGGAGGTCGAACACTTCGCGTGTTTATGATCGCATTAAGAAGTTGATCTTCTGCATATCGGTCGGCTTTGCTGCTGTGTGTGTATGACTACGATGCGGTTCGTTTGTCGCACGTTTTTGTATCGTGTGCGAAAAAGGCTGCCGAAAATGTGCCGAATTGTTTGATAGTGGCGCATTACACGGCGGTTTTGTCACGATTTCCTGAGGCCAATTGTGTAGTTGAATAATAGCCTTTTCTCGTGTAATACTCCGCGACGCGATTTTTGACAGGTCGATGATAATAAGAAGCCCTTAGGCCAGGAAGTGTAGTGGCCTCGAGAGAGGTTACACAATTGACAAAATATTTTTCCCACGAAGAAGCCGCAAAGCGTTTATGACAAGTGTGATTAACACCACAATAATATCGTCGCGGTTTTACAGAGAATAGAGGTTATCGGTAAAAGCACCTTTTTATGTGAGAACACAATTGCGTGAGAAAGGTACTGTTTACTAAATCAATGAGCTGATTCGTGCAATTAGGGCCACGTGTAGAGGGGCACAATTTAAACGCCGCTAAAAAATTCCAAGGAGCAATTTCACTCGGCGTTATTGTCTGTTTCCGAGTTTGAATGTTATCTCTTTATCGCTCTTGAAGCGGGCCAAGTGCTTCTCCATGCTTCTTATCAACTGCGCTAGGTCGAAGGCTCTCCTGTTTGTTGACAAATGACGCAAATCTCGTGAAACATGTAAATTGAGGTCTATTAGAGAGTAATTTTAACTGCGAGTATATTTTTAGCCCTCTTAATACAGTGTTTGCGGATGAACAAAAGCAAATTTGCGGTAAGGTCATTGTTGACCAATTACTCTTTGTTGCTCAAATAACTAAGTGACCTCGCTGATGTTAAAACGTCGGTTTTTGAAAGAATTAAGTCTGTGTATTTTTAGTTCTTGAAGTATAGCCTTAAGTTCACACGTTAATAAGTTCATTAGGACGAAGTTGTAAATGATAGATTGTTATGACAAATGAGCACATGCTCAATATCATGGACATGCGAATGTTGTCCACTAAAGAAATCTTTGTTACAAGGAAAACAGAATATTTTTCATTAGACTAACTACATAACATACAAGGTGTTGCCAACTTGCCAAATCCCTTAGTCCAGGGTGTCTCATGAACTAAATTTTATGCTTGGCTTATTTTTTAAACAAATTCCAAAAAGATAATGAAAATTTAAAATAGTCCTGCTGTGTTACACAATCAGCCAAACTTTTCAATGATATGTTTTCAGTGAAAGTCACCTGGAGTTTTCTACGAAGTTGTTGGGGGTGTTTCATATGACATGAACTTCTGTTTGACATAAGGATAATGAAACAAATTATCATAAAGATCACCCAGGCTATTAGAAAACTAGCCTGGTTTTTTTTTTGTATTTTATGACGTCTTTAAAGTAGTGTTTGGAATTCATTTTTAGTGATAGCTATTTTTGTGGACAGGTGTGGATGCGATCAAGAGAACAGCTTTTATTTTAATGTTTTTGGTCCTTTAAAATGAGTGTTTGGTCCTTCAAAGGTTTTCCTGAATAAACCATGGCAGTGGTTTGGTGTTAACCATAATTTTCTCAAATTTGAGGTTAACCTTTGTGGTGTTTGCACTTTTCATCATACTACTAATATCTAAATATTTAATTGCTGTTAATTAGTAAACATTTGATAAAGTAAAGCATTACAGCAAAAATTTAAAGGCCAAGGCTTAAATACATTTTTTTGATTCTTCAAACCAATACCATGATAATTCTATCCATGTGAAATCTGATAGTTGTTTTCTTATGCTTGCTGAAAACTGCTGTGTGTTGTTATGACACCACTCATGAATAAAGAAAGAACTCTTATTGGTTGGTATGACAAAACAAAAACACTTCTGAGTAGAAGTGGCTGTATACTTAAAGCCAATAAGAATTAGAACAGATTACTTGTATACTTTTGCTTGAGAACCTCAGGTTACTATCCGCTGAAAAACTCCCTAGAGAAGTGTTAATCTTATATCTGTGACAATCAAGCAGAGAGGGTTTCCTATTTTGTTGTGGGAGTAGTTTGTAGATTGATTTCTTAATTGCTGAGGTACCAAACAGGTTAATTTGCAAAGGTTGATCCTCTTTAACCTGTCTTTTCTCTTGCTAGGAGTCATAAATACAATAATATGTGGGATTGGCAGCAAATGTGTAAGATAGCAAGCAAAATAATCTTGAGCATGTGCAAATGACCTTCTTAATGACAGTGAATAAGTGAGGTGTGCTTAACAGGATAGCAGGGGAAGAAGAGTGGGGAAGTTGGGCTTACTCTGTAAAATGTTGAGACCCTCTTATCACTGCTTTTCATGTTAACAACAGGTATTGCCATCTATCCCAGGACAAAGGTCTCATCATTGTAGGTGGCCTTGGTCAAAGGTTTTTTTAAATTAGATTATGAACAATATAGCATGGTAATGAGAGATCAGCTTTCACTCATAGAAATCAAGAGCTAGCAATCCTATCATTTTAGTTTAAATCTACTACTTGTTCAAAATTTAACAAGAAACAGGCTCAAGGCTTTAGTCGTTTCCCAGCTAAAAGTGGGAAATATCCAATTTTAAAGTCTTGTGTTCAATGCAAAAAAAGTCTTCCTTTGAAAGTTAAGGGAAGTTGGGAAAGTTCTGTGCATTTGTAACAGGAGAAGAGGAACTTGTTTGTTCATTATTTTGCTCTGAAAAGTCAATATCCATGCTGCAAAAAGTATTTGCAGGATAGTAAACACAATAGACTCCATTTAGCTTGAAAGTTATACTTATATATTTGTCCTTGGAAGTAATCTGTTCCCTGAGCTTGGCTCTGAGAACAGTGATAGCTGTGGACAAATATGCCACCAAATAAAGGTTGCTGTTTGGGTGTCTATACCTAACCTATCCACAGTATTCATGATTGAATTAAGTTTGTGGCTTAACAGATCACCCTCACACAAGATGCAATGCAATGAAACAAGTATCATATCTGAAGGAGTGATATACCTTGTTACTTAGCTATGTGTCATCCACCAATCAGGCTTTTCTGGGAGTAAATGCGATATCTCCCTGTACCTCACTGGTACAGGGAGTTGGCAGATTTTATCGCTAATGAATGTGTACCAATTGAAATTGTATTGTGACTTGAGCTGCTGTGTATATTTTACCTCACTGGTACAGGGAGTTGGCAGATTTTATCGCTAATGAATATGTACCAATTGAAATTGTATTGTGACTTGAGCTGCTGTGTATATTTTACAAAATATACTGTAAGGTATGTCAGAAGGAATCTGGGTACAATACAACTCAAATATTTTTACTAATGTAGGAAATTTATATTTCCAAAGTATCACAATTTGAAGTATTTCCGTGTGCAGCTCGTGAGGTCAAATATTGTTCTCGTTGTTTTAAGATGGTACCCAGACCAGCTACAAATTCCTATAGTTCTTCTCATAATTCGACTGATAATATTGTAACTTATCAATGGTGACTGTTGTTTAGGATTGATATTGATGTAGTGTGTCTGTGCATGATGAAAAGAAGTACTCCAGAAATAAACACTGCACTATTTTCAGAACTTTTTTGGCTTCTTTCTCTAAGTTGCCCTTTCAATATGATATTGAATATTTGTCAACATTTGTATTGTTTTATTAGTCAGTTTGAATCAGATACCTTGGGCATTTCTTCATTCCACTTTGTTTGCTACATTGTATGTGTATTGCCTTAAGGTTTCTCTTAAAGAAACCTTTGAGTGCATGTAACAATATGTTACTCAATAAGGAGCCCTTATATCTTTTCATATATTTTGACCTTGATGTGGTTTTGATGGAAAACGTTGAGGAGGTACTTGAACTACACAATACACTCGCTAATGTGCCGCCTAGCTCTTGAATAGGTTAAAAGTGAATTTTGTCTATTAGTATGTTGAAATAGATAAGGGGAGGAGGGACTGAAAATTTTTTTTCTCAATTAAAGTAATTCCTTGCTGAGGTTGATCAGTGGTAGTAATGATTGAGATGGGGCTGCAAAAAAGGGAAACTATAAATTTTGAATAACATTTGGTAATGACCCTTTCAAGTAGCAGTTAACGTCTTTCACTGACAAGTGTTGTTACTGTAACAACTCTGGGTGACGAAGAAGTGATATTGATAATGAACTCTTGTGAAATTAATTTCCTTTGTACCTCTCACCAGTATTGTGGCTCAATACTGTTACTGCAAGTGACTTTATCAACTTAAAATTTTGTTTTAAAAAAACTCTTAAAGTATACCACATCATGGCATGTTTTTTTTTAAAATATGTTTTGAGTGTTGAAGACATGTTACAGCTTGTTTATATCTTTGGTTCAACAATTACCAGTATTCTTTTTCCTTATGGTTTTGCACGTGATAATAGTGTACAGCTCTGATATTTTAATGAAATTTAACATGAGCCAAAGAGTTAACAAATCAGTAATCACTAGTGTTTCTTCTCTCATAATATTTTCATTTATTACGATACCCCAGTTTATCTGTGGTTGTGACGGAGTCTCCATATCTCAGTGATCATTGGTAGATTGCTACTGTATTTTTTGTGGTTATTAAAGTGCATTTAAATGAAGTGTGTTGAAATCAGAACTGAAGTAACCACAAGAAACAGGAAAAACAAAAAAATATCAGTCTCAAAAACCCTATGGGAAATTAAAGAAGGAACTGTTGAATGGTTGGTAAATTGCAACTGATCAAGAATTCAATAAAAAGTCAGTCCAGAGGAATCTCTGTATTTTTTTGTGCATATTAGGCACACAGCAACTTCCAGTCATAGCATGACTTAACATGACAGATTTAAATGTTCCCCAAACAATCCCATCAGCACTTGTGTGTCACCTTTGCATTCCCAGGGTATCACTCTTTTCCAAAAAGGAATATTGGTTTTAGTTTGTCCTCTGATTGGTTGAGAGGGTGGTTTCTAGACCAATCATGAAGTGAGTTAAAGCCAAATGAATGCTATGTGGATTACTTTTAACGTTAAATTGAAACTAACTCAATTATTAACTGTAATGTGGTTTAACTCTCCACTAACCTTCTATCTCTTAGATTTTGTTCTGCTTGCTCAATGCTTGTGGCAAATAAAGCAAGCACCTCTCGTTGTAGCAACAGGGAGACTTGATGGCTGCATGGGTGGTGCCTGGAACTCTTGGCAAAGTTGTTTGAAGGCAGATTAGCACTAACCCAGGGTTAAGTCTTGATCTGGGTTCTTATATTTCTTTCTGCAGAAGCCTTTTTCAGATAATTTCCTCTTACTATTCTTTATAGAGTGTCCAGACATCAAATCGTGGACAAAACAAATTTTACTATATTCTTTTTAAACTTAAAATATTCTTTTTAAACTTTTAGATATAAGGTTAGATTTCACACTAACCCTAGGTTATGTTAACCCTTGAACTCCCATGAGTGACCAAGACAGAATTTCTCTTCACAATATCGATACAAAATCAAGAAGACAAGTGATGAGAACCAAGAAAAGTATCAATTAGGGGATTATTAGTTGATCCGATACTAAATTCTCAGATGTAACATCAGAAGACTTGTAGAGCAGACAGTCAGGAGAATTACTAATGACATCTTAGGAGTTAAAGGGTTAACCTAGCTTTGAACAACCTTGCCCTGGAGTTGAAGCTTCAGACTTAATCCCTGGCTTGTTTATCATCTTTTGTTGTGTTTCAGGCAAGACACTTAACCCTGTAAGTCCCACTAGTGACCAAGACAGAATTTCTCCTTACACTATCACTACAATATCAAGCAGACAAATAATGAGAATAAAGAAAAATATCAATTAGGGGATTATTGGTTGATCCAATTCCAAATTCTCCAAACTAACATTAGATGAATTGTATAACAGACAGTGAGGAGACTTGCTAATGAAATCTTGGGAGTTAAAGGGTTAATTCTCACAGTTTCTCTCTCCATCAAGGAGTATAAATGCAATGAACTTGTGTCCTGTGTAAGAGGAGAAAAAGATATACTGCATTGTGTTGTTCTGCAAAAAATTGCACTCATACAGTACTTCTCTCATACCAGGAGTATCATTGTGTTCCTGCAGACTCTCAGGGAAACATGATGAATTTCATAGGAGAACCAGAGTTGTGGGAGGAGTGGGGACTTGTGATAGACCAGCATCCTGTTTAGAGATGTAACTATACTCCTAGTGGATTCAGGCTATTGAAACAGGCCAGTAGGCTTGTAATACTTAAACTATAAACCTTTTCAAACAATGTGCCTTTTTTCACCAGGTATGCTTTTGGTGACTCAAGAAAACCATCAACAGAATCAGCTCTTCTTATTGAAGAAATTGTCCATTCACAGATGGCTAGCTTGGTATTTTCAATTTTTATTTTTCTTGCTGTTTTTCTTCTCCATTGAACCTTCCTTTATGAAAGGAGGCAAAAGGCTCATATCTTACACATATAATTTAAAATAGTTTGAAGGGTGGCTATGAATAGCTTTTTAATTTAGTTTTTTGTTTATGGTAAGGTTTAAGGTTATACATAGAAGATTTTTGACTCTTATTGCGTGAAGCACCTATTCTGATGTCCTTGACATAGAAGTGACGTCAAGAATTGCTTCCCTTTGTGAATGGGGTGCTAGTTCATTGCATGTTGTGCCCTTCAGTAATTCATCAGATTTCCCACCAAAATTGGTAACATCCATTTTACTGACTAGAAAGATGGACTGGTGTGAATGAAGTGCCCTGTCTAAGAACACAAGAAACTAATCCTTGTGAACAATAACACTCAAACCTCTTGAACCTTTTGATGAGGAGTCCACTGCACTGACCCCTAGGCTGTTCTATCTCCTAAGTATTTTGTCACTCTCTCTGTTTCAAAGAATTCTCTGGGTGGGAGAGAGAGTTACAGTTCCTTGAGCTTTTAAGAAGGGGTATACTCTGAAGTTTTAATACTGTATGGCCATTCACATTCCATACTAGCCTGATCTTGACTATCAATACTAATGTATTGATTAAAAAATTGCTCTGAGTGTTGTATGCCCTTATTTTACAGGTTGTGCGGGCTGCAGAGGTCACAAATATGCGAGGGGGAAGGTTCATGAGTGTGGAAGACATTATATTTCTAATGAGGAAGGACAAAGTAAGTGGAGGAGTGATGATGGATGGCATGGTTCTTTGGACACTACTTAACCTCACAGGCTGCACATTCTTGCACTCAATTCTTGCGATCTTCTTGTTGTATGAGATAGACAAATATTATAGACTTTCATCAGTTGATTAATATGACTCAATAAGAGAATGAAGACTTTCCCTAATATGAGAACAGCATCACAATTTCAGCTCTCATGATGGGCTTATAATGCTCAGATTGGATTGAATTGAATAGGACTCCTCTGTCCAAGATCAACCTTACTATGTGTAGACAGGAACACTCTATCAGAGCATTTATTTTTTTTGTTAAAAGGTAATGTGGTATTATCAACTGAGTATATAATGCAAATTGGCCACTGTAAAGAGTTTCAAAGCTGATGTTTCCAGCATTAGCCCCTCATCAGAGCAAATGATGAATGGTTAACACTGAAAATGTCAGCTTTGAAACTCTTTATGGTAGCTAATTTAAGTCATCTACTCAGTTGATAATACCAAATTACCTTGTTATACTCCCAACCCATGCAGTGCCACAGTTTCTTTGGAAACTTATGCCCTTTATTTATTTTTGTATAAGTTTGTTTGCCCTTATAGAAATTGTTAATGTTTCTGCAGGAAAAACTCAAAAGACTAATCAAGTACCTCAATTTCAAAGACGTGAAAAGCAAAACCCAGAAACAAACTTCTCAAGATGACGATGAAGTCCTAGAAGCTGCAGGTGAAACAGTATTGCAATACAAAACCTTGAAAACTATTAAGAAGGGATATCTGTTTTCTGCCTTTTTTAAAACCTAGGGAGGAAGAATTGTTGATAAGAGTTTGTGCTGATTAAGTGCTGTCATTTTTTTGTTTTGCAGCAAGTGAAACCAAGGGTAGCAAAAAACGAAAGGTTTCATATGACTTTGTGAGCACGATAGACCAAACTGGTAAGTGGATTGTTGACATTTGTGGCTGGGACCGCATTTCCATGAAAATCTGCACATGTGTGAGGCTATAGCAGTGGGAGACAGTGGCTTAATGGTCTGGACACTGAACTCACAGTTAACCCTTTCAATCCCAATATTTCAACAGAGATTCTCCTTACTGTCTGCCATATGATTCTCATAAAATTAGTTTGGGGAATTTGGAATTGAATCAGTTAGTAATCCCCTGATTGATATTTTGCTATATTCTCATGACTTGTCTGCTTGATATTGTATTGATATTGTGGGGAGAAATTCTGTTGTGGTCACTTGTGGGAGTTAAAGGGTTTAGAGGTCCAGGTTCAGGACCTAGCCAGGTCATTGTGTTTTGTTCTTTGAGGAAGACACTCAGCTCTCATACTGCCTCTCTCTCTACTTAGGAATATAAATGGGTACTGGCGTATTGTCAGGGGAACCTGATGAAATGGTGGGGGGGGGGGGGTAACCTTGGGATGGACTGGCATCCTATTCAGGGGAGAGTAGTAGTACTTCTGGTCACTTCATGCTACATGGAAACTGGGATAAGCTCCTGCTTGGGGGATCAATAGACTTAAGTACAGACGTCACCTTCTTATGAGACTATAGCAGTATTCTCCAGAAGCACCAATAGCCAGTATTTTTACTGGTTACTTGTTCCGAAGTGTTGGCTACTTTGAATAAACAGAGCAGCAAAATACCTGTCTTAATCTGAAATAACTTTGTACTTAACAGTTCTATATAACAGTCTTTTTTTCCTCATCATACAATCTTGATAGTGTACAATTTTTTTCAGGTGACCTTGTAGCTTTATTTGAGGATGATGACATTGATGAGCTGAAACAAGAGAGGAATGAGGTAGTTAGAGGTGTTATATTTTTCCCTACATTTACATTTACATCTTTAAGCCAAAAGATGTTCATAACCTTAGCATGGAAGGTTTGACTTTTTTTCTGTGAGCCTTCCCTTGCTTAACCCTTTGACCCCTAAGAGTGACTAGCATTTAATTTCTCCTTACGTTATTAACTTTGAATCACACATTAAGGTCGCAAGAATATAGAAAATGATCACCAACTTAATGAGGCTCTTCATTGTTAAGCAATTCTTGTTGTTAGCACCTTAGGAAATGTATAGAGAACAGTATGGAGAGTATTCACACTGATGTTAGGTTGAAAGGGTTAAATTCCAGTTTCATTTGATGTTTTGACTTTTAATTGCATTGATGTTCAAAGTAATGGATTTAGAGACAACTTGTTCCTTCTAATTTTCAGAGAGCTGAACGTTTATCAAGAACTCTTGACCCTCAACAATATTTGGAGTTTACTGAGTGTCGACAGGCTAACTTCAGTGAGTAAAGTGTTTTGTTGCATTTTCACAAGAAAGAGCTTCATGTAGAGGTATCAGATACATATTTTCCTATCCAAATCATGGTTAACATGTTTCAAGCATTGCTTCTAAATCCTGAAGCAGTGCTTGATAATTTGTCTTCTGTGGGCAACATACATGTATGTCATCTATTTTGTTTCACTACAGCTTAAGTTACCACGTTTTTCTCTTTTTGTGTGCAGGAGTTTATAGCTAATGTGATTTTTCTTAAAGATAAGAAAGCAGGAAAATTCAAAGAGTGGCTGGACTGTGCATCACTGATTGATATGAAACCCAATACACCTGTGATGGAAGTATTCAGCTTCCTTGCTTATGAGACAGTGGGGCAGGTGGGTTCAAGAGGAGTCCAGTCTTGATTTTCTCTCCATGTATACTGTCTTTGACAGTTTCACCAGATATCATTCACAGTGGTATGACACAACCATAGGAGGTCTTGGTGTATATCTCAAGTATAAAAAATTGTGGGAATCACATGAGAACCAGCTTGTCATTTAATGACATTTGCTCTTACTGAGGGCCAGCGTTCGAAATGTCAGCTTCAGAAACTCCTTAAGGTGACCAATTTACATTTTCAACTCAGTTAATAAAACCAAACTGTCTGTAATGACAGGGTAATTAGTTTTATCAACTGAGTTGATAACATAAATTAGTCACTGTAAAGAGTTACAAAGCTGATGTTTCAAGTGTTAGCCCTTCATCAGAGTAAATGGAGGAATTGTGGGTTGTGAGTGTGTTTACATGCAGAAAATGGAGCCATGCTATTGGTGGGAATATGGCAACAAGAAAACAAGAATAAATTAGTTGAATGAAAAGTTCTCTCTGATACTGTAGGGATTGAAAGTGTGGATTTGAAAGATAAATTTTTGTTCTAGAGTTTTGTGGCTTTCTGAACTGCGTAGATGTTGGGAAAGGCCACAAACTGCCATATGCTGGCAAGAGTGATTAGGAGAGATTAAAGTGTCTATTGATTTGGATGCGTCCTTGTCATTTCTTTCTATGATGCAAAGGTGTTCTTGGAATCAGTCACCAAGTCGTCTTCCTGTTAATGACACTTGCACAATCAACCTGGCTCCCCCAGCTGGCCTTGTTCATGTCGTTTGGACTTTCCTTGCCTAGGTTTATTTTAACTCAGATGATGAATGCCAACCCTTTTGTTTTTCCAAGTTATTTGTATGTTAAAGTTCCACTAGTACTCCATAACGACAGGTTTCTTATGTTGGTAGATAGTCGACTTGGCATTACTGGTAAAGAAAGATTTGGAGGCGTGTGATGTGTTGACTCAAGCTATGCCACCTGTATCTATCCTATCAGAGAGCCAATCATCCGTTGTTACACCTGGAAGTGCAACATCTACCCCCTCTACTCCCAACCACACCCCACCTGGAACCCCCACCACACCCACAACCCCTTTCCTTCCTAGTCCCACCCCAAGTGTATCTAGTGCCAGTGGAATTTCATCAGCTCCACAAAGTGCAACTGTGCCAGCAAAACCTAAGAGCAAAAAAAGGAAAATTAAAGTAAGTTTGGTGTATAATATGCTGGTGTCAATAACATTGCTAATTTTCAGTGTACTGTCCATTTCAAGGCTTCACTAGGATTTCTGGTCACAACTGCATGTCATAATTTAGAAAAAAAATTGTTGAAACCCTTGAATAGGAGACAGAAATGTTGAACAGAAAGCTTCAAGGTTTGTTTATCATTGCCAATGTGGTTTCCCAGGAAAGACAGTAGCCTGAATATATAAATAGCTGCTTTTTGTTTGTGCCCCAGATTACACTGGTAATTTTTTTAATATATAGGCGGAGATACAGACTGAAAAATATTTCTTTCAAACTTTTCTCACATCTTTTTAGACTTTTAGCTAAAGGTCAGAGTAGCTAATTTTAAATGGTCTACCTTTGTATTTTTGTTTTAAAAAGTCTTTGCAGTAGTGGTGTCACTTGTATTTCAGGGATCAGCTGCAAGCCTTTCATACAGTAGTGATGATTGTATTCAACCTCAACACATTAGAGAAGCTATTAGGAGATATAATCATTACATTGGACCCATGGCTCCTTTCTCTGTAAGTTTGAATTGTTGCCAGGATTGTTGTTGCCTGAAATAGTAAGTTTAAAAAGAGACAATGGTTATGAATATCACACATTTCCTTGTTAGAGGTCTATTGGACCTGACCATGTAAAATGTTACAATCATGGTGAACTAATATACTAATAATTGAATATACTTTGGATTTATTAAATTACAGTTTGAGAAAAATAAAGAAAATATTGAGACAAAAATAGAAAACCAAAATGTGCATCTTTTGGAAGCAACTAACCCAAATTTCACTGCTGACATTTTCATTTTTGTCATCTTCCATCCTTCATAACCATCCTACCCTTCTATGGTCTAGCTACCTGTCAAGAAAAGGCTTCTGCAGCTTTCTGATAGTTATATGTATTTAAAACTTTTTTCCTCAGTCACACGCAAAGCCATCACCTGGCTACAGAACATTGTGCTGCTAGATGGAAGACAATGAATCAGCTGTGGCATCTGAACCCAAAAAACACTTTGCACTGACTGGAAGCAGTTTTTCTTTAAGCTTCTCTCATACACTGTACAGTTGAAATGACAATCATTTATTTAATTTAAATTTCTATTGAGAAATATAGCTACAAAGTTTGTGTATTATGTGAAAAGTTTATAAATTTTTTTGTTTCAATAAATAGAGCTCCAAGACATATTTGGCTTTTAATACTTGTCTTAAAAAGTTATTATCTACTTCAGTTCTACAAGTACGAACAGTCTCATTGTACACAGAATTGTTCAAAGCACAAGTGGTCGGAAGGGAAAAACTAAGTTTATTTTCATCTTGGGAGGTTCTTGACTTTCCAATGGGAAAATTGAGAAAATCCAAAAAGGGGGAGATGATTGTAGAATGTAACAAACAAAGGTAGCAAACAGAGATGGCATGGGTAGCCTTTGATTATGAAATACATCAATTCCAGAATGATAAGAAGAACCCCTTTTTAGTTTTGTCCCTTTACCTCTAGGGTACAGGCGTTAAGATCAAGCTATATCAAGATTCAATTGACAACAACTATTTGAATTTTTGACAATGATTAATTCTTTATTTTCAATTATTTACAAAATATAAAATTTCTAATGCTTGGTTTCAACCTCCAGATACTTCTTGTTTGCTATTGATAGAGAACAAGACCTGCCAGTGTAACTATCTGATTAATAGTAATGAAATAGTTTGGAACATTATCAACTCTGAATAAATAATGTTCATGTCCTGTACTGTGTTTGTACAGTGAACAATTTTGTTATGATCAAGCGGAGAAGCACAGCTCATGGAGGAAGCAGTAGTGCTTCTTTCAGCATTCTCTTTTGTTCTGGGTTGAGTTGGTTTGGGAATTCAATGTTGAATTGAATTATTAGATCTCCTTTTGTGTTTGGATCCTTGGAGATTGGCATTCCCTCAGTAGGGACAACTTTTTGATAGCCAGGTCTGAAATCAAGGTAAAGCAACAGTATCAGTTTCAACATCATTAGTTTCATATTATCATTTTCATAAAAATCAATTGTTATGGGGTTAAGTCCTAGAACTGAGGAACATGTAACCTGCAAGCATTTTGTCAGATTTCCCGGACAGTTTGCTGCCAATTATCAATACTCCTGATTGGAAAGGGGAATTGAGGGAGGAAGTGTCTTTCTAAAGAACACGACACAATGACCCAGCCAGGGTTTAAACCTGGACCTCTGAAATTTAAGAGATTGAAAAAGGCAGTAAATTTTGAGCTCACTTAATTGTTAAGAAAAGAGGATGTTATGCCCCATGCAGTCACCAGTATGGTGCTCTATGGCAAAGCATCAGACTGAAAACTCAGCCAGTCATGAGGTTCAAATCCTCAGGGAAACCCAGGTTTTCTACCTGCTCCTAGTGCTCATGTGAACAAATAAAATCTCTATTCAATCTATGACTATTTCGTTAAAAATCAACCTACTGCACATCAAAAAGTGTTTCTATATTTCATAACTGGTAGGTAACTTGATCACAGTGTTATTTTTACTTATCCATGTGAGCATGATAAATGTATCATATTGGAAAAAAGTGAAGGTAAAATACTCACTTAACAATGTCATTGATTGGAATGCTTATGAGTCGACCATCCAGTGTTGGAACATCCACTACACAGCCAGTCAATGCCTGATGGTGAACAAAAGCATTTTGTCTTGAAATTTTAAAGACTAGTACTCCGCTTCATCCGTGGTACCATGAGATAATAGTCCATTTTACAGTTGTATGCTTGGTTGCCAAGCCTTTGAACAGGAGTGAGGCTAAGGGTGACCTTGCAAACATTGCTGCTTTTGAAATGCAAATTAATTTGTTATCATGCTAACTAGATTCTGGTCTCTAACACAACAAGGTCACCTTCAGCCTCACTCCAAATCAAAGGCTTGGCAACTAAGTACACAACTGTAAAATGGCCTATTGCCTAATAGTATCAGCTTTTAAAAGATGTACTTCGCTGGTTGTTACCAATACCACCATCACACAAATACCAAACCAGAAATCTAATCAGTTTGTTGCATATGGGTGGATAGCACATTGCATAAGGTAGATTAACCCTTAAACTCCCTTAAGTGATTAACATGTAACTTCCCTCTATATTTTACCCATAAATCATCCAGCAAAATGTAAGAGAGTACCCAAATTTTGAGGTAGATGATGTTCTCTTGATCTAACACCAAATTCTCCTTACTAATTTACAGGGAAATGTGCAGCAGCTAATGGAAAGAATTAACAATAATGTCTTGGGAGTTAAAGGGGTTAAGTAATAAGTGAAACCCTGCATCCCCTTAACTATTTACACTTCCTGATGTTCTGAAAACTTGTTTGCCTTTGAAATAGATCTGGGGGACCATGATTACTAACAAGGGCCTCAGTCCAGATTTTGGTTGAAATGTTGATGGATTGTTGATCTATATGTCAATATGGTTGACAGATGGTTTGAAATCAACTTAGAATTGGCTTTATCAAGATGTTCGCCGGCTGATTGATTGATTGATTTGATTGTCTTCAGGTTGGCAAGTTCTTGATCAGTTCTTAATCTGCAGATTATCAACCTAGTAATGATTGACTATTGACCTATACATCAATATTTACCACCAACTATGTTATTGACAGAGGCTGCCTAAATAGTACTCATCATGGGCTTTGGACTGAGGGTCAAGGAGTGACAAGGTGTATTCTTTTTAACCCTTTAACCACTAGGAGTGACCAGCACCTAATTTCTCTTCAGAATATCACCCCTGAATCACACATTAAGGTCAGAAGAGTAAAGGAAATGATCACTAACTAACAAAGCTCTGGATTTATTTTACAAATTCCCCATGTTAGCACCTTAGGAAATGTATAGAGAACAGTATGGAGATTAAACATACTGGTATTAGGGTATAAAGAATGATGAATATGTTGAGTTACCTTTCCAAGAGGAACAGTAGCAGTATAGACAAGATTATCATTATCACGCTTGAAGACTGGGTGAGGCTTGTCTTTCACAATGAACACAATGTCAGCTGGTGTAAAAGAAGATAGCACACAATAAGCCAAGGGAATAAAGTTGTATTATTGAACAGAATTATAACATCACATCAAGTTGCTTTATTTTGTGGAAATATTCTGTTACATGTAATCAATGAAGACAGTTCTGAGAGAACCGAACTAAAACACTGAATTCAGTTTGGTCATCTTATCACTGAGCTACACTTTGTATCATTTGAGATCATTTCATGGAGAAATTGATAATATTCATGTACAGTAACCTTATTTCCTGCAGGAGAGGGATACACAGTATTTACCTGGAATGTTGTTTGGACCCTGATCTCCTTCCTTAGGAAATGTAATTTTTGTCCCTGCTCTCCAACCTGGTTTGACATTGATGGTCAATATTTTGTCACGAATATTCGATGTGTGCCCATCTTCATTCATCACCTGTTAACACAAATTGTCTTTTAATTGTATATAGATAATTTGGTTTTATTGGCTGACTTGATAAATAAAGTAAATTGGCCAATGCTAAGAGTTTTTAGGCTGACAATTTGAGTGTTAACCCCTTTATCAGAGGGAAAAAAGGAAATGTGTGTTGTGTATGGTTTGTAGACAGGTACCAAGAAATAGAGCTATAGTATTGGTTGGAACATGGTAATGTGAATAGCACAAGAATAAATTAGTTGAATGAAGAGCGTTCATTAATATGGAGGGGATCAAGAGTGCTGATTTGAAAGATAAATCAGAGTTTTGCAGCATTTTGTGGATGTCAACAGGACAGTCTAGTAGATAACCTAGGTGTGACAATGTGTGACCCCCTTGTTTGAAAAATCTTAGCTATACAACTGGTTGTGATAATTTTCTCTCAGATCTTGGAAGTGAGAGGGTCAAACACATGAAAAGCAGCTAACTGTTGTGCTAAATACCATATATAGTGAATTGTAATACTAGATCCTCATATCAACACTGTAGCAGTTGAAATGTCACAATCAACAATTGGTAGTTTCACAATACACAGGACTCATTGTTTACAGATTTTTTTTCAGGGTTGAAGTAGATGCCCAGAGACACCCTTCACAAAAGAAACACCCACCACTAAAGTATTTTCTTAAAATGATATTTGGCTCCTTCCCGCACAAGTAAATACTGGCCAACACTCTTATTTCTTACCCTTCTTGAAATTTTCATTTTTTTGACACATCCTTTATAAACTTCTTCCAGAGTGAGGTAAAGTTCTCTCTCAATGGGTGGATCTTGCTTACGACGACCTCGGCCATGAATTCCACCAAACCCAACTTCTGGATCATACGAGTCAAATAATTCTGAGAGTAAAAGCAGGGGTTATTTTCCAGGCCACTTTTTTTTATGCATGAACATGTTCAATGAGATCATGCTTTTTATATTTTCTCAAATACTATGTTTTCAATAACTCAACAAAACAGTAATTCAATCATAATTTTATCCTCTACTGATTAAGATAAATCATGACCTCTGCCTTCAAAACTTGAAAAGTAAACAGATTTTTAAAAAAAAGTCATATTCAAAATGGCAAGTTTTTCTTCTCATGAACATATACAAAAACAAGCATACCAGCAAAAGGATTGTCTCCCCCAAAAAATTCTTTAAAAACTCGACCAGCATCTCCATGGAATGTGTACCCTGGAGTCCATCCATCTACAATGAAGAAGATATCACCACATCTTTAGGACAAATCATTATTTACTAATAAATTAAGTATTTTCTAAAGTTACACTCTTTAATTCCTAGGATCTGATGGCAATCCTCCCTACAATCTGCATTGTATATGCATGACCAAGCATGAAATTGGCTAAGTTCTTTCCTTGCACTTTTATGGATCTCATCCATCTTGCCCACCCAAGCCAACTATTTGAAAACTTTGTCTGGTCTCAGCATCTGTCAGCTAAATAGTACCATAGAATTGCAGTAGCAGTTACATGTTAATTTCTAGGGGTTATGAAATCGGCATAACTCAAATGAAAAGGTGCAGTGACATGTATATTGTACCATAAGTACAAAGTAAACATGTTTCATTGTTATTTTTGCACCATCTCCGTTATGTCAGTTCTTCACTATTTTCCTTCTTAAATTTCCTTGCAGTTTAGATGCCCCATTCCCTTCAGCATTATTTCACAGGAATGCACAGACATCTACAGTTTCCAAGTAAACCTAGATGTGCAAGTCATCCATACATCATTAATATGTCTTATTTCCACGCATAAGATTATCATAACCTCTGCTAATGTGTGCCAATAAACCTAGATGTGCAAGGTATTCGTACATCATTAATATGTCTTGTTTCCATGCATGAGATCATCATAACCTCTGCTAATGTGTGCTTGTTGAACTCTCATCTCAGTCTAGATGTACGTAAGCTACCTTTATCAGGAACTCCGCCTTTAAGTCCTTCTTCTCCAAACTGGTCGTAAATTGCCCTCGTCTTAGCTGAAATAACAATTATATCTTGACTTGTTGAACACTTATGAGTACTGTCAGTAATTAATCCGTTACTATCAAATTCCAAGTCGGCTCCACTTAACTGTACAGAAGTAAGAAACATTCATTATGTTGAGCTGTTTAGTACTCAGAAAGAAATGAAGAATCTGGATGTGTGGGTCAAACACGAAATCAGTTACGCAATAATACTATTTAAAAGTGATCAGTGTTTTGCAATGAGCACTTATCAAGCCTTCATATTTACCTTTGAGTTCAATTAACAAAGAACGACCTAAACTTTTAACAGTTTTTTTTTTACATCGCAGTAAATCCAAAGAAGCATACTATTTTAATACTTACGATCCCTTAACACATCATACGCCTCTGCAACTTGTTTAAATCTCAGATCTGCCCCTGGCTCCTGGTTCTTGTCTGGGTGAAATTTCAGTGACAACTTGCGATAGCTGGCGATGGAAATTTTGACAAATCGTAAGTTCCCTTGGTGAATAAAATATAATGTTTGGATTTATAAGTCACTAAACTTACGATTTTTTTATATCTGCATCCGTAGCTTTTCTTGTTAGGCCTAAAACAGCGTAGTAATCTTGACCCATCGTGACAGCTGTGTAGAGTATTGCGAAAAATATGGCGATCTGTGAAACTGGTTGTCTTGGAAACGACACAAGCTAAGGGACGAGAAGGACTGAAACTAATGATGTAGAGTGCTGGTGATCTGTAAAGCGGGCTCGTTAACACACACGTGGTTGAAGAGTGAGAGATTTATCTGCATCTTTGCTCTTTTTGCGAGTATGTTACGTGTGGAACATTTATCCACGAACACATTCATTTAACGGCATGATGGGTTGCAAGAACTTCTGCTTTGACTTTCTGAGCTCCTTGAAGTACCTATGTGACTGCGACGTTCGTTTTAAAAATGAACTTTCATACTTTTTGCAAGTTGAGGTTTGTAAATTTTGAATAGATCATTCGTGTTCGGTAGTTAGATAACGGCGTAATGGGTGACTAACACAGTTTATGGACCGTACGATTTTACGCCATTGTCTGCGTCGGTGTATACACTGGAGATTGACCAATGGTAGGTGTGGGTGAGAGTACAAGTCGTGTCGGTAACAGTTAACAATTAATGGTTAATAGTTTATATTTAATAATAATAATAATAGTACCACTATTTTTAATTAATTATTGTTAAGTATAGATTTTTTTGGTATAAATGAGTTGAATGAATTATGTATTAATTATGTGTAAGTGAGTCAATGAAACAGTAGTCTCACCGAGCTGATGCAATGATATTGGAATAAACAATATTTTACAGTTGGCAGGAGCCTATTACTGGCTCCTGACAGTTGGAGAAGGGTTGTCTGATTTTTATACATCATGTCATGTTAATTATGTCAACTTAGACATATGCATTGAGGGTGGTAAAAGGAGGGGGGGTTTCGATCACTTTTCACGAAAAATAAAATGGCCATTCATGTTTCATGCAATATGAAATAGCCATTTCACAAAATGAAGATAAAAGGTGTTCAATTACCTGTTGGAATAAAGAGTCCTGGGGTCCAGAATGATGATTAGCTAGCCACGGTCATGCCTCTACATGTAGTCTGGTTTTGAGACACTTACTGGATAATTTTTAAAGGAAGAGAAAACAATGATGGTTTAAGTCATGTTTTGCATTAAAAAAATACAGTTGTTTTGCAATTTCCATGAAAAAAAGGTGATTCATCATTCACGGCTATTTAACCAAATCACATTTCACAGGAAAAAAAAACTGTTCCCCTCTATAATAACAATAATTAGTTATAAGTAGTAGTGCTATTAATATTATTATTATTAAATATGAATTATTAACCATAAATTGTTAACTATAATGGACACGACTTGTACCTACACCCACAACCCACAACTTGTACCCACAACCCACAACCATTAGTCAAACTCCATAAACTGTAAGATTTTAAGCCGTTAACTAACAACGCAAAATCTTACAGTGTATAATATACTGACTGGAAGAAATAACGCCTTTAGTTACAGGCATAAAATCTTGCATACATACATCACTGACTGAAAGAAATTACACCATTAGTTACTGGCGTAAAATCTTACATATAAACACCACTGACTGGAAGAAATTACGCCCTTAGTTACTGGTGTAAAATCTTATTTATAATTATTACCAACTGGAAAAAATTGCACCGTTAGATGAGATGGTGGTGTAAAATCTTACAGTATATAAACTGTGTTAGTCACATATTACATTGTTATACATATTCCCATTCGTGTTTGCTGTATTGTTCTTAAATTGATGATTTGCCATGTTAAGTATAATTTTGCAAGTTTGGATCTTTTAGCTTTTTTTCCATCTAAATATTTTTTCTACTGTGTTTCTGTTATCATTTTATTTCAGAGCTGGTCTTCTGATGACAAGCAGCTATTATTGCAGAAGTTGGCTGAGGTGTTTCTAATCCAGGATTTGACTCCCTTTCTGGTAAAACGCTGCAAACCAATACTGCTGGAAATTCTTGAACGTTGTGCTAAAAACCTTCAGCAAGAATCTTATAGGAATGGTTCTCACGTAGAAAGATTTTGTTACACTCTTAGTGAGCTGTTAACACTGTCTCATTTGAAAGACTTCGTTTACAGATTTATTAAAACCTGCAGTTTGTTTTCAATAATTTCGGATGAGGAGCAGGTTAACGAGCAAGAAATAGAGAGAATTTTATGTGTATTGAAGACTTGCTACAATCTACTTAGTTATGATTTTGAAACATTTCACAGAATCTGGGAATGGAGTCCTATTTTTAAATTTCTGCAACATAGTCATCCTGGAGTGAGATGGTACGCTTTACATATTATTTCAATTTTAACAGGTATATCAGAACAAATTAAGATTGGTCTGCTGGATAAACTTTTTACAATTTCAGAGAGAACCTCATTTTTAACACAAGAGTTTACACGTAAGTTGCTTAGTCATGTAAGAGATTGTAGAGATATAAATGATCATCAGAAATTAACTTCAGATTCTATGGATGTCAGTGGTGATAACATCAATGGAGCATCTATCAATAAGGAAGATTTGATTGGCCAATATACAACCCTTTGTGGGGTTATACTGCCATGCCTACCTGGAACATTGAATCTTGTGGACCATTCATTTGTCATGGTACCATCAACAGTATATAATCTTCATCTACTAGTACTATCGGTAGCCACAGGAAATGGTGTATTATTAGAAGGACCTATAGGCTGTGGGAAAACAGCCCTGGTTGAATTTGTGGCCAGAGCAACAGGGAGAACACGCCCACCAGAATTTATGAAGATTCAACTTGGAGATCAGACAGACAGCAAGGTGAGCATGTACCATTACAATTGTACTTTTCTCCACATTAGGTTATAGTATGGACTAGGAAATTATATTGGAGATCTGTAGTAGGCTAACATCTTATCTTAAGAAAGTAGTGATATTCCTACAGTGTGTGGTTGCTTCATGCTCTATAAACCAGGATACTCAAACCCTTTCACTCTCAGTAATGATCAGAAAGGAATTTCTCTCTACCTTATTGTTGCATTATGATAAACATGTGTGACAAAACGAAGTTAAAGGATGAATCAAGGGATTTTGTTCAAAATCAACACCAAATTCTTAGAGCTAATGTTGTAAGAAATGTATAGCAGACATTAAGGACAATTGAAATTGATATCTTGGCCACAGGGGTGTAATCCAATGGCTCATATACAGACTAAGGTACTATTGACCCTATAAAGCTCACTTGTGATTTGGTAAATTAATCATATTAATTTTTCTGGTAGCATGTGTTTCAGCACGCTCTAATGGTAAAGTTTTTCTTTTCAAGTCTTTGTTAGGTACATATGTGTGCACAGACACACCAGGAGAATTTGTATGGCAGGCTGGGCCACTGCTACAGGCTGTACAAGCTGGGTATTGGATTCTCTTGGAGGATATTGACCTGGCTCCTATGGATGTGATCTCAGTGTTAATACCATTGCTGGAATCTCGTACACTGTCCGTGCCAGCACATGGTAATGTTGTGAAGGCATCACCAGGGTTTCAGCTATTTGCCACTCAGAGGTAATATGTTTTGTATTTGTAGTAGGTCAATCTTTACTTGGTTTGAAATTTTTATAACCAGTGTGATTATTATTTTATTTTTATTGTATTTTTTATTAATTTTTTATCTAGGTCATACAGTGGTCATTGTGGATTCAGTTATCATGTTGCTAGTGCTAATTCTGCTATCTTGGAAAAGCTATGGTCAAGAGTTCAGATTGAACCCTTTTCCAAGGAAGAACTTACAGAGGTATCTTGAATGATAAAATGTATCTAACAAACATAATTTAATTTAGTTGTAGAATTCTCAATGTCATTTATAGGCATGAGCACTTCTCAACGAACCTTACAGAGATAAACCTTTTGAACCCTTAACATGTTTCTTCTAAAAGTGATTAACCCTTTAACTCTTAGGTCAAATTTGTAGAATGTGCATACTGATGTTAGGGTGTAAAGGGTTTAAAAGTAAATCACTGAATAGTTTGCATTGTTCAAATTGAGTGTAAGGAAATTCTTATTAATTATTAACTTTAAATAATTTTAGGTGGTTGTCCAGAAGTACCCAGACCTTGAAAATATTGCAACAAAGCTGGTGGATATCTACTGCATGTTATCTGCAGATCCACACCTTGTTTCCAGTGAAGACACAGCAAAGTGCTCCCTTCCTTATGATAAGCGGCAAAGCTCTAGTAGAGATTTAATGAAGTGGTGTAGTAGAATAGCTGTAACAGCTTGTGGTGCACCTACGTTGCTTGATTCGAAAGAGGTTTTCCTTGAAGCTCATGACTGTTTCAGTGCTCCTTTACCAAAAACTTATGATCAAAATTTGATTGATTTAGCAGTTGGTGCCAAGTTAGGCTTGACCAAAGAAAAGATTGAATTTTTCTTCATGAATTACAAACCAAATGTTCATACCTCTCCACTGTCAATGACAGTTGGTAGGGTCACACTGAAAAAGAAAGTTCATGAAAGCCTGGCAATTTCTTTTGGTCAAAATAACCTTTCAAAATTTGCTCATACAAGACATTCTTTAGTGTTGCTTGAGAAAGTTGCAGCTTGTATCAGAAACAGTGAACCTGTTTTACTGGTTGGGGAGACAGGAACTGGGAAAACATCAACAGTACAGTACTTGGCAACACAGTGTGCAGTTAGTTTAAAAGTTGTAAATATGAGCCAGCAAAGTGACAGCTCAGATCTACTTGGTGGTTACAAACCTGTGGAGATGAAACAGATTGTGGCTCCCGTGAGGGAAAAGTTTGAAATGTTGTTTTGCAAGACGTTCTCAAGGAAACAAAATGTGAAGTTCTTGAGTCATGTTCAGAGATGCTTTGCTCAACAACAGTGGGAGATCTTGTTTAAATTAATGATTCATAGTCAAAAAAATGCCACAGAAAGAGTAAAGAAAGGTGAGCTTTGATTGAAATGCGTTCTTGAAATAATCAAACATCTAAGTATTTTATATAAATACGGTGACCTAATCTGGAAAGGGAAACAAAGATGGACAGAGATTAAGTAGCTGTTAGCAAAACTCACTATAAATTTATGTTGAGGGTGGCTTGTTGTGAGCTAGGATCCTATTTACTAGGCTCATAACATTTAACCTTTTTTTCAAACTTTTTTCTTTGTAAACTGCAACTGTGTATATGTAGATAAACAAATGGAGAAGCTTTTGGTTGAGTGGCAAGGTCTGATTCAGGACATCCAGCAGTTACAAAAACAGCAGAAAAATGCAGAGAGTGCATTGGCGTTTAGATTTGTGGAAGGAACACTTGTGCAGGCTTTACAAAATGGTGACTGGGTTTTACTGGATGAGATCAATTTGGCCACACCTGAGACACTGGAATGTCTTTGTGGTTTGTTGGAGAGTTCATCTGGATCAGTGGTGCTAATGGAAAGAGGGTGAGAACTTTAATTTGCATTCAGAAATAGAATTGATCGAACCTAAGATGGTTAATGCATTCAGTATTATGAGTAGGGTGAAAGGGGGGTCCTGCATAATTTCATACACATCAAAAATAAAAAATAACAACACATCTCAAAAAATCGAATAAACAAGGGCTATTGAGCTTTGTCAAACTTTCATAACTATAATTATGTATCTTAGATGCTTTGCTTTTCAGCCAGGCCCTTTTTAATTAATTATCAGCACTAAGCTGTCTCTCTTTCTATATTTATTTTCCTATAGGTTTAAAGGATACATGGTAATAACAACTGAAAGTTTTTATCTCCAGTGGAAGTTTTAATTTTAGCATTGAGAGGTTCCTATCCCTTTTGTTTCTGATCCAATTCATCACTTATGAGAAGTAGTTATCATTAAAATAACTGTGATCTTGAATATGGTTTGCTGATTTTAGGGATGTTACTCCTACTGTGAGACATGAAGACTTTCGCCTGTTTGCCTGCATGAATCCAGCTACTGATGTGGGGAAGAAAGATCTGCCTCCAGGAATTAGGAACAGGTTATTGATTTAGAGAGAAATAAAAATGCTTGATTTTATTTAATGGGCTGTTCATGTTTAAGATGGATACTTATTTTTTTAGTCAAGATAACATCTTTCATAGTTGGAAATTTTTAATTCAATACAATGATTGATAAATTCTTTACATCTTTCATAGAATGACCCATGTTTTGGATGTGTCTGTTATCCTGGCAGATTCTGTCAGATTGTTTAACTTTTATATTGGGGATATCTCATAATTAACAGTTTCAAACACATACAAATATGGAAATTGTGATAGTTTAAAAGTTGTTGTTGTGGACTGCTCTCTTTCCTTGTTTTATGATTTCATGTACCCCACATGCATGTTTATGCGTTTGATGTCATTTCAATTGACTGTGTAGGCTGTTTCTGCTGGTCAAATCACCGATAAAATCAACATTTCTTTTAGTCTTGCTAAGGTGAACTCAGTTATATAATTATGTTTGCTTTTTTCCTTTTCAAGGTTCACAGAAATCTTTGTCAGAGAATTAGAGAGTACAGCAGACCTGAAAACCCTGGTTGTGGATTACTTGCAAGGATTGTCACCCAATTCAGCCATTGTGGATGGAATTGTTAGGTTAGTATGTTAGATTTTGGGTAGCACTGTTACTGTAGTAAAGTATTTTACAGAGGAGTAAAGATATTGATCACTATTGCCAGATTTTACCTCACAGTCAAGCATGAAGCAGAAGACAAGCTGACTGATGGCACAGGACACAAGCCTCATTACAGGTCAGTATCAATCCAGTTTTTGATCAATAATCTCAAAGTTAAGCTTTTGCTATTTGTGTGTTTCACATGGAATCTTTTGATCTCTCAACCTTTTAAAAGTGTCCAATTTATCAATGTATTAACTGTTCAGGTGATTACTGTTCTAAGAACAATTGACCAACAAGTCAGAATCACTGCATGTTCAGTAACTTTACTATCAATAATTATTGCCTTGTTGTAGTGTAGTCCTTTCCCGATAATAATGTCACTCTTATATTGGACGTTACCCTTTCCATTTTTCTTTTAGTTTGCGAACTCTGTGCCGTGCTTTAAGATATGCAGCTATAAATCCCCATCAGAATGTTCTGAGGTCTATTTATGAGGTAAGCCACTTTTATCTTACTCTGAAACAAATTTTTGGTGACTGCAAGACTGTTATGAAGCCTTTTACTCTCACGTTAGATAAACATGAACTTCTTGTAACTTCTTATAACCATACACTATTCAGCAAACAGATGACGAGAATACTCAAACTTAGTATTAAATAAGTGGCTATCTTGGCCCATCACCAAATTCTCCTAACTAATGTACAAAGAAATGTGTCAGAACTGAAGGGGAGAATTAACAATCAGGTCTCGGCAGTTAAAGGGCTATTGTACTGTGACTTGATGTTTACTGTCATGGGCTTTCTATGTAGATTAAAGGAGGTGATTTGCAATACAAAATTTTGATTAGGAAGAGGTGGCCTATTCGTGAACACTTTTGGTACTCATACACAGCAACTCAAACCTGAGCTTTTTATCTTATCCCTTTCTCTCCAAGATCTCACTAGTAATTCTCCTTACTGTCTGCCATACAATTCTTAAGATGTTAGCTCCAAGAGTTTGGTATTGGATCAGTTAATAATGCCCTAATTAATATTTCCTTTTTTCATCACTTGTCTGCTTGAGTTTTCACATAATTTTTTACTCTTGTGCAGGGATTTTGTTTGAGTTTTTTGACACAATTGGATCGTTCATCACACCCCTCTGTCCAGTCTCTCATTAAGCATCACATCCTGGGCCATGTTAATGCTGCCAGTATGTTAAAGCAGCCCTTGCCTAAGCCACAAGATTCTGGACACTACTGTAATTTTGAAGGATTTTGGATTGCTTTGGGAAGCAAAGAACCTGTGATGTCAAATGAGTATGTCTTAACAGCTTCAGTGAAGGCTAACTTGAAGGATCTTGCTAGGGTTGTATCTGCCAGGTATTTGGTCCATTCTTTATCTGGATTGTTCTTATTAAAGGTACTAAAAGTGTCTGCAAAATAATTTGTTATTAATAGCAGAGGGACAAGAGGGGAGGTAAATAACTTTCAGTTACATGATACTGTTATTTTTTGCTGTAGCCACCATTTCCAATAAAAAAACTTGATGGAGGAAGGGTGTGAATTTTACTGTATTAACAGGAGAATTTTTGCATCCATTTAGGGCTCCTTCAGCCAGTAATCACTCTAACTTGTGACATTAATGTTTAATTCAGTAGTGAAACTGTCAGGAGAAATTCTATGCAATGTACTATTAGGGGATAAAATGCCAAAAAAGGTTGAGAGAATCCACTATTATATAACTATGTAGCAGTGCTACAGGGTAATCTAGCATTATCAACTGAGTTGATAACATAAATTGGCCACCATAAAGTGTTAATGGCTGACATTTTGAGCATTACTCTTTGTCAGAGTGATAGATGAAGGGTTAATGCTTGAAACATCAGTGTTTAAACCCTTTATGGTGGCCAGTTTATGTAATCAACCCAGTTAATAATACTAATAAAATTACCCTGCTATACTTTCCTACTGAGGCAGCACCACAGTTTCTTTAGGAACTTACCCCTTTATTAATCATGTAGCTGTGTTGTTGATGTTGAGTTCAGGGTGTCCAATTAAGGTAATGAGGATTTGGGAATTATAAGTCTTCTAGAAAGATGGCCCCACCTTCATTTCAGTGGCCAAGGCTATTTTTATTCTGTTCACCAGCTGTCACATTTTGTGGTGAAAATGTACTGGAAGTTAAATGGGCTCAAATGTCAGTAGGTTGATGGAATTGGGGTCAGGATCAGGATCAGCATTTTGATATTTGATACAATTTTGTTTCCAGGAAGCTTCCAGTTTTAATTCAGGGAGAAACCTCAGTGGGTAAAACCAGTTTGATTCAGTGGCTGGCTAAGGCATCTGGGAACCATTGTGTTAGAATAAATAATCATGAACACACTGATATCCAAGAATATCTTGGTTGTTACACTTCAGATGAGAATGGCAAATTGGTTTTTAAAGAAGGTAAGACTTGATTTTAACTCTTATCAGGAACCCATATTTTTCATGGTTCCCCACTTGTTATAAATGCGTATAACAAAAATTGATTTAACTGAAATATAGGCCAGCAGATTAAGTAGACATTAATGAGTACAAGAGTGAACATCACTGACAGTGCTAATAGGCCATATAATTTTTGTAGGTGTTTTAGTTGATGCCATGAGAAAGGGCCACTGGATCATTTTGGATGAGCTCAATCTAGCCCCTTCAGATGTCTTAGAGGCCCTTAATAGGGTAAGTACTCAATGTTTTAGTGTATGGTCAAGATACCAAACAAATTACTTTAAAACTGAAACAATTATATGAACACATTCCTATTTTATTCCAGTGATACACTCTGTGATTGTTGATTGGGGATCATAGACACATAGTGAATTAAAAAACATTTTAAAGTAATAGCCTTCAAGTAATTTTTCTAAAGAGATTTTGGTGTGAAACTACCAACTTGTAGAAGAATGAACTGACTTGCTAGTTGTTCTATAATGTCATGCCTGATTATAATAACAACATTGATAATAATAATAATTTTACATGCATAAGAAGTATTAATATTAATCATGGTAGTGCTCAGTCTTTGCAAGAGCATGCAACTTTGTCTGTTTTAATTGACTCGTAATATGTCGAAAGTTAATTGGTGGTCTTTGCAAACTTTCTAGAAGAGTGAGTGAGTGAAAATTTTGGCTGAAGCTGGCACTGTACTTATTTTTCATTTTTTTTCTTTTTATTATTCTGCAGCTGTTAGATGATAACAGAGAGCTGTTTATTCCAGAAACACAAGAAACAGTTGTAGCTCATCCAATGTTTATGCTCTTTGCTACACAAAATCCTCCTGGACATTATGGTGGAAGAAAGGTTTACCCTAGAATTGTTTAATCTGTTATTTAAACCCAAATGTAGCACCAAATTCTTACATTTTGGAGTGAAGATTCTGCATTGTTCTCTCTGTTGTGTATATTTCTTTCACCATTGAGAGTTAATTTATTTCATTTCACAGGTGTTATCAAGAGCTTTTCGAAATCGCTTTGTAGAACTTCATTTTGATGAGCTTCCCAGCCAGGAACTTGAGGTTATTCTTCACCAGCGCTGTAGATTACCACTGTCTTATGCTAAGAAACTGGTGGCAATAATGCTTGCCTTACAAGTATGTGAGCCACTTAATATTAGAATTAAAACAGGAGATATTTAGGAAGGACAACCATTGACAGTCAGAGAAACACAGTTAAACCAGTGGCCCTTATTAAATGAACTTTAAGAAATCAACTACATCAAACAGTAACATCATTTAATACCCTAACTAGTAGGAAGCAAACCAGTTGGATATGACAAGTGTCACAGAGGAGTTGAATCCAGGACTACTAAGAAAGAAATTCATCCGGTAGTCAGAGCAGGACTTGCAATTGGGACCTCCAGATTGCAATTCTGCTGTTTTTACCTCTTGATCATTGCCTCAATTTACATGATTATCAACAAGATTCTCTTGGCTTCAGTAGCATTAATATCTATTTTGTCTTTTTACAGGCACGGCGTAGGAGTACCAATGTATTTGCTGGTAAACAGGGCTTTATCACCTTACGAGATTTGTTTCGCTGGGCAGAGAGGTACAGCAAGACTCCTGATGTAGAAGGAAGTGGCTTTTATGACTGGGATCAGCACATTGCAGAGGATGGTAAATATTCATAACATTAAAACATGCAATTCATGAGATGCATATAGCCTTGTCTGTGCTCTGGCAACTTTCTTTAAATTATTTCAGCAAGTTTTCTTTTTTCCTAATAAGACAGTTGTGTATTCTTTACAGGTTACATGCTGCTCGCCGGTCGATGCAGAAATCCCTCAGAGTGCAAAGTCATCCAGGAAGTTATTGAAAAGCAAATGAAGCGAAGTTTTGATCCAGATTCTTTGTTTGGGTATCCTTCTTTGCAAAAGCATTCTCACAGGATCTCTAGTCTCATGGAAGAAGTCACAACAGTGCCATTGGAGGGATTCAAACACATTGTCTGGACTTACAGTATGCGTAGGCTTGCTGTCTTGGCTGGAAGAGCCCTTAAGTTTGGAGAACCAGTTTTGCTTGTTGGAGAAACAGGGTATTGTGATGTAGTAGGGGTTGGCTTTAAGTGAAATTGTTAGAGGAGTTGTGAATTAAAACTAAAATGTGTTATCATTGATGCAGTAACATGAAAACAATTGATTTCCATATAATCAGTGACATGTGTCAAATTATGATCTTAGTACCTAAGTTGTATACATACAAACCATTAGACATAAGCAGTGGTTAATTAAGAAGGCCAAGGTAACATATGAGACATGTTTCCATATCTTTTTGAGTACATCCCATCTCTTGTGTATGGCTAGAGGCATTACTACTCCTGGATGTTACCATTCCATCATGGGCTCTTAAAAATGTTTTCAAATTTCCCTGATAACTTTCAGAACTCCTTTCATGCTCTACAGTGGAGAGATTTACTGTGAGAGTGAAGTGACATGCCTAAGAAAATGTTACAGTTATCCTGGTTGAGCTTCTAAATGCACCTTTTGATGAGCAGTCCTGCCTGCTGCATCTTGAGGAACAAATCCATGTTCAGTTGCACTCATTGCTTTCCTTTTTATAGTATCACTGTGTTTGCCTTTCAGCTGTGGTAAGACCACCATTTGCCAACTGTTTGCTGCTCTGTGGAAACAGCAGTTATTTGCTGTTAACTGTCACATGCATTCTGAGTCTGCTGATTTCCTTGGAGGTCTGAGACCTGTGAGACACAGAGGCCAGGAGGAACAGGTTAGAGGTCCTGCTAACCCCAGTAGTAATGGAAGAATCTACAGCTCTTTCCATATAGCCAAAGCCCATCAAAAGAATTGCTTTAATTTTATAAGTGGAGAATTGGAAGACATAGATGATTTATTTTGTTGGTCTTTACTCTTTGCTTTTTCATAGTCTGGGTACAAGTTCATTTAAGCTGCATAAAAGTATATGCTTTGCACAGATGGATTTTTTTCATGAATAAGACAAGTTATGTTGTATCATTTCAAAGGATGAGCAAGTTACCAAGCTGTTTGAGTGGTGTGATGGACCTCTTGTACAAGCAATGAAAGATGGAGCAATGTTCTTGGTAGATGAGATTTCTTTAGCTGATGACTCAGTGTTGGAGAGACTCAACAGTGTGCTAGAACCTGAGAGGACTTTAGTTCTTGCTGAAAAAGGCAGTGATGGTGGAGATCCTGTTGGAGAAGATGTTGCCATGTTGGTTGCACACAAAGATTTCAAAATCATAGGAACCATGAATCCTGGTGGAGATTTTGGCAAGAAAGAGGTAAGGTGTGTTGGGTCCTTATCAGTATCTGAGCAACTACCCCTCCCATAACCCAATAACAGTCAACTGATAATAAGTTAGGGTTCATGTTGGGTTAGGGGAGGGGTAAGTGTGCAGTTTCTCTGATACTGACATGGATCTGATGTTTTGTCTGCAATTTGGCACTAAATATTGGCAATGTTCCTTGCTTGTGCTATGTGTTTATTAAGACATTTAATAATGCATCTTTGAGTGTAAGATGTGGGAAGAATAATTCTTAGAAACACTGTCACTAAAATGGGTGTTGGTAATAACAATTCAAAACAGTATTGTGTCATGGAGGCAGGAACCTGGCAGTATATTTGAACTATCCCATGTACATATATATCCATTGATGACCTAATAAAGTGAAAACTTACAACATAGAAGGAATCTCACAACTGCTTGTCATATCACCACAGAAAATGCCATCAATACTGCAATGGGTAATCTTGCTTAAAAATTATCCTCAACTGGCTGTTTCAAGGGATCAGCATCAGGGAGAAACAGCACTGATGATAAAATTAGCGAAACAAATTATAAGGCAGCTTTTACACGCTTGGAAAGTCAAACTATGTTTCTTTTTTTTTTTCTCTTGCAGCTATCTCCAGCCCTTAGGAACAGGTTCACTGAGATTTGGTGCCCACCTTCAGATGCCAGGGCAGACCTGGTACAGATTATAGAACACAACATCAAGCCTGGAGTTGTTCTGAAATCAGCCTGTCAAGGTAAGAAGGTCATACTGGATGCCTTCATTTGTGTCATATTTGGTGGCATGGTGTCATGAAGGCCTTCCTTAAGAGGTGCTAGAAAAACAAACACAAAATGTTTTCCTAGCATGCAAGTTGCCATCTTTAAGGACAAGTATTCTTCTGTTATAGGTACATCAGGAATTGGAGAAGCTATGGTGGACTTCATAGAATGGTTTCATAGCTCAGACTTTGGAAAGAGGTAAGTTCAGTTTTTAATTGTGATCCCACATGTTCATTGCTGGTATTTCAGAAAGAATGAATGGATCACAGGGAAATGTTCAATAACAATTGCCTTGTGTGTTTCAAGAGCTGATAGACCTGTTTTATGGCCTTGTTTGATGGATGTGAAACAGTTGAGAATATCATATTACATTTTGAAAATGGCAATTACAATAGGAATATTTCCATTTCAAATGAGCTCTCAAGGATATGCTGCATAATATTATCAACAACCAAATATCAGAGATGATATCATCAGCTTGCAATATCGAAATTTTTTGTTATTAATAATAACAATGGTTTAACTTTTTCTCTAGATTTGTAGTGAGCATCAGAGATCTGTTGTCTTGGGTGAATTTTATAAATACATGCAGTTTCTCAACAACTCTGAATGGTGCAGATGAAAATACAGGTGACAAAGTCTTACTCTCATCAGCCTTAGCTTATGTCCATGGTGCCTGCCTTGTTTTTCTGGATGCCTTGGGTGCAGGGTCCAATATCTTGGTTTCATCATCATTATCAACATCAGCCACAATTACATCTGCAACATCAAGTGGTGTAAAAGACGCGTACCAAACTTGCCTTGAATTTCTGAAGAGACAGGTGGAACAAGACGAAGAGGAAATGCAGTGTTGTGGATATCCTAACAATGCACAAATGAAAAATATCAATGAAAGACCAGATTTTTTTGGTATATGGCCATTTTATATACAAAGAGGTACATATGGAAATGATTTTTAGTCAGCCTTTTATGTGGATGTGCATGAAAGTGCCATCCAGGTGTAGAAGTGATACTTCTTGGTTATGATGAGCTAAAGACACAGGGACAGTGATCAGTACAAGCAACCTGCATTTGAAGAGAATTTGGATCAATAATGTCTTCTTTTCCAAGAAAGGACTTGTAATGGCCCTCTCATTTTATCTTCAGTCTGAATTATCTATATCATTTGATACTGAATATTGTAAATGAATCCTCCTTAGGACCACAACCTCTACCAGAAGATTTTGGTAGCACCTACACCCTCAGCTCACCAACAACTTCACAAAATGCACAGCGTATCTTGCGTGCCCTTCAGTTACCTCGCCCCATTTTGTTGGAAGGGTCTCCTGGAGTTGGCAAAACGAGTCTTGTCCATGCCATTGCTAAGGCATCTGGCCATGAATTGATTAGAATTAACCTTTCTGAGCAAACTGTAAGTAAATTGATTTATCATTGCTGTCTTTTACTACCGTAATTTCCGGTCGATTACCCGCGGGTAATCTGTTGATTTTGCATTAAATCCGCGCCACTGCGGGTAATAGGGAGGTGCGGGTTATGTGACAATTTTAAATTCTTCTGGAAGTTGAATTGAAAAAATTTCTCACCTACCTGCGTTTCCACCTCTCAAATGAATTTTATTGTATCAAAAGTGCCACAAAGCGGCACGAAAACATGATGCCAACTCGAGTTTATTTCACGCATAATTATGCGTGACAAACAAATTTTTATCGGCATGAAAACAAAACCTTGATGGTGACAAAAATAATCCAAGGATATCCGGCGCATCAGTAACAAATTTCCAGTTTTCACTAGCTTGAGCTAAAGAGAATTTTCCCGTTTTAAGGGACTTGTTAGGCCCAGTAGAACAGGAGATATCGATTTTTTTGAGAAATTGCCGACAGTAATTTTAAATCCCAAATGCATCACCAGAATGTTGAAAATAATAGGTGCGAAACTTAACTAATTTCGTGCTGAAAAAGTATTTTAACGACAAATGAACAATGGATATTGCTCATTACGCTCCTACATGCTATAAAAAGGTAACTGACTGAATAAGAATTATAAACCTCGATCATTTGCGATAAGTGTATCCACGAGTCACCAATTAAGTTAAAATGCCTGCTGTGAAACGCCCACGTCACAGTTTTACGTTTGATTATAAGCTTAGAGTAATAACTCTTGTTTAGAGCAGCAGCAATAATCAATCAAAGTATAAGCTAATATTGACACAGAATTGTGCACATGTCTGAATCGAAAGACTGAAATGTATCGCCTTAATGTCACGTTTTCGCCACCGAAAAAGTTGAATAACAACGTGCGGGTTATCCACCGGTGCGGGTAATCTGTTGACTTTTTTTTTCGCCGTATGCAATAATCGGCCGGTGCGGGTAATCGGCCGTGCGGGTAATCGACCGGAAATTACTGTAAGTTATTTTTGTGACCTTAATGTTTGATGCTGTTTGAAGAAGTAAGATGCTATTCATTTATATAGTGGTTAAGGGGTTGATAAGAAAAATGTGGGATACGTTCCTAACTTTGTTTGTTCAATCAGTATCAGCTTCAGGTAGGAAAGTAGTGGCAATTTACATGTAGATTTGTTTTCTGTATTCAACTTCATGCTCTTTCATTGTTGTTAAAGGATGTGACAGACTTATTTGGATGTGACTTGCCTGTTGAGGGTGGGGAAGCAGGACAGTTTGTATGGAGGGATGGTCCACTCTTGAAGGCACTGAAAGCAGGTTCCTGGATTGTCCTGGATGAGGTATTCTGTTTTGTAATTTTTTGTCTTTTACCTCATGATGACTTCCTTCAGAGACCTAGATTTTCCAGAATTAGGTCTGCAAAGCAAGTCTGCAATTGGAAATAGGGAGGTGATGCAAGGATTGACTTGTAAGAATGAGCCAGCTACAGAGGTATCAGGGCATGATCCTGTTTGCAAATCTTTTATTTAATTCTATTTAAATGACAGGAAGTGCATGTAAATATAGCAAACAAGATGTCTTCAAGCTAGCTTTCAGTGCCCTGACAAACAGGTGACCAATCTTCACTGACACTAGCTCTGTAGTTTTACAGATATAACTATTATGTAAACCAAAAATCTAATAGGTTTGCATTACATGAATTAATTCAAGCTATATGTATGGTAGTGTTATGGTAGAACTTAAGAATAGATGAAACACATATCACCATTTACATAGTTGGTCACTTAGGTAAAAAGTGATGATTTTCCCTCAGGAACTATTAATGACGTCTTTGGTTTTGTGATTCAGCTCAATTTAGCATCACAGTCTGTTCTTGAGGGACTCAATGCATGTCTGGACCACAGAGCAGAGGTGATTCCTTTTTTGTGTTATTCTGTTCTCAACTCAGCCAGTCACTTAAGTTTATCTCAGGAAAAAAGTTCAATAACATTTAGTTTAATTTGTTACAGGTTTATATCCCTGAGCTGGGAATGACTTTCAAAGTCCAACCTGACCAGACAAGACTGTTTGCCTGTCAAAATCCTTTAAACCAGGGAGGAGGAAGAAAAGGATTGCCAAAGTCTTTCCTTAACAGGTTCACTCAGGTAAACTGATGTTATTCTGTGAAAGAGATTTAAATCTCTTCCATCAACTAAGAATTCTTTGTCATCTGTAACATTTTAAACTTAAATGATCAAAAATTAATTTTCCATTACAGTTGTTTATCAAAATATTTCAAGCAGAAAAAGCAGTAAGAACAAAGAGAAGACAGAAAACATCAATGGAGGAATATGGTTTGATTTGAAACCAAATTCTGAGGACTAAAATTTTATCAAAATGTATGCAGAGATAGGAGATATAAAGACAATTGAAGAGACATCTAGATCTTGGGAGTGAAAGGGCTGTGGTTGTTTGTCATAACCACTCATGTTTCTCATTTCCTTCACAGCCCTGTGTCAAATGCCATTGGTTTCTATTATGTGTAAATGCCGGTACATATTAAATGACTTAATTATGGTTTTCTATCAGGTTTATGTTGAGGCACTCTCCAAAGCAGACTTACTGTTCATCACACAAGCTCTTTATCCACAAATAAATCAGGACATCTTGGAAAAGATGGTGACATTCAATCAGCAGGTAAATGCACAATATTGTATTTTAAGTGAAAAAAATGGTGTCAGTTCTTATTGTAAAAGGCTAATTGGCTGAGAGGATAGTCTTATTTACCAATCATTTGAAAATATCTACAGAGCCTGATTATTAGCTAAACTTTACCTTTCAGTTTTTTGTTTTTGTTGTTGCTTCTTTGTTTAAGGAAGGTTTTATTATTTTCTTGTGGGCTAGATTCATGAGGAGACTGTTGTGGAAGGACACTGGGGAAGGAAAGGTGGCCCGTGGGAACTTAACTTAAGAGATGTGTTTAGGTGGTGTGATTTGCTCATAAAATACCAGGTATATTTTTGTAAGTTTTCTTTCTGTGACTTAATTATTGACACAAAATAGGTTATGTTGTTGGCAACATAGTTTGTATTGTTATTTCAAAAGGCCTGCTTATAAATTCTTTGCTTCCTAGAATTGTGGCACTTGGAACCCTGGTCAGTTTGTGCATCTTATTTACTGTGACAGAATGAGGACGCTACAAGATAAACAGATGGTAAGACTGGTTTCTGTTTGCTTCTGATAAGAGTAAGTTTACCTTATTAAGCTAAAGTAGGCCTTTAAAAAAATTTCCTAAGTACATTAATTTAGGAGCAGCAGTATGTGTACATGTGTAGTAACTCCTTATTAAGTGTTTATGATAAGATTTACAAGCACATACCAGAATTATATTTTTAGAATTGTTTTCCAGAGTTAGAATTGTTCTACTTGTGTTTCAGTTTTACGGATAGTTTTAAATGCTTTCCTATCCAAGAAGAAAAAGAGAGAAAAATGATGGGTTACCCCACTTGTCTCACAGGGGATGATGATTCACTTCAGTGGCAAGCTCCAACTATAGAGAAACAGCCCACATTTATTGGATAGGTGTTTATGTATAGGTGCAAATTACACAAAAAGTAGTGAAATTGTGAAGTTGTGAGAAAGAGGGTTGCATACCACAGAATGATCTTAAGAAAACCTACCATCTTTTCATCTATTTTCTTATTTGCTTATGGGTGGATTAGGTACTCAAGTTGTTTAAGTCCATATTTGAGAATTCAAGGCAGATTGATAAGATTGGTCCTGTGCAAAAATCATTTTACATCACACCAGGCTATGTTCAGGTGAGTCTGTAAGGCAAACTATCAACTTTGGTGCAGTACATGAGGATTAACTCAAAGTTCTCCAACAAAAATGATCTCAGATTTGTCTTCACATCTTATTAACAATCCTTTGCTCAAGGTGAAGTAAATGTTGTTGAATAATGCCCATGCTAGGTTGAAGGGATTATTCAACAATATTCACTGAGCCTGAGGGGAAGAATTGTTTCAGTATAATTGCGTTATTACTTTTGAATTCTGTTGTAAATATATATTTTGATGCTAAAAACCATTCTGTTTTAGTTGTTCCGATTACTTGTATCAAAGAAAAGAGCCAGTTTCCACAATAATTTAACAGGTTCATTTAATTCAATCAGAAAAAACTTTATATCTCTCTTTTGAAAAGTGTTACTCCAAACTTAGTAGCATCTTTTGGGCTCTGGGGAATTGAATTTTTTTTTTCACATTCATCAGTTCCCTGGTAACACTGATGAAACACAATTTTGAAATTTAGCACTCCTGATCCAATCACCTCATGCGAGGTGATTATAGTGAGGTATAATGCATTCCTTGACCAATCAGAGCATGTGTGAGCATCTCTATAATCACTGGTCGGAGCAATGTTATTATACTAATGATTATTACTGCTCTCTTGAAAGGTTGGCCATTCATGGCTTCCAAGGTGTTCCTTAATGAACCAGTCACCAAATGGTGGAAGGCCCTTACAATTGCTTCATCATTGTCTGCCAGCCATGGAGTCACTCATGACCTGTCTAGACATGAACTGGATGGCTGTACTGGTGAGTATCAATGCACCACATGGATAATCCTAAGAATAGTGTTCAGGAAAGTGCTTTATTTTGGGACAAGACTTTTAATTTGACATTCCATTTCATTTTTGTCCTACAATTTCGAGGCAGGTTCTCTTGTTTCTGCTTAATTTCAGTTGCCTTTTAGTACAGTAATGTTAAATTACTGAAATTTTGAAACTGAAAAAAGTCAGGGGAAAAAAGTATCACATACAATTCTATATTTGTTTGTCGCAGGACATTCTTGTGGTGGAAGTTTTCCATTCCCCAGTGACAAAAGATGTTTGTTGTATGTGATGTGTGAAACATGTTTTTAAACATAACAAGTTGTGCCCAAAATTTGTCTTTTTCATTAACTAGGTTGGTCCAAGATCTTGTGGAAAGACATCCCTAGTCCATCTAGTTGCCCAGCTGACAGGAAATAGACTTGAAGTGATGGCCATGAATAGTGCCATGGACACCACTGAACTTCTGGGGGGATTTGAACAGGTACAACATAGTGTTTAAAAATCTGGAATTCAGCATGCTATTTGCCCAGTAGGCAAGGTAGCATGAAAGTTGCTTGTCCAGCAGGGAGATATACTTACCTTTGACAACCATATGTTTTTTCAAACATCATCCTTTTGTTCCATTAAGTTAAATTGGTCCTAGATAAAAATAATGAAAGGTTGGCTGGGTGAAGATGTAACAACTATTAGTGTGTGTGGTTTTCTCCATTTATGAAGAGACATAAGAGGGAGTGATAGTAATAATAGTAAAGTTGCTTGTCCAGCAGGGAGATATACTTACCTTTGACAACCATATGTTTTTTCAAACATCATCCTTTTGTTCCATTAAGTTAAATTGGTTCTAGATAAAAATAATGAAAGGTTGGCTGAGTGAGGATATAACAACTATTAGTGTGTGTGGTTTTCTCCATTTATGAAGAGACATAAGAGGGAGTGATAGTAATTTTCATAATTTTTGCTCAGGCTTAATTTTTTTGCTCACAGGCTGATCTCGACAGACATTTGAGAGATATCATAGATGAAACCAAGCGGCTTATCCCTACCATAATAAAAGAGATTTTGATCTGCAATGATCAGATGAGTACATGTTTGCAAGAAATATTGTCTCTGTATAAGCTGTCGTCATCCTTCTCAAGTAATGACTCTGAAGGTATACATACAGAAATTATGTGACTACCAGGGAAATAAAACATTTTGGAAAGGCTGTCATTCAAAGGTGTGAAAGGCTGCTGCACATTTCCAAATGGGGTTTGTGGGCAATGTTAAATTACTGTGGCTTGTATTTTTTTTGTCTTTTCCCAAATGAAGTAGAATCAGGCATGATTTTGCATTGTCATTTCTTCTCCCTTTATCCCACAAAGGTATCAAGAAGTAAACTTGTTCAACATTAAACTAACATAATATTACCCTTAAAGTATTATTGCCTTACATGAAGAATATTAATTGAGCTCAGCATTCTGTGAAAAGTAATTTACTTCATATGGTATTGTCCAGGGGATCAAGGATGGAGATGGTAATGGAGAGGGATGTCTACTGGGACTGTGCAGAGATATAACAACTATACTTGGCCTACCACCTGTTTAAATAAAAGTTTTCTTATGGACTTTCTTTCTATATCGTAGTTACCTTTACTGAGGCTAATGGTATTTTTTGTTTTTTGCACAGTTTCTGAAGATGAAAACACTGCAATGCTATCTCACAAGAGACTGGATGACTTGCAACATCTCCTTACAAAAGTCAAGGAGATCTGTGATAACTATGAATTTGATTCTTTGGATGCAGGTTTGTTCTATCCCTTAGTAGATTCTTTTGATAGCTCTTGTTTATGGGGTCTCATCATATACTCATTTGCTGGTTGCTCCAGGGCTTAGTTTAAATGCTCCCTGTTGGAACCTTTTGATCATGTTGCATGTAGACTAACACATAATGATGCTGATGATGTTTTGACTGCATTGCTTGTTGAGACAATTTTCTTGGAAACTTTTCTGGCCATGACAAGATGACAGGCTAGGTTTTTAATCCACTCAGAGTTTGCAAATGAAATCTAGTTAAATCATGGATGCTGTCTGCACACAATGAACATCTTGACACCAAATTACTAAAGATGAACAAACTTATATTCTGTGAAAACTGTACCAAATAATGTCACCCTTGGTTGTCAAGTTTCTCAAAGCTTTTGTGCTGGAACTTAAACTTACAAAGGCAAAGTCTTCTCTTGAACTAATAGGCTACATAGCCTGAGCTAACCTCTTCACTTTAGAGGAACTAGGAGTATTGTTAGTCCATGGCAGGTCTCCCCCCAGCATTTTGTCACATTCCTTGACAGAAGCTAATACTCTTTTATAGTCCTGGGTGTGGAGAGGCTCTGCATGAGGAAAGTATCTTGTCAAAAACACAATATAATGGTCAGGGGTGAATTGCACAGTGGGCTTATCTCTAGGCCAGTGGTCATGCAAGGTCTTAATAGTTGGTTGATATTTTCTTTTTTATGTAGTTAACATCATGGAGATGGTTCAGTCCTTACAAAAGAAACTCAGAGCCAACAAGGACAGTTCCCACTGTGGTGGGCAGTTTGAATGGGTTGATGGACAACTTGTGGAAGCCCTCAAGTCTGGTTACTGGCTTCTGATAGACAATGTTAACTTCTGCAGGTAACAGAAATAATTGTATGAAAATAAGAATTTGGCTGTTCTTCACCTGCTAATCCCTAGGCAAATTGAAACATAGCATCTCTGGGTGTATATTCTGTCAAGCAACCACTAAATATCCTATCTAATGTTGATGGTTGGTGAATGTAAGGAAAGCCAGGAGTTGAACAATTTCACTTTCATGTTAACTTCAAGAGTTTTTTACTTTTGTTAACTTTCACTTGTTTTCTCTTTCCAGTCCATCTGTCCTGGACAGACTGAATGCTCTGTTGGAACCTGGAGGTGTCTTAACCATCGATGAAAGAGGGGTTATTGATGGCCAAATCCCCTCCATCAAGCCACATCCCAATTTCAGGTTAGATTGTATTTATCATACACATGCTTTGTATTTACCAGAAAGCTGTTGCATTTCTTGTGATTTGCCATGTGGGTTTTTGTCTCTTTTCAGGTTGATTCTTGCCATGGATCCAAGATATGGTGAGATCTCAAGAGCAATGCGCAATAGAGGAGTGGAAATTTTCATGTTGGGAGAGGTATGTTAAAAATGAGATTAAACATGATGACCAGTTGGAGGTGTGGTAGCCCATGGGTGTGCCATGCAAGACATTTCAAATAGAGAGGTCCACTTTTTGGCCTTGTTTCAGGGACCTTGGAATATGAATTGACTGGGCAGTCTTCCAAAATTTCAGGAGTTATAAGTGTTAGATTAACAACTCATCCAAGAAGTGGGGTAACAATGTCTTGAATGGCTTAATGCAAACAGTTCCTATAGTAAGACCAACTATCTAGTCTCAGACTAAATATGAGGCTGGACACAACAATAATCAGCAAGACTCTTTTAAAAAATGAATGGCTGTAAAACTTTTCTCCTTGAAAGCATGGAAAAAGTTTTCACAGCAGTACCACTACTGTTTTCTTGAAGTTTTCTGAAGTACACTCTTGCCTTTTGTAAGGAGGATGATGAGAAATATGATGACTGTGATTACCAAATGATGCTTAATGGCCTTGGTATTGAAGACAAAAGAATATGTGATTGTCTTGTAGCTTTTCACAGAGACAAAGGAGGTAGGCTTCATCACATATAATGTATAGTTTAAAAAAAGTAAAGCCTTTATACAGGCCCAAGTGGCCCATGGGGCCAGTGCTTAACTCTGGTTTCCTTAGCATGAAGCGGCTAGGAGTATTGCTACTCCCCCTTGGATGGGATGCTAGTCCATTGCAGGGTTACCCCCAGCACATTTGCTGGTACCCATTTGTACACCTGGGTGAAGAGAAGCACTGTGAGAGTAAAGTGTCTTGCCTAAGAACACAACACAATGACCCCAGCCAGGGCTCAAACCTGGACCACTTGATCTGGAGTTGAGTGCACTAACCATGAGGCCACTGTGCCTCCACCAATGTATAGTTTAGCTCTACCTTAAATGTTAAGAGAATTATGTGTTGGTGATTCACATAAGTGAAGTTGGAAGGTCTGAGATATGGCACCTCATAGGCACTCAGAAGCTTCCCTCTGTTCCTCGTTTGGGACATCAGTATTTAAAAATGCAGGAAAGTACATCAGTATTTAAAAACGCAGGAAGGTACATCAGTATTTAAAAACGCAGGGAGATGTCATTAACCATTTAACTCCCAAGATCCAATTGTTAATTCTCCCCTCTGGCTGCAACACATTTCTTTGTAGGGTAGTTGTGAGGATTTGATGGTAGATCAAGATAACAACTTCTACCTGATAAGTTTGGGTATTCTCATCACCTGTTTGCTGGATAATGTATGGATATTATAGGGAGAAGTTACATGTTAATCACTTCTGGGAGTTCAAGGATTAAAAAGAACTGTCAAAGAACTTATTGGCTGTGTTACTTCTTTAAGGTTCTTTCTTGGATATGCTTCATGCAGCCTCACTAACAAAGCAACTCCTTCAGGGAGGAAGTGAAGAATTATCTGCTGTTGCAACTTCTCTGAATCAAGTTTACGCCAGAAATCAAACTTCTGTGCAAAACAAACAGGTATTAATCTTTAAGAGGAATAAGTGCTAACTCTGTAGTATTTGATAAGGCAAATAACAATTTTTTGTGTGGTACATGAATTTTTCAGTGGCTTTTCATAAATATGACTCTCAATTTTGATCAATGTCTGGGTCATTATCTTATCATCACTTTGGATTATAGCGGAGCTCGCAGAGCGTAGCCCCATAATTATACAAAATAGTAGTAACCCATCAAGCCGAAAAATGGGTGTATTTAATCTTGTAATCAAAAGATGTGAATCAAAGAAATTCCAAAGCTATCAAACTATTGGTAGTTCCAAGTGGGTAAAGAAAATTGTTAATGGCCAGGAAGTCTTGAACTGGTAGACAAGTGTTATTATATTTCCAGGCGCCTTAGATGGTCTCAGAAAGAAATTTATAGTTTACAGTGAGTGCTAATGGGTAAAAAGATACAGGCCTTTGCTTAGAAGCTTGCTGATGCTGATGAGGCAACTTATTAAACAATCTCGGTTGCTTGGATGTTTAGTTCTTTAGATAAAGTAATGAATATTGTGTCTTTCATCTGCGACAATGATTTGTTGTTTTCAGGATGTCAAAGACCTTATTGGCAAGCACACTAAAAATTTGGGAAGTGCCGTCCATTTTGAATCTACTATACTGCACTTTCCATCGGCCCAAGAATATCATGCAAACTCTGTTGTGTCAACAATCAAACAACAGTCCTTGCCATTGTTGCACATTCTCCAGAATGGCACATCTGTGCATCAGCTGGAGTCTGCTGTGCTGTTGTTTTTGGAAAGAGCATCACATTATGACTGGACGTCTAGGCTGGGTTATTTGCAGTCAGTGGTGGATGTGCTTTGTGCTAAGAAGTTATGTTCCCATCATCTAGGAGATGTTGCCTCACTCTTGAAATCTTACCTTAAGAGTTTTGGTGTAATTTTTAGCAGTCAACTTATGGATAAACTCAGAATTGGGTTCAACGATATCCAGTCCACACGATTTGGTAGGTAGCAAAATGAAGTATACATTTATCAGGGAGAATCAAGGCAAAAAGTATCAGTTCCAGAGGCTAGTTCTGTCACGGGGGTATCCCAGTTTCTGCGGAATGACTGTGAGAGCCATTGAGAATGACATGCACACAGGTCCCAGTCTCCAGTGCAATCAATTGACCATTTCCGATTTACCCTCGGCCTCATTTTCAGAGCAAGTCCTGGTGCTCATCCTTTGATATGATTATAACTTTTCATTCACATGTAAATTAAACTCGTTTTCATACGAATGGTCGAGCACCAGGCCTCGTTTTGAAAAAGAGGCGAAAGGTAATTCGGAAATGGCCTATTGGAACTCAGTGGATATCCCCCAATTATCTCTGGTAATTTAGAGTATAGTTTATCGTGTTTTCCTTGCTGACCTAAGCTGTAAAAAGTTCCTTTGACGTTTCCTTTTATGTATTTTTGTACATATTATACATCATGATTTGATTTGAACATGAGTTAAACAATTATGATTGGGTACTTTACAGATTTCCGCATGCTTGAACATCTCCCTTATGACCTAAGACAGAACACAGATCTTTTCAATCATCTGAGACAGTTTCCAGTTAATACTGCACCATTGGAAAGGGCTTCAGGCTTGGCAAACAGGTACCTCTATTCGCTTGAAATAAACTTTAACAGTAACTTACTTACTTACAGCCCGTCGCACCTCTTGGCTCTTCTTTATCCTGGGCCCGCTTCTGGATCCTTCCCAACTTCTGGTATATGGCTTTCATCTCCTCCTTGACTGTCCGCCGCCTAGTTTTTTGTCCGGTCGGCCTGTCTTTCTCTTTCCCTCTGGGGTCTGGTGGATGGCCACTTAAACTGTGACATCCCCAATTATGACCACATCAGCCGGGCCATTAACTTAAAGTTGTCGGGAATGCCACCACTACCAATAACAGTGTAATTTCCAAAACAAGTTACTATTCAAAAGGTCTTTTTTTTTCACACTTTTGTACAAACCGACTCACGATGAAAAGCGATATGCTTGATTGCACTCACGTGCACAAATTTGTTAATCAAAAGTCTTTTGTATGTTCTGCCCCAGTCTCTGACCAAAAAAAAAACTTGAATAATTATTGATTATCTGTGGCAACCTCGCAAACCAACCTTTCAGTAGAAGTAGGATTATGGGCTTCCGTACATTTTGCAGAGAGCTGGGAAGGTGTAATTTTGTAACGTATTTGTTCATCACTGCTGCTACTAGTTCATTCATGCGGCTGCACTGTCTTGAGAGAAAACTGGTATATTTTAAGTTACAGTAAGAAAACATGTAGTGCATGTAAACTTGTGATGATTTATTTGTATAACTTCTTGTTGTGACGATCTTTTTGTAGGTTGTCTCTGTTGGAAGCTAAAGCCAGACAGTGTTATTCTTTTGAAGGAAAGATTCATTCATCTGGAACTTTACAGAGCGGGAATTTGATTCAGCTTTGTAACGCTTTTCATGCTGGTAGGAGTATTGATAATGAGAGATAATATTGCCGTGGTCTCTATTGTAAGATTTTCTAACAACCTTTGGTTTAGTCTTTCATTTTAATTACATTGTTATTATACGTTGCCAGATATCTTTCACTTATTCCCAAAGCTCTACTCACTGTTCGTGTCTTTGTAGGTCAGTTGCCGTTAGAATCGCTTCCTCACCCAGTTGTGGTACATCTGTTACCCTTCTTTAAATTGCTGGGCTCTGTTATGGACAGTTGTATCCATCAAGGAGAAACCTTCAGTGACAGCAACTACTGGATGGTAAAATCTTTTGTTAATTAAACTCAACAGAACAGCTCTTTTGATTCCACAAAGTAACTAACAGTAAGAAACCTGATTTACAGCAGTAGTGTTCTTCAGTCAATGTGCATTGTATTTCTTCACCACAAGTGCTATCCCTGGATATATTTTGCAAGAGGAAATCAAAGAGAGGGGGTCCTAATTTCGTTTCACGCGTCACGTGTACTTTAAACAGTGTTTCACGCGTCACGAATTTAAAACGAAAAACTTCAAATCTCACTTTACCTTGCCTTTTGTTAATCCTTTAACTCCCAGGATCTGATTGTTAATTCTCCCCTGTAGCTGCTACGCATCTCCTTGTAAATAAGTTATGAGAACTTGGTGCTAGATCAAGATAGCAGCTTCTACCTGATAAGTCTGAATATTCTCATTACCTGTTTGCTGAATAATGTATGGATATTGTAGGGAGAAGTTTTACGTTAATCACTTCTGGGAGTTAAAGGGTTAAAGTTCACGCGTCACGTATCAACTTTGAGCTTAATAACGCGTTACGTATAAACCCTTAGCCATCCTATTGCAGTAACCACATGTTGCCAAGATAGATCTAAAGATAACCATAACATGCAAAAATCATTTAGCGTAGGCTCCATGATCACTTTGACTGTAACAACTGTTGCTATCAAAACTGGATTGACACTACTTGACACAGTGTCATACATTGGATGTCTACAATGATATCCCTCTGTTAGGATGTTATGGTAGTGTTTAATAAGTTCTGTTTTCTGGTTCTTTAACCTCTGATTTACAGAAAATTTAATTCCTATTCTACCACAGGTGGTGGAAGGACTTACTTGGTTGGACAGGCTGTGGACCATGTGCGAGAAACAAACCAGACAGAATTTCTCACTCTCGTTTCTCTCCCTTCATTGGACCTGGGTTGAACAGTACACATTACACTCTGTTCAAACAGCATTTGACAAATTTACTGACAGGTAACGGCTATCACCTAACTTTCAAGGTTAGGGTTTTAAAGGGCAGTTGGAGAGTAGCACAATTATTTCCAATCACTGTTGCATTCATAATTTACTAGTTCGTTTAAGTTCTCTTTTTTCAAAAGCAAACAAAACTAAGTGATATGTTATGAACCGAAGACACGTGTTAACATTATCATCATAGATTGATTCTTCCCCTTGGTTGTTTATTTATTTATTTTAAGGTTGGTGATTTGAGTGCTCTCTGAATAATTGTTGAAAATATATGATTTGGCAAGAGGTACAGATTTTTGTTCTGGACTTAGTTTACTAAAGCTTGTGGCTGTAATGTGAACTTTGAAAGACAGAAAAATTGAATGGCCTGTTTTGCATGCAATTCTTTTTGTGATATACCTGCAGAGAATTACCAGAAGAGCTTGTTACAGTTGTAAATCACCTGCAAACGGTTCTAGCCACAGACAGGAGAGTGACTGAAGCCTACTTGCGAATCCTGGTTGCTTTTGGGCATCCTGCACCATTTAAATCAAGAAGTGCCTTTATGGTCTGGGTAAGCTATTTTGATTCGGTTTAAACATTTGCTAATTAACAATTAGATAACTCAGGCGATTCAAATATGGTGAGCGAGGCGCCAACCAAATTGTACCGTTTTGATGGAATGCTGGGAGATTTCTACTAATCACAAAGAGCTACGTCTGCCCAATAGCGAGTGCATCGGACTTGACATCTATCGAAAGGCTCAGGTCTTAGCTTCCATTGAGTTTTGCCGAGTGTTAGATCTCTCAGCTAGTACGTGCGCTATGACTGGTCAATTTGGCGGCCGCATTTCACTGTACAACCTGCAAAATTATTTGAACTGAAATCATGCCGCCCTATTTGAACCCAAACTTGCAATAAATATCTTACTAATCTGGTTTTCTTGGTTTGTACCGTAAGTTATGGAACCTTGTTCTTCCGCTCGGATTTATGGCCTGTGCGCGTCGCGCTCCGTAACTTAGTGCACTGACCTTGAACCCGGTTAGTAAGAGGTCTGCATCCTTTGGTATCTGGTCGAGGTGCTCATGGCCTCTCAGGTTTTGCAAACTTCCAAGAAAAGCTGGAGAAATTGTAATCCGTAGGGGATTTGCGTCCTATCCAGGCGAAGTATCCATACTTGCAGTCACTTTAAAGTAAATAAACGGGGATAAGCTGTGACATCTATGCAAGTTAGCATGTGGAACACTGTCATGTTAAGGCAAAATTTTATATATGCTGTTGTCTCAATATGTTACCTGTTTCATGTTTTCAGTATTAAAACTGAACAAGCTATTGTTTTGACTATCTAGGAAAAAACGCAAAGTCTTTGTGAACGGTTTGACAATTACTGCAACAGATCATGGAATCGTCGGTTTGAAGAGGAGCAGCAAAGCTGCAAAAATGCAGAACTGAAAGGCAAGCTGGCAGAGGTTTTGAAAATAATGCTGGACAACACGATGAATTTTAGTGAAGAAGAATATTCACAATGTGGTGAGTATTTACTCTGTTTTGTATTGTGTAAACCACTTGTCTTCATTGACAAGGCAGATATAAACACATTGATAGATCAAAGAAAACTTCAGAAAATTGAGAGTTTAAAATACATGCATCCAAGAACGCATCCTGTCTAGCAGGACTTAATTTCATCGATCAGACATGCAAAGAAAAGAAATCTGGTCTCCACGCAACGCTCAGCTAAATCTAAACTCCCAAGATCAGATTCTTAATTCTCCCCTCTAGCTGCCACATATTTCTTTGTAAATTGGTTATGAAAATTTGAGGTTAGATCAAGATAACAACTTCTACCTAATAAGTTTGAGTATCCTCATGATCTGTGTGCAGGATAACGTATAGATATTATAGGGGGGAAGGTGCATGTTAATCACCTCTGGGAATTGAATATTACTGTTTGTTTTAGTATTACTTTTCACTTCTCATGGGTTCGTATGAATTATAGAATTGAGCAATGAGTTTGACCATGATTTTTCCACCCAAGTCAACTGATAAGTGGATTTAATTTTTTATAATTCTACTGAACTAGTTGACGTCTACATTTCACTTTTGTTTTAGACTCAATCCTTTCCAGTGTGGAAGAGACAACTAGCAGAAACCTGGAATCTACACAAGAGATAATGACGTCAGATGACAACTCCTCTGAGCCAGATCAAGAAACGAGCGTCAATATAAGAATGAATGATGTGGCACTAAAAAAAATTATGTCGCTCATGTTTGGGGATGTTTGTTCTTTGCAAGAAGGTCGTGTCCTAGGGTCTTTGATGCTGGCGCTGGTAAATCAAATGGCTAGAGGGTTAGTTTTTGTGCAACAATATTTTCTTGTCTCATCTCATTGGTAGCACGTTCACGTTTTTTTTTCCTGAGCGTTGTAATTGTCTTCGGATCAAAGGTAGAATCTGAACAACTTGGCAACTACCCCTCCCCCATAAACGAACAACAGCCAACTTATAAAAAGTTAGGGTTAGAGTTGGGTTTGGCGGGGGGGAGGGGGGCGACTAGGTACGCAGTTGCTCCGATACTGACATTGATCCTTGTCTTTTAGGAGAGATTGATTTGTTTCAATTTCATTCTGCAAGTGTCTTGCATTTCTTTTTGGTTTCAACTTCCTTCGATTCTTCCCTCCTACTGTCTGTTTTAATCCAGAGAATATGTCTTGGAAATATCGATAATGAATGAACTTTTGTCAAGGCTTCACACCCATTCCTAAAGTTACTAATGAGAAATACTCTTCAAGAAAAGGTAAAACCAAGGCAACTATTCTTTATGCACTGGTAGCATGCTTGTCATAATACTTATTGCGTGGCTATGTAACTGAAATAGTTTCCTGACAGGGCAACTTCCTTGGACAGCGGAGCCGTAAGAGATGAGATAGAGGCACTCACAACATATCATTTGAAAAAGAGAATAAGAGATCCAGTAATACAGGCGATATTTTGTCACTTGGGAGGTACTCTGAGCAAGGTATGAACGATTGCTTAGATTCTATTCCACCCATCATGATTGTTCATTTTAGAGTTGAGCTTTGTGTTTTAACACAACTCGCAAGCATGAACTGTGTTTTTTATTTCTCGAAATATAATAACAACTTTTAAAATACAAGGGATAAGGCGTTAATAATCGTCGGGGGGGGAGGTCAAAGGGTTTTTGGAGGGGCTGCATGGTTTTTAGAGGGAATGGAGGGGGATCAGTCGTCGCTGACAGAGTATAAAGGGGGGACTATAGGAAATTAACTGTCAATTTGGGAGGATCATTAGAATACTTAAGAGGTTTTTTTTTTGGGGGGGGGGTCAGGTAGATTTTATTGTGAAATATCCCCCCTCCCTTTCTGGCTATATATAATGAACAGTACCAATACTGTTTTTTCACTGGCATTGCAGGGAAACAACTTAAACTCACATTTCTCGTCCATCTTCCGCCTGGTGGAGTCTGAAATACTCACAGAGTGCTTCATGTTGGAGAGCCGTAAGCTTTGGGTGCAGGGTAACGAAGGCAAAGAATCAAATGTTTTCTCTGTTTTGGGCGGAGCACGACATCTTTTGGATAGCGTGTCATCACGGAAGTTAGTTGAAGAGGGACATGGCAGCTCTCTCACTTCTTTGACAATTCGCAACTACGACGAAAACCTCAAACACTTGGAAATATTATCATCACACTTTTGGGTCAATGGTGACTTGCTTAATTCCCACAATGAAGTGGATCGGTAAGTACCTCAAGGGTGGGGTCTCGTGTACAATCTTGTTTACATTTTATACTTAAGAATGTACCTCGTTTACATTTAATGGTCTCTGTTGGTAGTGGAAGCGTTTGTGTTTAAGAATTGTTTAGAGGTCAAGAGAAGATTGTAAATTTTGTCTCCTACTTTGGCTTTGGCAATCCAACTATTATTTCTTCACATTACGCTACAGTGGTACCCTATAAAATTGTAATGCGGACTGCGTTCATGTTCATTTGTATTCTCTGATGATTCTTCTCTGATTTTGATTTGCTATTTTATTTTCAACATTAAATCTCCTGGTTGCCTTGCTTACATTTTTTATACTTCCCCAGTTGTGGACTTTATTAGATATTGAAATGAATGAAGCACAAAGCCATTAAAGTACTTCAGTTGAACCTAATAAGAGTTTTGTTTTACCTTGGGTGGAGACTTAGAAACGTCTGAAAGAAGGTTGGTGTAGTTGTTGCTTTCATCAATTTCTCTTTTTTTCTGTAGGAATTCAAGTATAAAGTTGTTCATCGCCAAATGGTTTCAAGTTCTTTTGTCAGTCAAAGAATCCCTCTTTCAAAGTAGAGATATGGGGATCGCTAGTGTCATTAACAGAATATTACCAAGTGTCTATGAAGAAGATAATCTTTTGCATGGCATTAACTCTGTGGTAGATGTTTTGAAGGAAGTTGTGCAAATTGTTTCCAATGCTTACAAACACTGCACTGGCAACGTTAAACAAGCAGATTCGATGTGTAATCTTCTGACTGCGTGTCTCGAAGGAGTTTCTCGGCTTCCAGAAGAAGCTCGGGGTAAGTAATTGTTTCATGTAGCCGTAAGTTTTTACAATCACTGTTCATTCATTTGCCCGCAGTTCGTAACAGGATGGTATCATTAGTTAGAACAATCTGATTTTTAGGCGTAGCATCAAACTTTCAACCGATCAGCCTTAAAAAGGTCAAATTGGTTTTAGAATTGAATTTTTGAATGGAGTCTTGCGTCAAATTTTCAATCCTTCGGCTGTAGAGTTTATTGAAGTCAATAACATTGTGAACATTACAGTGATCAGCTGAAGAGCTGGTTAAGGAGGCAAATATTGAAATCAAAATTGCATTAAAGAGCCGAGATTTTATTTCATTGACTCATTTGGAGATCGTCCAGAAAGATAGGCTGCACATCTGATCTCAGCGACCTGCAGGGCCCAGTAATTCAAAGGGTGGATAGCTCTATTCAAAAATATTAGTTAGGAGAAGTTCTAGTGAGATCGTGGGAATGAAAGGTTTAACAACGTACTGCAGAGTGATAGATGGATAGTGCAGAGCTATTCACCCTTTGAAAAACTGGAGCCAGCAATTTATTTCCAATTGCCGTGTTCTCAAAAGACAAATTTTCTTTTGTAGCAAATAACACAGACATGTTTTGGGACTCCATTTGCCTTGGTGACATGTGGACTAAACTTGGCTTGGTTCAGTCATTGATTCTGTCTCCTGTCGGACCCGTGGATCCTGTTGAGAAAACTAGGATTGAACTTGATTACGTTAATAGCGAGGTAAGTGTACGTTTTATGCGCAGTCGTATTTTTTTCAGAAAATAATTTTTATTTCCTTGTTTGTATTGTATCACGTAGTCGTTTCTTCAATGTTACTATTTCGCTCTTCTTCTTTGGCAAGCTAATTCTTCCAAATCTTTGAAATTCCTATATCCCAAATGCCTTCATATGCAAATCTTTCAATTTTGAGCAGATTCTAGTTGACACAAGAGCACTCGGGTGTACACATTCCGCATTTTTTTAACAGATTCAAAGAATCGAAGAGGAGTTAAAAGTGAGATATTATGCAGAGGAAATATGGAGAGGAGTGAAGACTTCTGTTGATGATTTGGAAGCTCTTGTTTGTGAGGAACACAGGAGTGAATCACAATTAACATCTAATCCAGTACGGGTGGGGCGATTGTTAACTAAACTTAAAAATCTCAGAGTGAAAGCGGAGAACCTGAGTAAGAATGCCGCCATCAGACCAGACATCTCGCAGGTATGAAAAAAAGGTGTTCAAAGAATGGACGGGATATTAGCTTTTGATAGCAGAATGCTACTCTTGTATACTTGCCAACTACAACAAAACTTATATGAATGCATGAACACTTTCTTGAAAAGAAATCAACCTGGTATGTGTGGTGGGGACAGCAGCCTGCAGTCAGTTTTTTGGGCAGATTGACGAAGTTTGTAGAAAAAGATAGCAAAGTACTTGTGATTAAATTTTTGTTGTTGATAACTTATCGTTCACGTTGTTTTGTGTAGACTTACAAGAAGTGCCCTTTTATTCTTAGCTGTCTTCGATCCTTGAGCATCTGTCGTTTTGTTGCATAACAAACGGGTGCCTCTGCTTCCTGCCAATTTTTGTTACAATGCTTCAAGGACCTTTGTTGATCACTCACGTTTTGCAATGTTTTTTGTTTTCAATCAGTTGTAATTAAGAAATTTGTGTCCTAAATAACTTGCATAGCTGACAATGTCATTGGCACTAGATGAAAATAAAGTCAATAGGTCGCGAAAAATTCTCGTCTCCACTCCTCTTTCGGGCTCGCCACTTCTTTTGGGGGCTCGGCTGCTAAAATCTTCCACTAAAAGGCCATAAACGTAGGCTTTAGTCTTAACGGTAGCTTGAGTTCACACATTTCTGTTTCAATTAATTTTATAATGCAGTTTGATGCTATTCTTGATGAAGTGAAACACTTCCTGCACACTGTTGGTGAGATTAACACTGTTACAGACCTAACAACATCTATGAGAGAGCTAGCATCACAGCTTTATGACTCACCGAAGAAAGGTGTTAATGGAAACGTTTTGGCCAATTCTGTCACCTCAGCTGTTCATAAGGCAAAAGCTTGGTATACTTCTGTGGAAAGGGTTATCCAAAAGCTGAGGAAGGACTATCCACTGTACTGTGATATTTTAGGACCCTTTATTGCTGGTGTATCTCAGGTAAAGGAGAATGATAATTTTTGTTTGTAACTCACATTAGTGTCTTTTGATAATTGGGAGAGTACGCCTTACCCTGGGTCACTCTGTTGTGCTCTTTGATAAGGAGACCATCATAACCACCAACCTTACCATACTCTACCCTACACTACCCAACCTACCTTGCCTTACCCTGCCTACCCTACCCTACTCTACTTTACCCTAACTTACCCTACCTGACCTACCCTACCCTACCCTACTCTGTTTTACCCTTCCTTACCCTACCCTACTCTACTTTACCACACCTACCCTACCCTATCCTACCACACCTACCCTACCCTATCCTACCCCACACTACCCTCACCTTACCCTGTTTGACCTACCCTACCCAACCTTTCACCACCTAGGAGTGGATTCGGCAATTGTGTTCTCCAGATTAAATTTTGGGGGAGTAAACTGGATTGAGTCAGCGTTCCATTCAGTGACATTACAAGCCGTGCTAGTTCAGGCTGCACTTGACTCATATACTGAGTTTCACTTTTCTGTTACGATCAATCTAGGTCATGTATGGTGTGTCCCTGATGTCATCAAACTTATCAACATTGTTTCAATACTACTTATTTCGGGCTCAGCTTACAGTGGGTACAAATATGCAGGTAAGTTCTGTTTATCAGTCTTCATGTTAACTCACCAGAAAAAGGGTTTTGGCTAACCCAAGCCACCAGTATTAATTTTTCATCAAACAGTTAAGAAATATTCCCGTAGCTCTCTCTGATACTTCTTTTGTTATTAAACTTCTCTCCCTTTTATGTAAATGGCTCGTTACTAGCATGCTTTTTAAATGTGCACAGATTGGACAAGATTAAAACTGTCTGCAAATAGGTGTTACTTGGTAAAACTGGAAAAAAATTGACCCACCATATCGCGTTGCTTTAGTTTCTATGAATAAATATTTGAGCAGATTTCATAAAGAGGCCTAAAAAAGCACTACGTAGCCCCTTCCCGCCCTCACTACACAAAAAGTTTGACATCGGATTATGATAGGGGGATACCCAGAGATCACCGTAAGGTCCGTCGTGGTCACAAATTGTGGGGTCAGTGTCTTGCCACACACTGATTGTGAAGGGGGGTCAGTAATCTCAGTATGCATGAAATAAAAAGTTAGACACCATCCTAAGCCATTATGTGGTTAAGATTTGCCAATAGAAGACTTTTCCCATACCCATTTAACGTTCAAATTTAATATTTGATTCAAATAAAAGGAACTGAACGATGTTAAAAATGGTTAAAACTGCAGTATTTTTCCATATTATCATTCAATCGTAACAGTGTAGTGGACCGGATGTGATATTGTCATTTTGTGAGTTTCCTTTGTCAAGTTCCTTGTCCTGTTTGGATGCTGCAGTTTCTTTAATGTCCCCTTCTGTCGATGCTTGCATACAAGGTAATGAATCGTTGGTGTTACTTTATTCTTTTATCAAGCTCTAAGTGTTTGGATCGTCAGCTGATGGCAATTGTACGACTAGGAAAGGCTTTTGTTTTAAGTTTTTGTTGTTTGTATAGTAAATAAAATGTTTTCTTTTGGTCGCAGGCTTGGTTAAATATCTTCAAGTTCGTGAAACAGCGGCTCGAACATCTGCATTTCTTTCCTTCAGGTACTATCAGTCGACCCTTTGCACCGTAATATCATTTTACATACAAAACTCACCATAGATGAAACTAAATCAAGAATAAACCGAGTCATATCGTCTGAATTTATCTGTCACAGGGCATTACGGCTATCAGTTCTCCATCTGCGTAACCACTCCATACAACATGGCTTCCTCGATGAAAAACTTTACCAAGCAGTGATTACAATTCTGGAGATTTTCCTAAACAAGTGGAAAATCTTCAAAGAGGAAGAACGGCAGCGAGAGGAAGAGGAAGGAAGTTTGTTCAAATTCAAGAACAAAACACACGGCGTGAGTCTCAGTGACGATGAGGAGAATAAAAGAGCCATAAGCAAGGCGTTCCCACGTTTTGATGACGACTTCAAGGATTTTATGGCTCCCCAGGATTTGAACGAGAATACTTTTGTCCCTCAGGATGAAAATGCTTCATCTTCGTGTGTAGTTAAGTCGGATGCTGAACTATTTATGGAGAACGTTCCTGATTTCTCAGAATTGAGGAGGCTGCATGAAGAAACTTTTTGTCGGCTTCGACCTAGTCGAGATTTCGCTTTACATGAAGCAGACTGTTACCGACCAAATGACTCCATGGAGTCGCTGTATTTGGAAGCCTTCAAGTGGGGTTACGAAACAGCGTCAGTGATGAATGCTCTTATACCATGTAAGGAACCCATAAAAATAGAGAACTTGAGAGAATTTTTTTTTGATTACATTGAATTTGTACTCAATTTCCCCTAAGACTTTTTTCATTGTAGGTTATAAGATTTGCCTTTGGCTTTTAAAATGTTTAGTTCATAGTCAGGTATTACTCATACTTCAAAACATCCTATTTGTTGTTTGTTTTACGTCAACTTATGTACTGTTAAATTTGTGACTGAGCAGATCAATTAACAAGGAATGTGTTATCTTGCTGCAGGGTCGCATGCGGACATGAAAACATCTCGATCACATCTCTTGCAAAGTTCCTTTTTGAAGGGTCAGTTCCAGTCAGACAGGACAGTGAAGGTAAAATGTTACAACAATCGGGCAATTTCCGATCGAGTGTCGAAAGCAATCCGTGATTGCTTTAGTTTTCCTTTATCTCTTGCTGTTATTAGTTTAGAAAACTCGCGCCAAACAATCGTGACTTTGTAACTCGCGGTTGTCACTCGCGGTTTTCTCACGTACTCCAGGCGGTTTTAGCGTTTTCATGGCTTATAACGGTGGTAACCTTTGTTCTGATTGGTCGTTGACTGGTGTTGGTTTTACGACGCTCGATCAAAAAGCTCTCGTTGTATTTTAAAATAAGGTAACGTTGGTAAAACATCTTTGTAGTGAGGCCGATACAGGTCTTGATTTTGTTGAAGTAAATTAACCTCTAGGAATGAAAAGAGAAGTTAAAACAGTAGAAGATGTTTAAGCCTTAAGAGGTTTTAATGTCATAATGAACTTTCATTTAGTTTCATTGTGTAGCAATTTATTTTAGTCTTTACTGTGTAGTGGATGATATCACTTAGTTCCTGCGCAAACACTGCGCTGCAAATATTGACCTGTTCTATCAGTATTTGTGTGCTTCTGGTTTAGAACTGGGTTATACTTTTGGGAAGTACCGACACACCAAATGTAAGAAGTGGTCTAGATTAGAAAGCTGCATCATAAATATTGCGTACTTTCCCCACGCTCAAAGTGAATATATTCTTATTCCACAGCAAGAAATGCTATATCAGAAAGGTTTGAGTGACAAAAAACCTTTTGATATCTACCATGACTCAAACATTCAAGAGGTTGTAAGAGTGAAACCAATTCTTGCGGATTTTGCTGCTCGTGTTCACGAGCTGTTGGCAGAATGGCCTCGGCATCCTGCTCTAATGCAGGTGAGACCACTTTATTTGTTTGTGTTGAAATTTATATCTATAAACACGAGAAATGGTGTCCCATCATATTTTTATTCATTAAGGAAAGAGTTGAACATTTGGCATGTAATGACTTTTTTTCCCAAGTTTTTTGAAACTTGAATGAAACATGTTCTCAAACGTGTGAAACATCCTCCAGAGAAACCAAATTTTAATATTTGACTGATATATTATCCAAAGGAACATCTTTAAAAGGGTACATTTGCAAAATGTCAAGTCTTCTTGTCATATTTGTTTCGTACAGACGCACGGTAATGCGTAATTTATTTGTTAAATTTCAGATGATGTACGAAAAGAGGACAGATTTTTAAGTCGACTTTCCGTCAACGCACGAAATGAAAAAATGCCTCTCGTTTGAACAGAAACAGTGTAATTTTTAAAACGTTTGCTCTCTTTCAGCTTTTGGTTGTGATAGAAAGGATATTGTCTTTTCCCGTGACCAGTCCAGTGATGAAGATTTTGACTGGCCTTGAAGTTTTACTAAGAAAAGCCCAGGTAAGAAGTTGAGTAGCAGTGCACTTGTAATCAAAGACTCCCATGGTCCAGTCTCGTGAAGTTACGGTTGGAAGTAAGTGAACTCCTTAGATGTTGGGGGTATTTTAGTCTTGTCAACTGAGTTGATAACGTAAATTGGCCGCCGTAAAGAGTTAAAAAGCTGATGTTTCGAGCGTTATCCCTTCTTCAGCTTTTAAACTCTTTACGGTGGCCAATTTATGTTATCAATTCAGTTGATGATATTTAATTACCCTGTTACATTCTCCCACCGACGTAGCACCACAGTTTCTTTAGAAACTTGCCCCCTTTATTCCTTAGATGTTCAGTTTAGCAGCAGTATCAGTTTAGTACCCACCTTCACAACGGTCTCAGTAAGCCAGGAAAACGTAGTTATCGCATAAAGGCGCATTAACAAAGAAGGCTGGTCTCCATAAGGGTATGAAAAGAAAAGGGCAATTGACAACAAAAATGTTTTCTCACATGAAGGGAAAAGTATCAGGCTGTCAGAAAAATGCTAATTATTGTTATATCCTTGTCATTGCCCCTGCGCGTTTTCTTTTGAAAGGTACCCAGTCCCTTTCCATGGTATTGGGACGGAGAGGCTCAGTATGAAAGTGATTTAACACCATCACTCCCAATATTTCATTTGTAATTCTTCTTACTATCCGCTGGACAGTTCTTACAGAATTTTGTATTGAATCAGTCAATAATCTCCTAATTAATAGTTTTTTTTTTCACATTCTAAAAATTTTCCTGCTTGATATTGTGTTCATATTTTTAGGACTGGGAATCAAATGCTGCAAAACATGTCAGCCTAAGAGACCATTTGGATAATGTGACGCATCTGATCATTCAGTGGAGAAAAATGGAACTCAAGTATGCGGTTATATTTGTTAATAACTTTAAGATAAGCCGTGCGCACAACTTGTATGGGTATTTCTAAAGATTGACGTGAGGGTCCTTCTACCAAACTCAGTTTCTAGTTCCAATTCCAATATGTTCCTTCAATTTTGCAATCTTATTGTTCCAGAGTGGCATTGTGGAATCGTCGTCGAATCAATGCTTCAAAACCAGCTTTCACTCACGCGCTCCTTTTCGCCTGTTCAAGAGAGACGGTCAGCAACGTCGAGTTATTAATCCTGGCAGGGGTCCCGTTGGTGTGGCCGCTCTGATTTTGCAAATAGCATCTCATTTGTCATTATGTGCTGGGACAACGAGAAACATGACCAATTAATTTTTTCTCATTTCACCGATCCATTAACTCATGTTAAACGTTCCAGTACAGAGTTAAAATCCCCACATTTTGGATAAAAAATTTTTCCCTACAATCTTTTATCATAATCAGGTAAAAGCGAAGTGTTGTGTTAATTCTGCAAAATCCATGCTCTCGTTCTGCTTCAGGTGCTGGTCAACACTTCTAGATGTGACCACTTTAAATTCAGCGGCAAAAGCCAGTCAATGGTGGTTTCACATTTATAGTTCTTTGGTGCAGTTTAGGATGACTGAGTATGCGCAGGAACCTAGAGGTAAATTTTGCTGGTTTATTGTCATGGTATAAATAAATATTTGGGACGCAACGCCCTTGGAGTGTTGCACTTAGCTGTTGTTAGTGTGATGATTTGAAGTAAAGTAAAAGCCATGAAAAGGGGTTGTGTAACAGATTCTTCCTCAGAAACGTCTATTAGCACAAGGTGGCCTTTCTAAATTTAAAAGCTACAGTATATAATACTCCGCTAACCATTATGAGCACTTGTATTTCATTAGTCAATTTACACACATCCAAAACTTTATCTGTCTTTCTCTTTCCATAAACAGAGGGTTTTCCTGATGGCAGTGAGGTAATCGAACCTTTACAAAGATTTATCGAAAGCTCAACACTTGGAGAGTTTGCTTCCCGGTTACAAATGCTGTTTGCATTTTACAAACAAATGTGCTACGAAGAGGCGAGCCCTGGAGAAGGTAATTAATCTTGGAAAAAGGTGTCATTTGATGGTATTGTAGAAAGTCAAACTGTACCCCTCTCTTGAGGGGTATTGCTTCAAACTTTTAGCAAATCCTTGAGCGACTTAAGGTTTGAGGAGACTGTCTAATTGCACAAGCATCAGACTCAAATACTTTGCCGCTGAAGTTCAGTCCCTGGGGTCTGTCCTATTCAGCACATCCCCCGTCAAACGATAAAACTTGGAGAATTGTAGTATTTAAAAAAAATGTGAAGACATTAATTTAGAGACCAATAAAATAATCCTTTTGCTGTGAGACATGGAAATTTTTCTAACAAAAGTGACTCCTTGTTTTTAGCTAAAGTATCAGATGTGCTATGGAACTTGTTCTGTTATTACAAGCAGTTTATTCCTTCTGTTGAGCAATCTCTACAAGAAATGAGGAAACCTATTGAAAAAGATCTGAAGGTGAGCTGCTTTATTTCAGTTTTGTCAAGAAGCAAGCAAATGTTTAATCAAATATGAGATAAAACGGAACTTTTAAACTTCGGAGTCCTTGTATGAGTTGTGATAACTTGATGCATGTGAGCTTTCTACTGTTGACTTGTTAATGCCCGGTAAATGCAGTCCTGGCAAGATTCCTTTCCATAATACTGAAACAGTGCTACCCTCTGTGAGAAGTTTTATTGTAAAGAAGTTTTCGATGAGTTACAAATTCAAGTTGTTAAAATGTAATTTTGTCTTGTAGGATTTTGTGAAAATTGCCAAGTGGAATGACTCCAACTTCTGGGCAATGAAACAAGCTGCTGACAAGTCTCATCACACATTGCACAAATTTGTGCGCAGATACGAGGTACTAAAGCAGGATAACGTCTCTACGATCTTTGCGTATTCAAATATATTATCTCTCTGTGAAATATTTGCTATCTTAAATACCTATTTATGTAATCTTGTGAGCAAATGTAAAATGTGACAAATAAATTATACAAAGCGTCCCTATGCAGGAGCTCAGATTACGATCACATATTGAAGACTGGATGCCTAAACCTGCTGCATCTGCGATCAACATTGAATTTGTTTTTTGCTCTATTTTGTTTTGTTTGTTTATTTGTTTTACATTCTACGCTCTTGCTGTAAATGAAATTTGATGAACTATCACCTTAATCTAATATCTTTAACTACCAATCTTCTTATGAACTACAAATGTTTCTTCGTTTTCAAAGGCCTCTCTAAATGAGCCAGTCTCCAAGACCTTGACAAATGTGGAGAAAGCTCTTTCTCCTTCTGAAAATAAAGAGAATTACACAAATGAAAGAAAAAGTGTACAAGCAGAGTGGTTCATATCATCAGAAGCATTGAAGGTCAGATGATCACAAGTATTTGTATCGCTAACATAAAATTTTGGTTTTATGGGTATTTTTGGTATTGTTGGCTCATCTGTCCTAACAGTATCACATAAAACCCTTTACCCCCAAGAGTAACCAGCACCTAATTTCTCCTTAAAATATCAGCCCTGAATCAAGCATCAAAGTCACGAGATTAAAGGAAATGATCACCAACTAAAGAAGCTCATGTTTTTTTTATTGTTAAACAAATTCTCCTCGTCAGCACAGCAATGAATGTGTAGAGAATAGAATGGAGAAAATGCGTACTGAATATTTATTGTAGAGGGTTTGAGGCACTTCTCTTCAAATTGCAAAGGGGGGAAGAGAGGGGTCCAGAAACGCTCTTTGAAAACCTTGATCAACACTTCATCCCGCTATGTAGAGAATTGTGGTTACTGCCGTTGGAATATGGTACAGAGGGCCCAAAGTTGGCCAGTTTGCGACCCAAAAGAACTCCAACCAACTAAGCAAATAATTGTCAACAATGATGGTGCTAAGAAAGTTAATGTTCATAGTGCGGTTTAAAAAGTTTTAGTTTCAGCTAAGTTTCGACTAGTGTGTTTTACATTAGCATAATTCTTCGGTCAAGGACTTCGGCAGTTACTTGGAGAAAAGGGAAAAACAAATTAAATTAGTTTAAATTATTATGACATGAAGTCCATTTTAAACTACAATTAACTCCTGAGATGTGACACCAGTTACCGGAAGGAAAAAATTGCTTATTCTAAAAATGTGTTTCCTCTTCAGGCACACTGTAACAGAAGTCTTCAATTTATATCAACGCACGAGAAATGGAGATTGTGTCTTCCATCAAATCAGAATCGTCTTACAAAACTCTTTCAAAAAATGAGACAGTTGTCACACCAGATTATCAGTCGACAAGAGTATGAGCCACTAGTGACGTGCTTGGATGACTTTACAGGTACAAGTTTTATCAGATATTAAAGTATATGAAAAACAAGCTTACTCTTCCAGAGCTAACAGAATTTTTAATTGATTACTTAACACGACTTTTTTTTTTCTACATCACCGCGGTATTTCATTGCCAGAACATGTTAAGGCAGTGTTTTCAATTTAAACCAAATCGTATGAGCGAAACGAAACAAAGTTCAAAATCCCAAAAAGAAGAAAAAGGAAATTCGGACAAATGGAATCTGGGGCGCGAAAATTTGGTTCACTAAGGGACGATCTGTTTTCTTTTTTCATCTTGTTAGCCAAAGGATGGTGAGAATTTTCTTAACAAATTACACTGAAATGAGTCAAAACCGATGAAACACCAGATTTATTCCTCTATTGGCTTTCTCATTAAAGCTGAGGGAGTTCTCTCTGTTTTAATGCAAAAAGCGTATTCCTATGCCGATGCTGAACAATTTAGGAATAAGAGCGCGTTTGTTATATATTTTTCCATGTATCAGGACTGAAAGAGAAAAGCTTGTGCCAAACGGCCGAGCAAGTATATTTAACGAATCGACAGTGGTTTGGTGTGGTGTGTACTGTTTTCGACAGCGATATTCATCATCACAGTGGTCAAAATGTTGTGGACCACGAGGCGCAGCCGACTGGCATTGTCGATTTTATTTTTTACCACGATATCGACGTCAAATAAGACGATTCTTTCAGTGCGTGACCATTGCGTGACACGTTGACGCGAGCAGCGTTGTCTGTATTCTTATGAACACGGCAAATTGGCCAATCAGATTGTGATATTACTGCAAATTGTAATAAAGATAGCTGTTGACGTTTAGGCAATTATTTGGTTTTTTTTTCAGCTGAAGTCATAACCACTTCAAAAGAGCTGCAAGCTTTGGATGTGTCCAGTCAGGTATAAGAAGAACTTCGAAATTATCACTGAATTTTTGGTCCTGTTACTACTTGTTATTTACATAATTCAATAAACATAGTCTATCATTTCATCTGTTACACATTTGACATATTTTTATGTAACTCATTATATACTGTTTTTTCAGCCAAAAGAGAAACAAACAGATCTGCGGAAACATATTCAGCAACGGAAACGTAAAAGTTTGTCAGACCTGTTCAAGATATTGGCATTGCTTGGTATGATACAAATTGTCCTTTAAACTCAGGTTTATACAAATTGAATCTGTGTACAAGTGTCTTTGTTTTTTTTTATTCGTTTTTTTTTTCATTTTTTTTTTAATGTTACGGTTACTTTTCTTTGTTTCCTTGTTTGTTTTATACACGGACTAGTTAAGAAGTTACTTGGGTCTTATCTAGAGAGGACAAAATTGTTGACGAGTTGACCTTCAACCCCATATTACTTCAATTTTATATCTTTTGCCTTTGTTGAGGTTACCTATTCACCCCTCCCCCCCAAAACAATGTTCTATCGTGATTCCCCAAACTTTTAGCTATATACGGGCAACAATGATTGGGGGAGGGGGGGGGGTCTTATCAATGATTTAGAGTGTGATAGAAGCAAGAGTGTTATTCTACACATCAATAGAATTCTTTAAGCATGATGTATCAACTAATTTTGTCGCAAATTGTAGGTTTTGAGGTTGTGTAGTCATTGTTAATAAATATACATTTCTAGGCGTGTCTTATCGTAAGGGGCTCAATCTCGAGCGCCAGTCCACGGGAAAAGAGGCCATGTTGGTTGCTGCAGTTGAGGAAGAGGCTGTAACAAGATCAGTCGAGCTGCTTTCTGACAGGTCACCGTAAGTATGCGAGAACGAATAACAGCTCGACAAATACTGCTGTTATAGCACTTCCGATGGTTTGCAATAATAAGTAAATTTTTGGAGAAATCGGAACTTTGAAAAAGATAAGAGTTCTCTTTCATTCTATAATGGCAGTGGCTCACCAACTTCATTTTGAAGTTATCAACAAGACATTTAAGATGGGTTTAAAGGATTTCAGTGTTAAAACAGTGCAATGGTTAATTAAGGCGACAGGATTTCAATATCTGTGTACGAACAATTTCAAAATTCTACAAGTTTTCCATTAAGTCAAAATATCATTTTTTTAGTAAAAATATTTAGGGAATTGTATAAATTTAAGTATAGACGGAAAACGTGCGAGGCTATACTAACGCAGTAATGTTTTAAAATTTTCAGTTTGAAAGGCAACAACCTTCGCTCCAGCTGATACATTCTATGTTGTACTGACACAGAGACAAAATAAACACAATCACCACATCCTTCATGATCAATATTGCTAGCTAACCTTGTGCTTTAATGAGTCAGATTGTTCTTGTAACTCCTTGGTGTTGGCTGAGTTTTTACCAAAACCACCTATCATGGCTGCACTGCAGCTTATTGTAGAGTGGTCATGGCTCTCAGCCTAAAGGAAAGTTCCTTGTTATATCCCTGGTTGGAGTTTTGTCTCCCATCAGGTCCCCAGAGAGGATACATCGAACAATGAATAAAAAATTGTACCTATAGTTAGTAAAAATTGTTGCTTATGATCTTCACTCCATCAACTCTTGTGAATTTTACTTCTTTCAGTGACTTGCTACATAATGTGAGGCAGCTCTTGGAGGGCTGTTGTCGTTATTACTATAAGTCACTTGCAAGGTCTTCTGCCTTAACTGCAGCCATGGTAACGCCGTCAAAGGTAAGTTAAAACTCGAAATGCCCGCTTTTTGTTTGGGTAACTGAGGAGGTGCCATTTAAAAAGTGACAAGATGCAATTTGAACTCGTAAGAAATGAATTAACTTTGACAGACCAGAAGCCACCAAGTAAAGTCTTTTTATGAACGGCTGCAACAAAATTTTTCATTCCATTGTGCCCGTCAAGTGTGGAGATTTACGGGTTATAATAATCATCACTCCTCCCTTAAACTGCTAAGACACAATCCTTCAAAAAGTTGCTTCTTATTTCCCTGAAAATTCGTCAGGACAACTCGGTAAGATACGCAGATAATGCCCTATAGCTGACGAGAATGAATGTTCTCGTCGCCCAATAGCCGGGCAATGTACTGTTAATGAACGGAAAGTTTGGGGAGAGAATACGCGTCAATCACTTCTTAGAGTTAAAGGGTCAAATCTGTTGCATTCATTAACATTTAAAATTAACACTTTTTTCTTTGTCAATCAATTATTTTTTAGGTTGGATTTCTTTCAAGCAGTAGCATATTTCTATTCTATGACTGCTATTTTGATTTCTAGCGGCCTAACGGTATTATGTTATTGCTTTGTTGGTTCCTATAGGAGCTCAGTGTTGGTGACATCGATCGTTGTAAAGGTTGTAGTAACCATTTACTTCATGTTTGTTATGAACAAAGACAGGTCATCTCGCAGTTATCGAGAAACATTAGACGTACAAGGTAACCTGTCTTGATCACTCACCTTGTTACAGTTTCAGTTGCGTATTTGTTAATAACACCCCCTTACGTGCCTCTACTAACGACTTGCAAGTTAAGGTATGCCGTGGGCCTTGCGTGTATTGAGAAATTATGGGTTGTGTTTATTTGAAGTAGCGGTTTCTGATTCAGTGACACTAGCAGTATACGGGGGTACTATGGTACACAGCCAATTTGTACAAAGTGGTACAAATGAACCAATCGCATAGCCGGATTGGCCTCTAAGATGGCGATTTGATGTAATGCAATTTCTTTATCACGCATTAATGTCGATCAATTGACAATGAGACTCAAATCCGTGTCTAAGCTGTCTGCTTAATATAGTTTTCTTGAAACAAAAGCGTCTAATTCCGTCGTTCGAATCCGCTTAACAGAGGTTTCTGCTAAAAACAGATTCTTTATACTCTAGACATGGATGCGTGGAGGGAAAATTTTTTTAATAAGTAAAGAACAATTTGGGACTGGGGGTAGTGTCCGCATAATGCAGGTTTTGCTTGACATTGTCTGTGACTTTGCCTTCCTTCTCTGATGTTTCAAGTATAACTTAGTTTAAGTATGTGGTGTAGGATCAGAATTAATTGTGTTTTGCCGTGTTCACTTTTGCCTCACCTTAGTGTTGGTTTGAGGCAGTTGAGAGAATCTGTCACATCACCAGATGAAGATGCCACCAGCGGAATCGCGAGCCTTCCACCTCAGAAGGACCTTGAAAAGCACACTGTAAGAGTGATATGATGAGACCGATTGTTAATTGTGACGAAAATGATCTAGAAATACTTTGGTTTTGCTTACTTTGCTATGATTGGTCTAGAAACCTCGCGCCACCGTATCAACCAATCGACCAATCAATCGTGACTTGGCCATCCCCATTTTTAAACAATTGTGGTGCCACTATCGCGCTGTTCGTTTACTCGCTGAACGTCTAGAACAGGCTTCACGGACCGCGGCCATAGCAATCAAGCTAACATTTTCAAACTCTTCGGAGGATTGCTGTAAATTTTTTGCGTTCATGTTATCCCCGGGATACCTCTCCGGGGATAAAATATAGTAACTTTGTGTTTTAAAATGGATCAGCACCTTTTTCTCTTGTTTTATGTGCTCACAGTACGCGTGGGGACGACATGAAATTTCAAACCCTTTAACATTTGTCATCCCATTTGTGGAAGGTTATTTAAGTGAGTTCTCTTTCCTTTTTCCTTTTTCGCAGATTCAAGTGATGGATCTTCTCACTAACACGGCCCATGTTCTACAGCAAATGTCCATATTGCTGAAATGTTGTCCCAATGAAAAAACGCCACTTCACAATTGGACTCCATTGCCACAAGCAATGCTTTCGTCTGTGGCAGTTTCGTCTGCAGAAGATCCTGACATTAAGGAGATGATTCAAACGTTGGAGGTACTTTCTGATGAGTTGAACAAAATACCTTTTCTTTATTTTATATTTTTGACCACGAAACAATTAAGCAAGGTGAACTCTTTCACTCCCTTAATCTTGCAATTCTTATGAAGTTAGTTCGGAGAATATAGTATTGGATCAACTAATAATCCCTGAATTGATATTTTCTCGATTCTCATCACTTTTCTGCTTGATACTGAATTGATATTGTGAGAAGAAATTCTGTTTTGGTCACTCATGGGAGTTGAAGAGTTAAGATAACAATAAGGAATACAGTAATTTATTTCACGAATTTGGGGCACGGACAGAAAGCGTGCTAGGCTTAATTCAATCGAGAAATATTTTGAAAATATTTCTTAAAAGAAAGAGCCGCAACTTGTATTTCAAGCGATTCTTTTTTCGCTGTATTGAATAGACAAATTGAACGTATGCAGGAAAGTGTAAATGATTTCTATTGACGCTAATTTTACTTAAAATAAACTTCTTCTGTTACATTAAGTACCGTATCTGTCAAAATTTCAGAACACTGTGACGAGGTTGCACCAAGTGGCCAATGAAGTCCGGCCCTATGCTGCTCTATCTGATCACGTGTTGAACAATACAAGCGGGAATGACAGGACAGCAACCATAGCATCTTGGTAATGTGACGGTAGCTTTGTTGAAAGCAGTTTTTATTTGAGGGTTAAAAAACCCAAACCAAAGTAATCCCAGCGGCCAATCAGAATATATGTTTACATTGTCACTAGCCAATAAGAACTCACTTGAAAACAAGCAAACGGCTCGAAGCGCGGGAAAACGCGACTGTTTTGAATTTGCATATGATTTTTTTGAGAGGATGGTGCGAGTTTTCAGAACTAATCACAGAACAAAGTTAAATTAAACTAAAGCAATCCCAGGTCATTTCGACGTTCAGTTGAAAATTTCTCTATAGGTGGCAAATCACCTGTATTAGAACTTCACTGCTTATGTGAAAATTTAAATTAAACTTTTTTGAGATTCGCAGCAAAGGGCCTCGCCGCTATTTCTCGTTCTTCAATGATGCGGGTAAATTCTTTGAGTTCGTCATTTCTAGTCTGTGTCAATCTTTTTCTAACCAGAAAAACCAGAAGCATCCTTGCTAATTTTTGGTTTATGGTTTATGATTCCCCTTATACGGTCGTCTACCCCTGAAAAATAGCTATTTCTTAGGACGTTTTTTCAAATCGAAAGAAGCACTCAGATTTCATCTGTACGCGATGAAAAGTGTTTTACGAAGAGTATGATCCTTTGATGAATTAGTACGCTTTGTTTTCCGAAGAACAAATCAATATGTCTTTTATTTTGTAGGCTACAGAACAAAGTAACAAGGGACGCTTTCTTCAAGCTGAAAGGAACAGCAGACTTGATTGATGAAATGTTGCCAAAGTTTAAATCAAAGTGGTGAGTTTGCTCTTTATCAAGAAGTTGATTAAAAGAAACAAAAGGAGGAATCACGTACTGATTAATTTTCTAGGGATGATCAGGACTGTCGTTGGCACGACCAACTTACAATCTTAGTGGTTGGTTAGAGCGCTTTTCAACTGAGTGTCTTGAAACTAGAACCAAATTAATCACAAAGGCTAATCAAAAGAAAGGAAAATTCCCTATAGAACCAATCATAATTCGAAGTGAAAACAAGCTAACTGCCTAAAGCCTGGGGAAAAATGGATGAACAAGTTTCGATTACCTGCCTTTTGGTTTCTGATTGGTTGAGAGGGTGGGGCGAGTTTTCTCGACCAATCATAGGGCTGGGAAAAGCAAAACCAATGGAATCCCGGATCACTTTCGACACTCATTTGATAATTTCTCCATACACCATATATAAGAAAGAAATACAATGCATTCTATCCTAATGTTCTAATCCCTATGACAGGCCTAAAATTTACATCTAGTTTTCAATTGTAGCGATTTATACAAATTTATATCATTACAGTTGTTCAGTTAACAAAGGCCTTGGTGGCCCACTAGTCCGCCTCAAAGACGAGATCTTAGAGAAATTTAACGATTTCCATTCATGGAGTACGGCTGTGTCTGGGAAGGAGGAGATTCAGACACCCTGGAGTGATGAAAACATTGATGACCAAGGTAAATATACAAGTAAACTGTAACTTTAAACAAATTTGGCTTTTTTACCCTTATCTGTTGTCATGGTGTAGTTGAGAATTTCAGCACATTTTCCGGTAGAATTGTACCACAATTTAGTAGTAGTATTTGTACTGCTGCTTCAGATCTCTTAAGCGTACTTTGTAAAGCTTTATGTTATTGAGTATGTTCAGACAACATTAATCATCTTGGGGTTGAAACTGCCTTTTCCTAAGTGTAGTTGGTGTGTTAGAGTGGCCTGTTTAGAATATTTTCATTTTGTTTAGGAGTGGCGACTCTGAATGCATTTATCAGCGATGTGGACGCCCTGAACACCTCGCTTCTTCTGGCAGTTCAGCGTTTGGCTAAGGTAACAGAAAATAGCACCCAAGAAAGAAACGAAGAAGGTGAAGGTAGCAAAAAGAACACAGCTGATCAAGGTAGTTATGGTTATTTTACATGTAGCGAAATACCTCACTCGAAATATGGGGGTCCATGTCAGTATCTGAGTAACTGCGCACCTACCCCTCCCCTAACCCAACATTAGCCCTAACTTGTTATTAGTTGACTGTTACTGGGTCAGGGGAGGGGTGGGTGTGCAGTTGCTCAGATACAGACATAAATCTAAATGTGGCGAAACAATCGACACTCTTTAACCCCAACCTATAGCTTATAGTACCGACCTATAGCTCCTCGCAGTGAACCAAACATGTATATCATGGCTGGGTAATCCCGAGAGTTTGGATCAATGTGTGTTTTACCATCACATTACTTAAATGATCACATATTACTTGTGTCGAAAGTGTTCACCTTAGTGAGACTTGTTTGTGCTCCTTGCCGTAGAAAATTTAATATGACTTCTCAGTGATAACTCCCTCATGGCCTCTGGGGTGTGTGAACTTGTTAACTTAGCATCTTCTTTTACATATTAAATTAGATGGCAGTGAGAACTTACAGCTTCAAGATGGACATTTGGCAACTCGTTTACATCAGAACTTACTCAACGACATCAGCAGGCTCAAATTAAACGGCGTGACGAGGAGCATTTCTTCACTTCTGTCCCAGGTCAAAAACATGACTGATTCCTCATGGTCTTCTTCTAACATGTCAGTTCAATTTTCACTCAGTGGTTTTTGCGCTCATTTACTGGAAGGCTCCATCCCCCTACTCCATCAATACCTGAACCTCTCACAAAATCTTCTCATCAATTTACTGGAAGCTCACCGCGCAACCAGCAAACTGTTGTCTGTGTTGCTGAGTATCTTCACCGATCTCGGCACAAGAGGATTCTGTGTCCCCCCGGAAATAGAGGAGGGTGAAGGCGACGGGTCTACAGAGTTTGAAGACATTGAAGGGGGAGGCATTGGAGAAGGAGAGGGAATGAAAGATGTCAGTGACCAGATAGAGAATGAGGATCAGGTTAATTTTGTTGTTTACCCTTCTTCTCCTGTTTTCCTTAAAACAAACAATTATTAGCTAAGGTCACCTCCCCTATATTTCTTTTTGATGTCAATGTACTAGTATACTTTGGTAATTTTGTTATTTCATACTGCCTTGGAAAATCGTTGCTTGCACTTTATAATATCAGACCCTAGATTTAAATTTTTTTTGCCTGTGCCTCTCGGATTTTTTATTTTTTGTTTTATTTTCTGAAAATTTAACCAATAAGTCTTCTATAAGCCTTCGAATTGAGGACTAAAAACAAACTTTTATGATTTAAAAAAGTCTTGCACCTTTTCATAACTCCATTTTAAAAACACAACATTTTTTCTCTGCATTTTGAAGATTTTCCACTCAGAATTGGAAAAGTTCTCGAAACGAGTTTTTTTCATGGAAATCGTGTTGACCGACTCCATAAGCAGCCTTAAATCTACCTTAACTTTATCAAATTTGAAGCTAATCTATGAAGGAAGAGCTGAAAATTGGTTTTATGGCTAAATAGAAAATTACAGCTTTTGCTTAAAGTGTCACTTGTTTTATTAAGTTATTTATTTGACATTTCCCAGCTTGAAGATGCTAAGCAAGAAGGACAAGACCAAGAAAAGAAAGAAGACGACTCCCAACAACAAATACCTGACGAAGAAAATGGTATTGAAATGAGTGAGAACTTTGAGGGGGCTTTACATGACGTGGAAGCTGGAAAGGAAGAGGACGAGGAGAACGAGGAAGGGAATGGGGACGAGGATGACGTTGATAAACAGATGGGAGAGGTTGATGGACAAGACACTGAAAAACTGGACGAGAAGATCTGGGGAGACTCAGATGACGAGGAGGAAAAAGAGGTAGATGAGGAACACCATCATTAAAGTAAAATTCGTTTTTCCCCTCAGAATGTTAGAAGAAATGGGAGAAGTGATTGAATTCCAACTTCTCCCGTAAATATCCATACATTATCCAGCAAACAAGTAATGAGAATATTCAAACTCATCTGGTAGTTGTTTTCATGATATAAAACCAAATTCTTGTAACTAATTTGCGAGGAAATGTAAAGCAGCCAAATAGGAGAATTAACAATCAGATCTAAGGAGTTAAAAGGTTAATGCAGGTTTGCAAGAATTACATTTTTGAGAAATCGTACCCATTCTGCATACCCTTCCTTTCGACAAACAGTCATAGTTCTAGAGTTTTTATCATGCATTTGATATTTAAACCATTTACAACAGCAGCACAGGTAGGAACTTGTCAGTTGTACCTCCTCATTTAATAGTAGACGCAAAGTGATTGCATGTTATCTTATGCGATTAGAATCTCAAAAAAGCAAACAAAGGGATGTGACAACATGAAATACATGAGATCATCTTTTTACCTCTTGTATCGCTCCAGGAACACGAGATGAAGGAAGAGAAGGGAACAGGAGCTGAAGCCGAATCTCAGTCACAATTGGTCGCTAAGGAAGACAACAAAGGTAAGGTGATTAGGTTTCAACTGGGTCACTAGCTGCTTTAACCTTGAACTGGCTGTTGAAAGCGTCAGTTCAGATATAGCTGGTGCTATAGGCTAAAGCAAGTCTTGGTTGTCTTTTTGTCGCAAGTACCCGTGTGTTTTTTTTTTCTTTTCTTTTTTTGTGATTAGTGTGAACCAAGACCCTACAGAGACGTACATGTTAAGAGATTTAATTATTTCTACAAGACAAGCCGTCTTTTTTGGAGGTCCTGCCGTTAAGCAGTTCTCATATTACTTTCTCTTAACCTTACATTTTTCAGCCTTTTGATTCATGCGTTCTCAAAGGAACAAGATGAACGTCGGTTTTTCACATAATGTTTGTAAATTTTCTCATGAATAGTTTTCCTTTTAAAATACAGGCTCTACAAATGAAAGAAAAGAGCAAACAGAGGGACAACCTGATGCTGATGAAGAACAAAGTGACGAAAATATCAATGAAGCCTTGCAAGGTGAAGAGGGAAACTTGAGTGACGAGGGGGAGGATGAACAGGAAGGTACTGGACAGCAAGGTAAAGAAGAAGAGCCTGTTGATGCAGAGGAATCTTCTAAATTAGAGCTGCCTGATGATCTGCAGCTTGACGATGAAGGGAACGAAGGCGAAGGAGGTGAGTCGTTTATGTTACACTGCAAAAGATACTTGAACATAACAAGCTGGGTAAAACAAAGGCTGAATCGCGGAGATTGTGGAAGAAAAAATATTATAATTATGACAGTACCTGGACTCGACATGCAGCTTGATGAAGAAGGCCTTTGTTGGAATCTTAGGATTGAAAGAAAAATGTCCTTTTGTTCAAATCCCGTACGGGCCTGAATTTTTTTCAAGCTTTATTTCCACTACTTCTTAAATGGTGTTCATAAATGCGAGGATCGCTTCCATATTCGTTATGTCCTTTTGTTCTTGGAACAGAGTGGGTAAAGAAAACGATGAGCAAATGTTTAAACTTTACTGGGTGTTTCATCAAAATCTGGTTTTTAAAATGCAATCACATTTACTTATCCTCTCTTTGATGTTGAAGACCAACCAGAAGAAATGGAAACTGATGAATTTGAAGGAGACCAAATTGACACCGAAGAAACTGGAGACAAAACAACGGCACCAGATGATGAACAAATGGATACCGGCAACGATGAAGAGGAAGGGGAAGAACTGGGTGATGAAGAAGACGTGGAGGGGACTGAGGATGATAAGAAACAAGATGTAGGAGAGGGTCCCGAGGTTAGTGACTAGGACCCTTTTTCCTTTTTTTTTTTTCTTTTTGATAGATTCGACTTAGTGCATAGAAATATTGCGATGATTGTTACCGCATACCGTTTCCCAAACAGACTCAGAGCATTAGGGACAAGTAATGATGTCTGTTTCTGAATTTAAAATGAATAAGTGGTGCTCGCGGAGGCTTCCTCTGCCACTGAACATGAATGTTCTCCCTTAACAGATCCCCGTTTCATAAATTGTTGGTTCTACAACAGTGTGTTGGCGTAGGGGGAGCATTGTCAAATTTCCAATTTAAGACATAATGAAGATCCGGTGCACTTCAGTAGTCATATTCTCCTTACTCCCGTTTCTACTTTTCCTATGGCACTGACAAGGAGAATTCGTTTAACAATCAAAGCTTATTAGGCTGGCGATCGTTTCCTTTATTCTCATGAGCGTAATGAATGATTCAGCAGTATTACTATAAGGAGAAATTTGATTTTGGTCACTCTTTGGGTCAAAAGGGTGAAGAAGGTATAGCAACCATGAATTACTTGGCCATTTGAGTTCTTAGCATTTTCTTTCTTTCTCTCCTCTCCCCTCTTGCCTATAGCAGGATGAAGATGCTATTGATGAGACTGACCAGGAGGACTGGAGGACAAAAACAGATACTGAGGTCAGATGAACGTGTATGTTGATGTATATATCAGCAAGACAGAAAAAAAAGACATGCTGCGTCCATTATTCCGCATCCAAATTCAAGAGGTCGCTCGACTAACTAGGAGCTAGATGAAAACGGAGGAGGGATTTTTCACTTTAAGCTCAGCGATTCAAATTTGCCCGCTTTGCGTTTTTCATCAGTAACGACACTTGGAGCTAAAATCTTTGCATCTCGTATTTTTCGTTACTGATTTTATACCGACGTCGTACCTTTGCCAAAATTTTGTTTGCGTTGATGGTCTGTGAGTGGGGTAACAGCAAGGCCACCAAGAGAATTTTAAACTGTCATATTTGACATTTGATTTATTTTTTAGCCTCAAGAAAATGTCCAGGCTGTGGAGGATTCTGGAGAAGGAGATGGGAATGGAGAACAAAGTGACGTTACTGCTGGCCAATCTGAATCGACAGAAGGTAATGAGGAGCGTGGAGTGGGGCGAGCTGAGGCACTTGATGACGGACACCTCGGAGAGTCAAGCCAAAGGATCGCTCAAACCACAACAGATGCCAGACAACAGGTCAGAGCGCTTAACGATTTACACTGCAATTTATAATAAACCACTTTTTGGGGACCTTGAAGGGGATTTTGCAGTGGAAAGGTGGAGGGGTACACAAGTATTGCATTAAATGCACATTTTTATTCGTGTGGTAAGATGCAAGACACCTTTATTTACCCTCGTCAGCTAAGAAGTATTTTTCTTGGTCGTTTGAGAAGCACACAAGAAGCACACAAACTATATTCGATCAAGAATGAGAACCTGAAAGGCTAGGGTATGGATAAATCACTAAAGAAATTTGAAGTATAGAAATGAGTTGTAGCCCACTAAGTAGTTTCTCAAGTTGGTCTATATTTTTACATCAGTCTCGGCAAAGAAAGCAGATGAACCTTGCCAGGTCTGACCGGGCACTGGGTTCCATGGATGAAATAACTCACAAGAGACTGAAGACTGTTGATGAAACAGAGTTGGAGCCTGGAGCAGAGGTAGATTGGAAGTTATGAAATATTCTAACAAACACAATTGATAATCGGAAGAATGTATTTATTCCCCAAGTTTAATATTTTTGACAATTTTTGTGCAGCAACATCGACCCCAGGGCTGTGTTCTCTTGAGACGTTTTGAGCGTAACTCTGTGCATGCAACTTAACACTAAACTGGTCACTATGTTGTATTAGATATGAGTTAGTGACACCAATATTCTCGGTGGAAACAAGTATTAAATACTTCCACAGCACCTTTGAGGTTAAGCCCAAATACTGATTCTTCAAGATATCTTTACATAGCAGTCCTTGAAAGGAATTACAAGTAGAGAAAGTATAGCAGTGTGGGAGTTGTCCTAAATCTCGTGCTCCTCAGTGCATGCAGAACGCATGGTCTGGATTTAATTCCTCGAAGGGAACTCACTTTTTATTCTTTCTCCCACCCTTTCGACAAAGCAAATAATGTCTTTCTTTAATCCACGACCGACCTCAATAGTTACAATCTTTAACGTTCTAAGAAACTCATCATTATCTTGGCTTATATTTGCTATTTTTACCTGTGTCAGGTAAATGAGACGAGAACTGAAGATCTGTTCCAACATATGCGAAACGATGATCCAAGTTCACATGACGCACAGACTCTTGACAGTGCAACCGCTGATCAAGCCGAAACGCAAGATAAAGCAAACTTTCCCGAGATGCACAGTGACGGTGAAGACGACGAAGGGGACTCAAAAACGGAAACAGCTTTGCTCTACGATAACGAGGAACTTCCCGTAAGTACAATCATTATTAGGCCGGTAACAGTTTTATTGAGGGAGGGGAGGGTTTAGAAAGGGTTCCCAATCTGGTTAATGAAGGATGGGAAATGTCAACATTGTATCGTGAGAAGTGCGAGGTGTTTCCGACAGTAAAGATTTAGTTCAACTGACTTCTTCAGGTGTCTTAGGCTATTTCGGTTAACGGTTTCGTAGTTGTTTCTGTGTATTGCACTTAACTTTGTGTGTTTCACCTGGATAGCGTAAAGTCAAAGAAGCTAATTTGTAAAGTCGAATTTCTGATTGCCCAAGGGCAGCAGAGAAAACGGTGCCATTTTCAAGGAGAATGATGCTATCCTAGTTTGTTGAATGTATTTGGATTAATAATGCAGATGGACGTCCTTAGACTCACCTCAACCCTTATGTATGTTTAAGTACTGAGGGCTTGGAGAAAGGTAAGGTACTACATGGCCATTTACTGTTGTTTTTCCTATTAGACACCAGATAAGTCCCAGCCGTCCCGACTTCCTCCACCAATGAAACCCAAGCTGACAGCGGATAATGAAGATGGAAACGAGGCGCGCGAAAGTGAGGCTGTCGAGGAAGCCATGGAAACCAATGATGATGAAGGAATGACAGCTGAGCGTCTGCGCAGTACCTACCATTCATCCGACATGGCACTGGCCTTTGGAAGATTGGTAAGACTTAACAGTGTTGTTTAGAACTAGAACGCAGTTTACGTTGCTCGCTGTATTCAAAGAGATAGAATATCTGAGGGTCCTAACAGCAATTAGTTCTCAGGGAGTTTCGTTATTGTCCAGAAGAAAGAAAAAAGAAACAAATACTGGCCTCTCTTTACTTGTTGAATTTTTTTCTCAGATGTTCAACCATATTTTTAGTTGATGGCAATAGCCCAATGCTTGGTGCCCGTATTTTACTTTTTCGCTTTTTACTTAAGGGATAATTGTTTCATACAAAGAAATGTACACGCTTGTCTTTTACCGTTGGGCCCTTTTATTTCGAAGGATATATCATCACTGGATCCTGAGAAGGTGAGAGCTGATCTGGAACATCAGTTAGCAGAATGGAGCAGCATGGACCGAGGCACGGCCGAGCAGCAGCAAATGGCTCAAGAGGCCTGGCGCAAGTACGAGCTTCTCACGTCCAATCTGTCTCAGGATCTTTGCGAACAGTTGAGACTGGTCTTAGAACCGTCACTGGCCACCAAGCTTAAGTATGTTGAATATAGCTCGTGAAGCTTTTTATTGTAACCTACTGTTTTTGGTGGAGGTTAAAGAATTGCTTAATACTTAATTCGTCTCAGCCTGGAGTCTCTTCAGATACCTGTACCCTTTCAGAATATTGAAGAGGCTAGTGGGCAGAATTACGAAGTGTTTCTTGAGAGTCCGAGAGTCGAGTGATAAGAACTCAGCTGGTTTATCACTATTTATATCCAATGGCTGGTCTGTTCGTGTTAAGAAAGACTTCACTTTGTCTTGACCGTCCAAGAGTGTGCTAATTAATGCAGAATCGTATGCATTCCCGAAGGTTGGGGAAGGTCGGGGGTAATTCGGGAGAATGTGGAATTGGGGAAAGGGCGTCTCATTTTCCTTACGTTTTCAAAATGTTAGCGTCAATTGGAAATTAATCGAGATATAAGAATGCTTAGGCTCGTTACCGATCCCCAGTATTGTTTGGCTCCAAAACCGCCAAGTTAAATATTGAGAGGACCTGGGGCAGTGATGTCTGGAAATCGGAAACATTTTGTACAGTGAGAAAACTGTGAAATGATCCTCGATGGCCTGAAATTTTTCTCACATGCGAAAAACAACTAAGTCTGAGCGCCTTTCACTGTTTGATGACACAGTGACCTTACCATTTGTTTACAGGGGCGATTATCGATCAGGAAAACGGTTAAACATGAGGAAAGTGATCCCTTACATTGCTAGTCAGTTCCGTAAGGACAAAATCTGGCTGAGGAGGACGAAGCCGAGTAAGAGACAGTACCAGATCATGCTGGCTGTGGATGACTCTTCCAGCATGAATGACAATCGCTCTAAACAGGTAATCACGAGAAAGGCCTGGGGACTACTGAAAGTTGCTAACAGTTTCCCTTTGTCTCGATATGGATTGGGAACCCTTTTGTGATCGTGTCGGTGGAGATTGGGACAAGACTGATTGACAGGTCAGATCTTGCCCCAACGTCGATTTACGCAGGCTGCGATCAGTCTTGAACTATGAAAGAGTCCCTCCATTTTTATGGTTTTTAGGAAATAGCCTTTGTCATTGGCCGACTGAAAGTTCAAGCTCAGTTGTGCGTTACCTTTTCGATACTGCTGAAGTCTGGCAGCCTCAAATTGAGAATTTTATTGGTTTTCACCAAAATTAACATAGGTCGTCAGTCTGTTTATAGCCAACTAACTTTAGTTTGAGATGAAGAACTCTAACTTGAGGAAATTTTAAGTTCAAGTAGAAAACTTGACATTTGATTTTAATGGTAAAGGTTTCTTATTCTATAGATTACACCCATTTGTTTACTAAAAGAAAACTCGTCGCCATTTCATACATGTCAGTCAGATTCCAAAAGGGAAGAACTACTTTACCAGTTTGTACCGTGGCGTGTTTAGTGCTGTTCCAGCGAATGTTTTTCTCAGATTGATACACTATAATGCTGAATTCTGTTTTTTATCACATCGCTCTAGCTGGCGTTTGAGTCGTTAGCTGTCATCAGCAATGCTTTAACCAGACTTGAAGCTGGGGATTTGGGTGTTTGTAGGTGAGTGTAATTTACAGCCTCAGCATATCGGTGTTGAACTCGAAGGAGCAGAAGCACAGCAAAGCATGTTGACACTGCAACTGTGGAGTGTTCATAGTCAGTAGGTCTTGTTAGAAGTTATAGGAACAAAAAGGTCATAATGAGAAACGTTTTCATCTGCGTGTGTGACTTACATTTGCGCGTATGTTCCTGTGGGAAATTTGAACTTATTCTGACCTTTTCGAATTTTTTTATGTGTGTTCTGTAAAAATTGCGTCAAGTGAAAGGGCTGAGAATTAGTGATCGATGGAATAGAAGTGTGTTAGGATGGTGAAATTGTGGATGAGTCTAACGTTACACTTGCTTTTGTGTGTGTGTTTTTATATTTTAGTTTTGGGGAAACTGTCTGCCTCTTGCATCCATTCCACGAACCCTTCACAGATAACTCAGGAGCTAGAATTCTACAGCAGTTCACTTTTGATCAGAAGAAAACCAAGATAGCCGAAGTAAGCCACGCCTCGGGACTTTAAACAATACATGCTTTGTATCCTATATCGCAAACAGTCTAATCAATATATCGGATAGCGATTTTTATTTTGATTCACGATCAAATTCTCCCAACAAATTTAAAGGGATTCTATGGTAACGGGAAGGGAGAGGTGCAAATTAACTAGTGAAATTTCAATTAAATTATTGACCTCAATTATTGCATACTTTCCATTTGTGTTGTAATATTACTCTCAATCGTAAATATCCGTAGTCTTGGTTGCTGGTGAGATTGGTATGATATTTCGTGTTTCCTAAGGAAATGATGGTGAAACTCTATCATCAAACTTTTTCGATGAGAACATTATCAGAGCAGGCAATGGTATTACAGCTATCCGAGATAATGCCATAGAAATCACTCTAAGTCTCTGCGTTTTTATACCTTTATATGTAGCTGTTAAGTACGTGTACAAGTTTAATGGTGGCGTCACATTCACGGTTACAAGTGTCTCCCCGGATGAGAAGAGAAACGAGCCAGTTATTGCTAATTGTGTCTGACGGCAGAGGAATATTTCTGGAGGGGATGGAGGTTAGTGAGCTAATCATGCACAATTTTTATATAAATTTTCTGGAAGTTGATCTTCGAAAGTAGTCGAAGATTGCATTTGGTTTTACTTTAGAAAGCTCATTGATTTGAAAAGAAATCTCGCGCCACTCTCCCGACTTAACAAATTAAAAAGTGAAACTAATTGACAATTGCTCACTAGCGTTTCCTCGTTCTTAAGATCATTAGCTTCTTTTTACTTGAGTTATCATTGGATCCTTGCGATATTTGTCTTCTTTTCCGATTGGCCATAGTGATAACTCAGGTTTTGGTGTTCGTCTCATACAACTGAAAAGCGCTCTGTTCAAGTATGGATGAAGGGAGCAAGTCTCTCAAGAATTTGTGGTGCTGCGTCGGTGGGGGTATTACAACGTAATTTTGTTTACCAATTGAATTGATTTCGTAAATTGGCCACCGTAGAGAGATAATTTAATAACTGGCACGGCCTTATTTCTTCCCTTAGACTGTTCAAAAGGCTGTACGACTAGCAAGGGAGACAAATATCTTCATGGTATTTGTAATACTTGACAACCCAGCTAACAAAGACTCAGTTCTTGACATCAGAGTACCGATTTTCCGTCCAGGAAAGTTACCCGAGATCAAATCCTACATGGAACAATTTCCTTTTCCATTTTACATCATTCTAAGGGATATCAACGCATTACCAGTGACCTTAAGTGACGCGCTGAGGCAATGGTTCGAACTTGTGTCTAGTTTTGATTGACAGCAAGGAGCGCTAAGCACTCGGCGAAACAGGCACAGGGATAGAAAAGAAGGCTCTTCAAATGCGCAGGGGAAACAACAACCGGACCAGAGAGATGAGCAGAAGGAATGAGTCACGAATACGGGAGTTAGGCAGTGATCCCGGTAAAGTTGCATTTCTTAGAAACAAACCTTGACAGCAACCGCTGACAAGGTTTGCTATTTGAGATGTTCGTGGACCAAATGAGCAGAGCTTCGTAAACGATGGGAAGTTTGTGAGGTTCTTGAAGATTGAAGTAAATGAAATGTTAAAGCTGTCTTTACCCAAATTCGATTTAAGAACAAAGAACAATTTGAGTCAAATAGTTTTTGCAGATTATACGGCTGATAAATTGTTAAGAACGAAGCTACAAGGTTACTGAAATATCTCGTTTATCCTGTCTTCAGAGAAAGAAACTCACTGTTCACTTGGTATTTGTCTTTCATCAGGAAAAAGGTTGACCTTGAAATATTGTACTGTTATTGAGCACCTTCTTCCCTCCCCCCCCCCCCACCTCCCATTACTCAAGTACTTTCCTCTCTTCTAGACTTAAGTATTATGAGATAATCAACCACAGCCTACAACCAACGGTCCAGTGTAACTTCTTTTTTTTACAGCAGTTGACAACGTGACTTCTGAACCTTCTTCTAGCTAAACCTAGGATCCGATAATGTAACGATTTATTCTCTTAATCTCTTTTGTATGATAATGACCAAAATTCGACGCAGAATCATAAAACTACGTTGAAACTTGAAATGTTTGTGGATCTTATAGGCAGAAGGTACTAACAATACGCCACAAAAATTTTCAGAACGTTGCATGATTCCAATCTTTGGAGAAGTTGTCATGATACGAGCGTATATGACTACTTTTTCCTTAATTTTAAGTACAATTGCTATGTAAATTTAACATTTAAACTGTCGTTTTAGAATTTTGCTAAGTTCATAAGTAGATAAATAAATAAATGTATCTCAAATTTTACCGTGAAGATTGAGGGCTAGTAACACTGCTCTTTGTACGTGTACTTAAAGATGGTAGCGTGATACGACATTGCAAGATGTAACGCAACAAAATCGCTCCGTTTGCTCTTAAAAAAAAATTGTTAATCTTAACTTAAGATTCGTCTTTGACTTTTTTTAACTCCAGTGCTACTCGCTTGATGTCTTCCAGTCCTTCTTCCAGTTGCGCTCCTATCGTTCTCTCTTCATGTTCTTCCTCTTTTTCATGTTCGTCACCATTCTTCACTGCATTATCTTCGTTGCCGGACAGTTGCTTTATAACTAGTGTCATGTAGTGGTTTAATTTGTCGAAGTTTTCGGATGTTAACTTATCTTTGAGAAAGTTTATTATCTGAGGCACGCACCGACCTGGCGCATGTACCATGCAGTGAGTGTGGTGTTGGAATAACACCGCTGATGCTAGGTGAAGAGCCATGGCAGGCTCGTTTTCTTGACGTAACTGTTCCTGAAGAGCGCAGCGACGCTCAACTGTCAACTGCCTTTAAAATTCAAATATAAATAAAAAAGGACGCCACATCAGTAATAACATTTGATAAGAACGGTGTTAGACAAAAGTTTCTTCAGAAATTATATCATGATGATAGAGGGAGGCTTTTATTCCTGTTGGGCTAAATTTGTTATAAAGCTGGCTCTTGTTGAGGGAAATGTAATTGTTTGAACTGTGTAGGAAACACAGTAGCTCTCTGCTGCATCTACATGTAGATAGCATAATAATGGTAATGTACAAACGCTATAGAAATAATGTTATTATTATTTTTAAATGCCAAATTCTTATAACCAGATTAAAGAAAAATGTGTAGCAGTTAGAGGGAAGAATGAATGATCAGATCTTAGGCAATTATTGGATGAAGTTGAGCATGATATCATGAATTGTCAATGCTAAGGTCTGAGCTATCTGCTGTTGCCGAAGGATGAAGCAGATAAAAAAGACATAGGGTTTGATAAATCATTATGTGAAAACTGAAATCAATAATTGTTTTAAAATACATTTTCAAAATAATCTGCAAAAGAAGACATTTCTTTCTGAGTTTGCACAAGTTTGATAATGCTACACAGAAGAGAGGCTTGGAAACTCAGCAGACTTTGAGCTAAACATGATAACCCAGTATCTGCTGCAGAGGTTGAGTTATCATGTCAACTTCACTTGTTACTGTATATTGACTGTATGCTCTTAACCAATCAGAATTTTCATAGTAAGTCTAATGAATACTAATTGGAGCTAAGGGTTAAGGCCCACAAGTGATACCCAAGACTTGCCTTTCTCTTTTCTTATCCAACTTCTTCAACATAAACTCGCAGTAGCCACTCCCACAAATTACATCAAACTGGTTAAAGAAATCTTCTGTTACCTGAAAAAAGTAGGATGTGAGAGACTTACTGTTTTGAAACCAGTAGACGGCATATAAGTTTACAAAACAAGTACTGGTACTCGTCACACAAAATAAGGATGACAAACCTTTCCATTTAATGAAGAATTCAACTTGGCTACCTCAGCTTTTACTTTGTCAGGAAATTTAGAAATTATTTTCAGACGATCCTGTGTAAGAAAGAATCATCACTATTAACAATAGCTTAGTTCTTGTTAGCATACATACCATGTAATCAAATGAATCAAACCAAGTGTAGTGAAAACTGAAAGCTTGCAAAGATGCACCTTTAAAAATCTGACAAAAACTAATAGATTATACCCAGTCTTGTGATGGAAAGTCTTATGAATATATAAGCAGTTATCATATTAAGTCTCGAAGATTTTCATCTGATCTTAGCCAATCCAGAATAACTGTTCCACTTATGGAAATAATGAAATTCTCTATTTGAAAACAAGGGTGAGTGCAGAGCCTTCCCTATAAAAATATTTTTTTGACTCCCATGCAAACTATATGTATTTCCACAAGGAAATTTCAAATCTGGGATAATTCAGAAAGACAGGGTATTTTTAAGAGGGAAGTGTTCTGTTAAATTCTGACTAAACTGAACATGCATTAATGAAAGTAACATAATTACATCCATACCTCAGGAGTTAGAGTTGATTCATCATTGATTGTGATCATGTGGTCAGCAGCTAACAGACCCACTGCCTGGTTTACTATATCTGTACATACCGTTCGCAGAAGATGGCGGGACAACTGCACTTGTACATCATCTGTTAAAACCACACAAAACAAGACTCAATGTTGCTCACAGATCTGACCCAAATCTTGATAATAATCAGATCACCCTCATGCAGTTGATGGAGGTAAATGAAATAATTCACATGACAAAGGTTTCTTAAGAGTTACAGAACCCACCACAGATTTGGAATGGTTTCACAGTGTCTGTTACCATTTACCCTTTGACCCTGGGAGTGACTAGCATCTAATTTTCCTTACAGTGTCCCTTCCCTTCCCCCCCCCCCCCCACCCTAACTGATGTTAGGGTGGGAAAGGTTAAAGTCCCCAGTCTGAGGTGGATCCATCAAAGCAAGAAAAAAATCAGCTGATCATTATTGGGAGTCAAAGAGTATTTTAAAAAGTCACTTACCAGAAAATAATTTGATTCCTTTGTCAAACAGTTTTGCATTTGCCCACAGCACACTGACTTTTTCCTGCACCTCTGAATGACTTTTACGTTTTTTGTCTCCTGTGGAAAGGAAGACTGACCGAGCCACCTCTTGGTAACATTGGGTCAGCGGTCTATTGGGTAAATAAAAAGCAACCAAACAATCACAAAAAAATACCTTCTAAAGAACAACTAAGCTGCATTATTCATTATTACAGTGATGTTCTCAACACAAAGATGTGATTAAGAGATAGCCGGCATACAACAGTTCTTAGAGCATGGAATTCATAGCTTTCCTAAGCTAACAAAGCCCTGTTTGGTTAATTACAAGATTTCTGTGAAGTTTTTACCACCTCTGGAGTAATTGCTACAGTAAACAAAAGATGAAAATTGAAGATAGGAAATTAAAAAAAAAAAATTAAACTTAAGAAATTTAGTAAAGTTTAAGAAAGATCCAAATCCTAAAGAAAATCTTGCTCTCTTTATTCTAAGTGATTCTTCACCTAAACAGGTAAGAAGCTAATTCTTCAAAGAGTTCCTCTGGACAACTTGGAAATCTTTTCTGTAATTCTTCTGATATCTACATTGAAAGAGCAACAAAAACAGGCAATGATTCGCAAAAGTATGCTTGAGTCAACCTAGGTTCCCTCAACTTTATTTGACTGCTGTAGTTGAATTTACTTCACTGCTACAGTGAGCCAAGTAACCAACTGGGGCTGGTTGTTTGAAAGGGCGTTACCAACAATCCAGGATTAAAAGCTGAACTTGTCCATGATTTCTCTTGAAATAAAGCATATATTAGGGTTTATGTTTTTAAGGGTTTTACTTGGCGCAAGACAAAACTGAAGGAAAAATATAAACAAGATTTAAACTGTCTGCAAAGCTATAAAACAACTCCGCTCTGCTGGGGTTCAGTGATTCTTAAGTGAGGAGTTAAAAAAGACAAAGGAACTAAAGAAAAAGAGAAATTTGAGGAAACAAAGAAAACAAAGAAAACAAAGATCCAAACAAGAAACACACCCATGTAGAAACAGAAAAACAAAAACACTTTTACCTCTTCAGCTGTCATGAAGGGTATATCAGATGAGCTTTGTTTAGGTCTGATGTCTTCCTCCACATCTTCATCTCTAGCTCGGTCCTTTTTCTTATCACGTACCTAAGGATTTGAATTTTTTTTTTTTTTTAAGAGAAAATTAGAATTTACCACTAAAAGTTGTGAATCCCAACACAACAAGATGCAAGGAAGCTGTGTATATAACTGCAATGATTTAAATGAAGTAAAAACAATCCCCTATTTACCACTCTCACCTTTTGAGTTTTACTTTCTCTTCCTCCTCTGCCTCCACCACCACCTCCACTACCACCACCCCCTCCTCCTCCACCTCCTCCTCCTCCTTTACTACCTCCTGAGGCTGCCTTCTTCCGCCTCTCCTCTTTCTTGTTGTCCCGTCTGTCAGTACCTCCTTTGGAGGCACCCATAGAAGCCAAGTCTTTTCTGGTAAGCTCTGAGAACAATGCAGGAGCTTTAATTGCATCCTAAAAGAAAAAATTAACTAATCAATTCATGACAGTATTCTAATAAACAGCTAACAAAAGGATACCTTATAACTCAGAGTTCTCCAAGCATGAAAATACTAGGCAGTTAAAATGCAAAAAGACAAAGAACAAGTTTGGAAGCAACTAACATTAGATGTAAATGGCAAATTTCTAAAATTGATTGTTGTAACATTAAGGTTAAAGCTTAAATATTTACCGCTTTGGCTTTGTCTTGCATCAGTTGTTGGAAGGGATCTTTACAATCTTGAAGGAACTTTTCACTGACCACAATGCTCTCACAGAAAACATGAGCTGACGATCTACCAACAGCCTTAAGACAATCCTGTAACAGCTGGGAAGCATCCCCTGGAGTGAATGGCGATGGAAGGAGAGGCTAGGAAAGGAGAGAAACTCTTAATCACTGACATACAGTGCAAGAGAAATACTTGTATATAATACTGAGAGAAGTGCAAAAACTACAAAGTTCCCACAAAGTGAAGAGACATGTTTTTGGTATATTCCTTTAACTTATTAAAGAAAGAAAAATCCAAGGTAATCAAAAAACTCACCAGTATGTCAATCCATTCACCACTAGACAAAGCTTCATCAATAGCAGCCTCCACCTGGCCTTGTAAAGATTCACCCACACAACATGTGGGCAGAAATTTCACTGGTAACTTATGGAATCTTCTCTTTAGAAATTGTCTTCCATCAGTAATCCCAAGACGTGACAATGCATCATACTCTAAACAAAAAAAATTCTATTGAAGCATTTATTATTGCATAGAGAAAGAACTTCTAATTTCGAGGGAGAATCAGTCTTAAGTACTACCCTTGAAAGAACATGGCATTTATTTAGTACATTATATATTCCTCATAGCCTTCTACTTGGAATTATTAAGATCCAGAGTGGGTAATGAGCTACTGTTCAAAACAGACGTCTATTAATTTATTTTCACATGACAAGTTATTTTTGTTGTTTTGTACTTGGGATCTCAAATTTGTCACATTCCTTTGAGACTTTAATGCTTTAGTTATCTTTTTGAACAAAACAAAGGATCATAAGATTAAATTAAAAAGGAGTAATGTTATTTCTTGACAGGAAATTTTACATATTAACCACAATCCCACTTAAGTGCCACTTTTGAAGATGCACCACACCATGAGTGTGCTGACACACTTTTAAGTACTGGCAAATATTATAGGGTACATGATTTTTTAGAGAATAACATTATAAGATGTCACTTGAATGAAAAGTGTTGCTACAGTTACTCACCTACGTATCCATTCTGATTGAAGAAGTCGTCTATCCAAGAAGTCTGTGTCTTGGAGTAGATATCTGGAACAAATACAGCCTTGTCTTGTCTCCCTTGTATACTTCCTGATATACGGCCATCAGAGCACAACTGGTCTATATCCACTGCAAAAGAAAAACTGTTATGGATGGATTGTACACAACACATTTCAAATATTGCCACTTAAGTCATCTCAAACATCCAAAATATTCTGAGATACTGCTGCACTCAGAGCACACCACAGAAAGAGTGTTCAGCTAACATACTTTAAGGGGGGGGGGGGGGGGTGGGTGTCTTCAATATTTTTAGCTAGTATTGAAGCTACCATGCCCCTTACTGAGAAAAAAGCCTGGAGTGAAGAAAACAATAAGGGGGTAGAGGTGGCAAAGAAATGAAATACCTGTGCCAAATCAAACACTGGGGCTTCAATTAAAAGAATAATTTGTTCTTATGCCTGCTAAGCAGGGTTACCACAAGGACAACTAACCACTTACTATAAAGTAGCTTTTCTTGAAATCCATACTGAGCCATAAGACTTGATATAGGTGTGGGCCTAAAAAAAAAAAAAAGAAAAAAGTTTGGTTAAATACCCATAATTAACATCACCCAGTTTACTAGTTTATCCATAACCTGATGACAAAGATATAAACTTTTTTACATGTAAACAAAGCTAATCAAATTTAGAAACAAACAAAAGGAGAAAATGTATCAAGACTAAGTCATTAGGAAGATAACTTAACTTCTTCTCAACATCAGAGTTCACTAACTTTCCTGTTGTGTTTCTTTAATAAACAAAATGCAGATTTTATTCAACAAAGCGAGAGACTAAAAATTGTCCATCCCTCTTAAACTCAATCAATAAATTATCTAACATCTTTCTTTGGAACTGATGAAATAACAAAATTTTTTGTCCAATGAATGAAAAACACCCCCAAAAAAAGGAACATTAGAATTCCTGCTACGCAAGACTGTTAACATTTTATAGGAACTCAATGTCATCAATTCTAAATTTTTTTTATTATTTGCCCTTCACATAGTAAGACTTGTCTTTCAGATGTTGATCATGGAACTTTTGGTTAGTGAAATACTGAGTTAAACATCAATAAAATTGTGTTAATTTTTCATTAAGTAACATACTTTGTGACAGCACTAAAGACTCCTCTGATGCAAGCCATTTGCCGTGCTACAAATGCATCAGTAAACAGGACACCTCTTTCCAATTGATCAAGTTGTCCATGAATGATTGTCCCTAATCTGTTCTCAACAATCTATGGTAATCAAAAAAGAGTAATCTCTATTTTGGTGAGCTAAAAACACTTATGCTACCTTTGACTCATAGGAAAGGAACAATTTCTATAAATTTAATCCTTTTGACCCAATGAAATTTGTAATCAGTAACCTTCTGTTTGCTACCCTTCACTACTTTTGCAAATCTTTAAAACTCCAAGAGTACAGCAACAAAATCAGTTGATTGATGGATACATCAGACATAATTTTGTAACTGTTATTCCTAACTTGAGGATAGGTTTCACCAGCTCAAACAAGCAAACAGAAAAGGCCCTCCTACACCTTCCTATATGTGCACATGACAGCTGGCACTCATAATTGTGTCACTGAAATCCTGCCTCTTAAAAACACTTGATGACTCATAGTTGCTTACAAAATCACTTTATATTTTTGCAGCAATATGGATCGCATTTTCATTATGTTCATCAAATTTGTAGCACATCCATAGGAAATAATCTGTTGCATAGCTTACCTCAAGTAGGAAGTCAGTGGAGAGTGTAAATGTCTTGCTTAACTCTGAGATAACAACTTGTCCAGACTCTTGTAAAGTGTCGTTGATCTCTTCTGCAACTTGGTCTAAGTAGTTACTGTAATCCAAGAAATTACAGTTAAAAGAATGTTAACAAGCTGTTAGGATGGCTCCAATCTCAGAAAACAACTCTTTGAACACTTCCTCATTTATGCAACATTTCTCTTGAAAAAACAATGTAATAATGGTAACTATTTTCCCCCTCCTTACATTGCCTGGCTGGTAACATGCAGTTATAACTGTGTAAGGGTTGGGGAAGGGAAGGGACATTTGGAAAGGATGAAGGAGTTGGAAGTGATTTGAGGCTCCAAGATCTGTTTGGCAAAGGTGTTCCATGAAATGAAGAGTAGTCAAGTAAAGCAATGATCCTCACAGATGCTGCAATTTAAGCAATTGCTTCATAGCTCAGTTTGTAGCTGAGTTTATAAAGTAAATTGGCCAACATAAAGAGTTTAAAGGCTGACATTTCAAGCGTTAGCCCTTCATCAAAGTGATAAGAGGAATTGTGGGTTGTGTGTGGGTATATATGCAAAAAATGGAGCTACACTATTGGTGGGAATATGATGAAAAAAAACAAGAATAAAGTAGTTGAATTAAAAGCGCTCATTGATACTGTGGGGATTAAAAGAACTGATTTGAAAGATAAATTTTTGTTCTAGAGTTTTTCAGCTTTCTGATATGGCTAGATGTAGGGAAAGACCACAAACTGCCATGTGCTGCTTAGAATGATTAGGGAGATTAAAGATTAAGTATCTGGGGGGTATGCATTTGAATCATTTGAATCTGGCAAAGCCTGAATTTTTTCTGGCTTCTTTTCTGCAATTTCTTTCAGTAAATTGCATCTCACCTGCAAGGATAATTGCTTTACTTGTTTTCATTTGCAGATCAAATGAAATTCATTTCATTAAAAATGAGGAAGTTCAGTGTTTGATAAAGTTTTAAAACCCCATAGTCCAATAAAGGGATCTCTGTTACTGAAATATGTCTGTAACATACAAACAATCAGCTATTACGCTGTGAATCACCTATTTTTTCAAATAGTAAATGTTAGTTTGATTCTTACTTGTCAATAAGTTCTCCTTGGATGACAATCAAATTTTTGTCATGTTTGACAATTTCGGCAACCTTATTCTCAACATGGGTCAGATCTACTCCGATAATCTAGCAAGAATCAAAATAGTAAGTGCTTAGCATCCTGCCAACTTCTCTACCATCTGAGGAAAGGCAACACAGGGCTGGTAATCATTTTTCAATTCCACAGAAGAAAGGTTAAGGATTTCCCCAGCTGACGCATCATACAAGTAAAAGTTTGATACAGTGACCAAAAACATGATTGACATAATTAAATTAAAGGTGATAGATGTGGTTAAAATGTTGTTTTTCTTTATTTATTAATTAATAATAAGGTAACATAAGTGAATTGAAGCCACTTTGCATATGACATGTATGTAATATTCCAAGAATTGGAAAAGCTAGTTTTAAGTTTTCGGTTGCTTATAACACAAGTATAGTTCTCGCTTTCTTAGGATAATATTCGATGAGAGGTAAAAAATTAATTATTTTTCCGATGACAAATCTTTAAAAGCTCACGAAAGGCATGGTGAGTTAATTAAAACAAACATGACAAAATGTACATTTCAGGAGAAATATTTCGGCTAGAAAATTTGCCAAAGAAATGAAAATTACTCTTAATACATCAAGGTTTTCGTTATGGCAACCACAAATACAGATTTTTAAGGAACTAGATGTAGTACTTAGATACACGTCATCTTTTAACATCGACACACGTGGATATTAAATAAAGAAAAAAGTTACCCCACTGAAATGGAAATTAAAGATGAAGTCAACGTACCTGCTGTAAGTCCACCAAATTAACTCTCCCTGAAACAGAAAAGTTACAACTTCACTAAGGATCGTTCCAAACTAGTAATCAAGAACCAAAGTAACACAGATACTTACCGCCGTGAACAAATAATTCGTCTTTTATCTCACGTTCAAGTTGTTGTGGGGTGAGATATTCCTTGCCATCTGTCGTGTAAATAACCTCAACCAGCCCCAAACCGATCAGTTTCTGAACTATTTCGATGCAGTTTCTTTCTGAGAGTTTGTGAGCTGTGCTACTTAGCTGAGCGCGTTGAAAATCAGCCGCCAGTCGCTTTATTTCTTCCCAGTCAGCCATGATTATTACAATTTTCTTTCAGCTGATTGCGAGCCAGCGTTTTCGCAGCAGTGTCTCTAACAACATATGCGCCACTCTTTTAGCGCATCACCATTTTCAAGATGGCGGCCATTTCTAAGCAAGAGTACCTCAAGCGTTATTTGTCCAATTCCGAAGGTGAAAAAAAGAAGAAGAGGAAGAAAGTTCCCAAGGCCTCTTCAAGATATCCAAAATCTATCATTGTGGATGATGATATCGATATCAGAGATATCAAAGTCCATGATTCCGCACAAGACGTGAACGAACTGGAAGGCGATGTTGACGAAGCTCCAGCAGTTTTTGAAGAAGATGGTATCACAAAAGTATCAATAGAATCATTCAAGAAAAGAGAGGAAGACCATAGAAACAAATGGGCGCCAATAAGTAGAGCGACTCAGTCATATAGAGAGGAAGAGGATAGGTTAAATTTTGAGAGTGAGAACCCAACACCACGAATAACAGGCAGAAAGAGACTGGATACACCTGACTTGTCTCCTCGACGTGGTGGAGGTGTTTACAACTCAGACCAATCGCCACCTAGGAAAAAATCTTCGCATAGAGCTGTAAGAGATTCAGTCCATAATGGGAGGCAAGATGCCTCTCCCGCAGCAGATCAGAGTCCTCCAAGAGCTAGGCGGAGAAGGCATGATTCTGGTGATTCTCTACCAGAGCAGTCACAAGATCACAGTCTTGACTCACCACGGTTACAAGAAAGTCCCAATAGGTCTCCTGTGAGGAGACGTAGGAATGATTCTTCTGACCTTTCACCTCCCAGGTCGGAACTGAATAAAGAATTGGATCAATCACCGCTAAGGAAAAGAGCAAATAGTGAGTCTGATCAGTCACCTGTTAGAAAACGTGCAAACAGTGAATCTGATCAGTCACCCCCTAGAAAACATGGTAATGGTGATTCAGACCAGTCACCACCAAGAAGACAAAAAAAACCTGATAGGAGAGACATAAGAACAGAAAGTGGGAAACAAAAGAGAGTGGATAAACATGAAGAAAGAATGGCTAGTGGTTAGTGAAACTGTGAAGTTTATTTCTTTGCTTTTGATTTTAAAGTTGCAAAGTTATACAGGTGTTGCGTTGCTGAAGGTTTAGAGAAAGCTCCATATTTTCTGAATTTTTCTAGCCATCTGTAATCAACTTAAACTTAATTTTTCGTGGACTGAGTTTCGTGAATGAACATTGGTCCAGACTTACAAGGAGAGAATGTGGTCAAGTATTTTAGAAACTAGATTTACATGTAGTTCCCCTTTTAGCTGGGGAATGTTTGCTGGTATTTGACTTTTTTTTTTTCTCTTTTATGTTAGAGGTTCTCAGAACTGTATGTGATCTGCCTCTATAAACTTCCTAAAATGATTAAACTTTTTCTGTTGGTGTAGGACAGAAAGCTGGTCTTCTGAGTGGAAGTGACTTGAAGCGAGAAAATGAAAGGAAACGGCAGAGAGAAGCTGAAATGTTTGCTACAATGGATCCAAGTATATCAGGCAAAGGTTCAGAAACAGTGTACCGAGATAAATTGGGAAGAAAAAAGGACATCAAGTTAGAGAGAATTAAAAGAAGGGAGGAGGAAAGAAAGGAGACAGAAGAGAATGAGAAATTTATGGAGTGGGGAAGAGGGTGAGTGTTTTCATTATGGTAGATCTGTGAAAATGCAAGCCCCAATGTAATCCCTAGTAAATCAACCCTCTCCCGACAAAAATATGAAGGTATAGTTGGTTAATTACTTGCACAAAATGAGATTGAAACTTTCCTCAGAGCAACAGAAATTGGCATTCAGATGAATTCATATTGGATGCAAGAAGTTGACCATTGAGGCACTACCATTTCACTTTAACTGATCATTCCCATATTTCCTGACCCTCCCAACATCACCCAGTTAGTAGAAGATAAGTACACTCCTGAGATCATTTAATTTTATTTGTCCCTTCAAAAAATCTTTGTTTAACTGAGACATAGTGAATTTTTACATTTGATAATATCAAAATCAAGAGAGAGAGCATTGTCAACTCCAGGCAACTTTAAACCTAATCTGAGCTTTTGTTTTTTTTTTTCTTCAACTAAATTTTTTTTTTTTTTTTTGTCAACAGGGTAGCACAAACTAGAGAAAATGAGGAAAAAGTTGCTGATTATCTACATGAAGTGGATAAACCACTGGCTCGGTACCGTGATGATGTTGACCTAGATAAAATGTTGAAAGATCAGGAAAGAGATGATGATCCCATGTTGGCTTACATGAAGCAGAAAAAGGCTAAACAGAATGTAATGGAGGGAAAGAAAGGTTTGTGTCTTTTGGCTATCAACTTGGATTTTGTTTACAAGAGAGCTTTAAAGTGATTCTCAAGCCAATCACAGGAGTAATGTTGAAATTTTGTTTTTTACCACACTGATTGATGGTTAGGGAAAAGTATGCTCCATAAACCACATAATTGTTAGTGCCATTATGAAAAATTGTATTAGAAATTTGTGCTGAGACTGCAAAATGAAGTTCTAAAAGGAGGCAACACTTACTAAAATGGATCACATTATAGTTACTAACAATTATCTCCCTCTACTTAACACTTTACACCTTAACATTAGTATGCATATTCTCCACACTGTTCTCTATACATTTCCTAAGGTGCTAATAAGGACAATTTGTTTATCAATCAAGAGCTTCTTTAGTTGGTGATCATTTCCTTTATTCTTGTGCCCTTACTGAGTGATCCAGGGATGATATTGTAAAGAAAATTAGGATACTATTCACTGTCAGGGGTCAAAGGATTAAGGTTGCTTCACATGTTAGTGACCTCTAGTTCTCCCTGGTTTCAGTGCAGTATTGTTTGTTCTGGTTTGCTTCAATGTAATAACACATGCATTTTTGTAGATATACTTTGGGTTTGGTTTTTATAATTCTAACTAAACATGACAGGTAAAGCCATCCATATGCTGTAAAAAAAAGCTCTTAACCCTTTAACTCATAAGTGACCAAGACAAAATTTCTCCTTACAATATCAATACAGTATCAAGTATGAAAGTGATGAGAATAAAGAAAAATAATAGTAAAGGGATTATTAGTTGATCCAATACCAAATTCTCTGAACTAACATCACAAGAACTGTATGGCAGACAGTAAGGAGAGTTACTTATGAGATCTTAACTGTTTGGTACTTTTGTTCCTTTAACCCTTTGACCTCTTAGAGGGACTGGTATTTAATTTCTCCTTACAATTTCACCGCTGATTAAAATGTTGAAGCCACAAGAATAGAGAAAATGATCACCTACTCATTCAAACAAGAAGCTCTTTATTGACAAACAAATTGTCTTTGTTTGCACATAAAGAAATGTATAGAGAACAGTGTGGAGAATATGCTCACTGATGTTAGGGTAGAAAGGGTTTAATTTGAAGCTCACCTGACTTGCACTTTTGAACAAGTAAATTTAGTAATCAATACTCTGCCATGTTTTTTTTTTTTACATATCTTTGCACCCCTTTTTTTTTCCTTTTGACAGAAAAACCTGTGTACAAGGGCCCAGATCCTCCCCCAAACAGATTTAACATCAGACCAGGATACCGCTGGGATGGTGTGAACCGCTCGAATGGCTTTGAGAACAAACGATTTGCCATGTTAGCCAACAAAGCTGCTGCACAGACAGATGCATATAAATGGAGCACTGAAGATATGTGATTGGGGCAGTACATCAGTTGAAACAGAAGCTATTTTTTGGTGCAGAATGTATTTTTTGCATGGTTGGGTGGATGCTATATGTCCAGCTGTGATGTATATGTTTGATGTTGATGACAATAAAATTTTAAGTTTCCATTGAGGAGTAAGAGGGGTATAAAGCAGCATACATGGAAATTAATAATTATCAGATTGTTAAAAATTGCAACACAAGGAAAGTAAAATTTGCCAGATAAACAGAATTTGAAAAGGTCTACACCTGAGCCATGCAGCCCATCCAGCTGCAGTTTATCCCAGTTCTGTGGAACTAAGTGACAAAAAATATTGCTGATCCCACTGGATGGGAATCAAGTTCAATGCAGGTTATCCTCTTCTCTCCCCCCCCCCCTCTTCTCATAATTATGACACCAGATGGAGGCTGTTGTTTGTATCTCTTTGGACGGCCAATATAACAAATTCAGCAAAGATCTTTTTGAGGGGAGATGAAAGTCATGACAACTAGAGTATGATTATTTTCTAGAGTATGAAGTACATGAGTATTGCATCAAAGCCTTTAGTGAGAAATGAAGACAATCATGATAGCAAAAACCACTAAAATACATTTTAATAAAATGACTTAAAGTTCATGACACAGACAAAGGATTACTTCAAAGCCAAACCATGTGACAATACAAACAAGTCACAGCTTTACACTGGCCATACGTACAATCTATAAAACCATGGCAGTGAAAACTACTAAAAATACTTCACAATTCCAAGACTTAAAAAAGGCAAACTTGAAAGCTGAGCCATATAAAAGTGCCATATATTTTATGTATCATACAAATGAAAGCCTTTGCCATTCCAAGAATTTTATCTTTTAAGATTAAGGCAGCAAATACTAACAACTAATTAAAAAGACTTAGTAAATATTTATTTGCAGCAAAGCTATCCATGCTCTCGATATCAACCTGAATAAAATAAAAAGAAAACATTAGGTGAACTTGGATGAAGAACAACCCTGTATTCAAATACTTGACTTGTGGAATTGCATCTCAAACATAGGTACACAGGTATAAAATTTTTCTCCGTGACAAAAGCAATTGTTAGACTCCTTTCTATTTTAACTGAGTTATGTAAGAAGAAAAAGGACTTTTTTTGAAGTGTGTTCTACCCATCCAACATTTCTGGGGTCAAGTTTAGAAGTGTATGGGCTTAAAAATATTATTGGTCCTGAGTTTGCCAGAAATAAGTATTGGTCATTTCGAAGCTTCAACATGCCCCCCTCTTGCTGGGCATTTTAACTTTTGAAGATTGTTTTTTGGTAATGCCCTACATGAGTGCCGGATTAGATGGTCAGTATTTTGGTAAAAAGCAAAATTAACAACAACTGTGACTTTCTACTCACTGACCAAGCTTTGAACCTAACCCTTGTGAACCCTTTCTTCCAAACCATTTGCTCATGAACTATTTACCTTTAAAACCACCATATTGAAAGATAAAAGACTTGTATTCCATTGGAAAGACTTGACACAATTCAAATTCCCCACCCCAACCAAGCAAGGTTCAAATTGCCCACTCCACAGGCTCAGTCAACAGTCAAATTGATCAGCATAAAAGTATATTAAGTGTAACATCACCTTCTTTCTGTGTCAAATTTTGATGAGTCTAGTCTCTCTCAGAGGGAGCATTGCTGAAAATGAATAGAACAATGTCCCAAGTCACTCCTCACAGTGTCTTCAAAACATTCATTTGAGTGAGCAGAGCATGGACACCTTGGCATGGTCTTTGATAAGACTGATCAACTGATTAACTTGAGCTTTCCATCATGCACCCACAGAATTTGTTCTTAGCTGACTGATCATCATGTTCAAAATTTAACTCCTTTACTGAGTTGTGAATTGTCAACTGGTATCACTATGAACTGTAGTTTTATGAAAATTCCATGAATTTCATGTGAAAAACCCATGAAGATCATTTCATGGCCCATGAATACTGCAAAATGAAATTTCATGGGGTTATTTTTAGCCCTGAATTTTCCATGAATTAGGGGAATTTTTTTCATGACCCATGAATTTCTTCAAAGTCTATTTTTATGACCCATTGATTTTCCATGAAAGTCATCAGAATTAATTTCATGACCCATGAATTTCTTTATATGCCTACTTTCATGACCCATGAATTTCTTCAAAGTCTACTTTCATGACCCATTAGTTTCCCCAGAAAGTCATCAGAATGAATTTCATGCCCATGAATTGCAATCAAACAGCATTTCATGGGCTAACAATTTATTTGTTTTGGGAGAACAAAATTAATGGGCCATGAATATTCCCTGAAATCCCTGAAAGTGGCCTTTGTTAACGTAAAATGTACAGGAAATCACAAAACAATGACTAAAAACAATGGATCTTCAATTTGCTCCTTTGTTGAGACAAATAGGGCTGGAGGCAATGACCCAGATGTTTGATCCTCACTTTGATTTTTTGGGGCCTTTTTGCCTTCGCCATGCCTGGACGACTTTGTTGAATTTTTTCTGCCTCACTGCTGGCTTTGATTGTTAGCCATGACTCTGGAAACCTGTTCAAGGCCTTCTCTTACATTCTTACGGCTGAGGAATCTTCTAGGGCTTTTCCAGTAAGGCACCTGCAGAGTACAGATGCTTAAGTTGCACAGCAACAGTACGCATTGCATCTACACGAAATGTGGAACAAAACAATGAAAAATCAATCACTTTGTCACCTCAATTTGGAACTTTGAATAGTGTGCAAATGTAACCTGAAAAAAATGCTATTTTTCCCTCGTTCATAGAGTCGCCGGTTAACAGAGTCAGGCCATCTTCTCAGTCGGGATGAAACGTTACCTTCATGTATTCATTGAGATCGCCTTCTACAACATCGTTGTTGATTTCGTGATCGCTTTCACAGGAATCACTGTCGATGTCAGCTCTGACTTTCTTGGACTCTGATGTCCTGTCGATTGTTACTTGCTTCGAATTCCAAATACCGAACAGCTTTTTGTGCTGCTTTATTTTGTAAGATTACAGACGCAGCAACGAGACCTCTTCGGAGTCATTTCGTAACGTCGAACACGATAACCTGTGAGGTCACTATGTGACCGCTGACCTATGATGGCTGCGATGACCTAAGGTCACCACGTGAAAGTACACGTGATTTACGAAGAAGTGGCGGTTTTTTTCGTACCTCGAACGGAATGGTTCCATTCCAATTGCATTTCTCGTAGTGTTTGTGTAGCGGTCTCTTTTTTTCCAGATCAACGCAATGGACCGTCTGAAAAGTTTTTTCAAAGAGGTTTCCTCAAGATGAAGTTATCGACATGTATTACAACGTGAAGGGGTAAGTTCAAGCTTGGTCATCTTATTACGCGTAAACATCGGAGCGCGCGCGCTAACTATTGATTTAACTTGAAAATTTTTATTCTGTGATCATCTGGCGAAACATCACAAGAGTTTGTATGGAAATACCTACGACCGTTCTTAGGAATAAAAAATACAGTCAAATTCTGAATACGAAATACCTCACCTCACTTCCATAGTGCGTCGCTTGGTATCTGACGGCTTCATGTTGAAAAGAACCTGTTTTGGCGAGTTATCCATTTCTAGGTTTACTACGTACATAAGAAAGGCTCTTAGATAACTGATGATGTGCTCCCTTTATTTTGCAAACAGTGAAGAGTGTTGGTCTACAAAACTGATGAAAGGAAATGCACACTTGCTAAAGCAGCCTATCTTGGTCCAAACGATGATGAAGATGCAAATAGTAATGATAACCGAAAGAAGGATGGCACATTCAGGTGGCCAAAACAGAGAGACACTGACATAGTCAGCCATAGATATATCTTCACACGTGCAAGAGTGCAGAAAGTTGGTAATTGTTTTGTTGTTAGTTACCTTGAGAGTATTGATCACAAGTGTAAAACATATCAAGAAATTTACATGAATGCTGTTACATAAATAGACATTGTAATAACTGTCCATAACATTTTACACATGATATTAGACGAAGGAAATGATATTTGAAGTTTAGACAAAAATACATCAAGCCAGTGAGTATATTTTCAATAATTTCGTCCAAATATTTTTGACATCAAATTTATTATATACCTTCAGAAATATAGGAGCAGAATCTGTCTCCACAAGGAAAATCAGTGATATCAAAATAGAGCTAAAAATCATTAACATCTTAATTTTATGCAGAAAATTTCATACCAACTTTTTTTATTTAAGAAAGTGTAAACTGAATTATCACAATTTTGGAATCCTAAAGTAATATTTATGTACAGCTGGTGAAACAAAATAAACTATCAGAGAATCCAAACTTCTGGTCATGTCTTTCATGTGTGTGTGCTTGTACAACAGGACCAAGAAGTTTCACAGATAGGTTAGTTCTTCAGTGTATAATTTAAGTGATAGTGTATGTATTACAGTTATGGTATACTGCAAGCTATACACTGTAGTACAGTCTTTGGTACAAGAAAAGTGAAGAATTTTTAATTCCAAATTCATAGGGTTTTCAAAGAATTTTCATGGTGCTTGCATATTCCTAACAACCCCATGAAAACTAACTGGCAATTAACTTTCATGTGCCATGAAAAAACCATGTAGAGGCCATGAAAATTCAAGGAAAATTTTCATGGTCAATGAATTTTTAACGTATTCACAGGATATTCATGGGTCATGATTTGCTGCAACCCATTAAAAACTAGTGAACTTTGACACCATGAAATTTTGGGCTTGAAATTCATAGGTTTCTCAGTACCTTTGAAAAGGCCATGAAATGCCATTTTCATGGGTATTTCATGGCTTCTAGGTCACTTTACTCAATATTTCATGGGTCGTGAATATGGAAATTTTCACAGGTTTTTCATGGGATTTTTCAGGTCTTTTTCATGGCACTGAGACCATGAAAATGTCATTGATTTAACCATGAATATCCTGTGAAAAATCTGTGAATTTACAATGAATTATTTCACAAGATTTTCATGGGTTTTGAGTTCATAGTGTATCC